TATATTTATATATATCATATATATGTATATATGAAAAATATATCAAAAATGCATGTGGGTACTCAAATGAAAGGTCTTGATGAGTGTAACATCGGGATGAGCTTATATTTCTAAAAACGTCAATAGTTAAGAAAGTACAGTGCAATTTAACAAAATTAATTGTTTAATAAAGCAAAATGAAAATTTTTTATAGTTCAAAAGTCACGGTTGTCACATAGTGACTGCAAGGTTGCTAGTTAATTAGATAATTAAATTATACCTTCAGCAACACCCCATGGATATTTACGGCCACGAACTTTTTTACCATCAACTTCAATGACCGTGTTTGCACCAACGACGGCAAATGGCACTCGGTCCCTCAGAATCTTGTGGAATTTATTTTCCTCTTCTTCTTCAAGCTCAGGGAACTCATAAATTTTAATTTTATGCTGCGCTATTTCATTTAATATCTGAGACAAAAATAATTTCAATAAATTAACAAAATAAATACGATAAAAATAACTTTTTAATGATGTTAATTGGTGAAACATTTGACCTACTTGTTTCTTAAATTGTGCACACTCTTCAGGAGTCATTGTATCAGCCTTAGCGATGATAGGAATGATGTTAACTTTGTCATGAAGCCGTTGCATAAATTCAACATCCAACGGTTTTAATCCATGACCCGACGGTGCGACGAAGTAAAGACAACAGTGTACACGGCTGTCGGGTATTTGTTTTCTGACAACACGTGACTCTGCGTTTAAAAATTCTTCGTATTTTGATTCGATGTACTCGATTACTGGTACCCAACTAAAATTTAATTACAATAAATTAATTTTAATCCAATCAATATTTGCCGTAAAAAAGATTAATATTTTACGATATTTTAAATTCTTATCTTTATATTAGCAAATTTAAGATTTAATGCATAAATAATATTTTGTAATAAAGATAAAATTAAAATACAAAAGAAATTGTTAATATACTTTGACATTAAAAAAAAAAATAATAATTACCAATTACTGTTATCAACAGCGTCACCAAATCCGGGAGTATCAACAACAGTAAGTGTTAAATTAACACCATTTTCATTTAACAAGACTTTACTTGTCTCAACAGCGACGGTTTTTTTAACTCGTAGACTAGGACCTGGATATTCAGCACTATAAACATCCGTAAGAAAAAGTGAGTTTATGAGGGTTGATTTACCCAATCCAGACTCGCCTGAAATACAAAAATATACATGACATCTTCAAGACTACTCTTTTCTTCTCCTTCATCTTCATCCCAATCTTCAATACTTTGTCTTAAAATAAATTACTCTTAAATTAAAAATACCCCACATCTAAACGGGTATATAGATAGATAGTAGTACTAGTATTATTATTATGATTAAAAAAAAAAAAATAAATAAAGAAGAAATGATAAAACATACCGACAACCATCAGAGTAAATTCAAAGCCCTTTTTGACAGCTTTACGGTAAACTTGATTAGGCAGATTAGCGAAGCCAACATAACCATCTGGTTCACGTGGCTTTGATGGCAAAGCTGCTGGACGCAGATGAATTTGCAGAGCAGATTCTTTATTACTGTCACGTTTGTTGCTGTCTTCCTGGTCGACACTCATATTAGAGGGCAACCGTGGTTTTACCGATGCGACCGGTGGCACTGTTGAGGATGGCACTGGCGTTGTTGTCATTGTCGTTGTCGCGGTTATTATTGTTGCTGCTCCGGTTGTTGTTGATGTTGGTATTATTGTTGCTCCGGCTGGTGTGGTTGACATTGCATTCGGTGGCTGTGGAGGCGGAACAGACGGGACAGTAGGAGACGTCGTCAATCCACTCTCGCCTTTAAAAAACAGCTCACGCTTTGTTTGCATCTGTAAATGAAAAATATCTCTTTTTATTATACATGCACATACATAAACGATCGTCTTTTATGTTTTTTTCACTGTCTCTATCATGCACTTTTTTAAAAACTAAATGCTCCAGCAGATTATTATGGTTTTATGACAATGACAACAATGACTATGATTTTATTAAAACAGTAGTTCTTTTGATGATTTATCTATATATTCAATTACTAACACAACCCGTGTAAAAATCATTATGAATATCATAATGAATTTTATAGTTTAACACAAATATGAGATTCATATAAAAGCCATATCAGTATACATTTAATTCAATGAGACCCGTCATAAATAATATATTTATGGGAACGAATTTTTTTAAAAGTAGATTATTAAAATTTTCATTTTTTCTGTTAATCAGAGGAAATGTATATTAATTGAGAAAAATAGTATTTTCATCATGCACTATACTGTTGAACTACTTTACTTTCTTTCTTGATTTTCTTAACTTACACCGATAAAAAAAATACTTTTACTCAATTAATAATTTCTTGGTTCAAGAAACTCGTTGACGAGAAAAAATCTTCTATTATTATTAACTATTAATTTCTGAAGAGAACATCAATATTTATTTTTGGATAATAGATAAACGAAAGAATATTATTTAAATTAAGTAAAAATTATTTCAACCAATTTAACAATTTCTTGAGCTAACACTATATATTCTTGAAAATTTTCAAGAACATAAATTCTTGTATCAAGAAAATTTTCTTAATAAAAGTATTTTTTTTTCTCAGTGTAGAAGAATATTTAGAAAAACACTATCTTGGTTTAAAAAAAAATTTTTGACTGACAAAATTTTATCTTAAGATAATTAATTTTTATTTTGAAAACAATTTTAATCCTCCTAAAAATTTCTTTAATTTAATTAATTAATTAAATAAATTATTAAATAATTTAATAAATTTTATAATCTAGTGAAAAAAAAATTTGTTCCCATAAATATTTTACTTATTACTGTTATCAAATGTATATTAATATGATAAATATATGAACCTCATCATTATATCAGATGATTTTTACACGAGAAATAAATGTTAATAAAAAATTTTTAATTTAGTTCAAGTAAATTCATAATAATTAATAAAAACTCAGTTTTGTAATTTTATAAATACTTGATTTGAAATAACAATAATAATATTTTCAATTAAAATCACTTGGCAACCGATCGATACTCCATTTACTCTCTATAAAAGGTAATATATAGTACGTATACTGCATTACAGACAAAAAATGTTTAAAATTAAAATCAAAGAATTAATAAAACATGCGAACATTTATCATCAAAAGAAATACTAAAAAAAAATCATGCTTGCTCTGCAAATAAACATTCGCTGAATTTGATAAAGTAAACATATAAACAAAAATTTTAACCAAGGAATGTTATTGATTTGAATTAATAAAAAAAAACAATAATAAAAATATCGAGGTAAAATAAAAAAAAAAAAATACAACAATTAAAATGGTTAAAAATATGCAATTAAACCGCAACTCCGACATATATGTGCGCTACACGATCTTCAAGGTCCTCAAGTGCAATTTAAGAAGCACTGACAAACGAAACGAGACACTAAAGTGTCACAAAACCACAGCAAGTACGTTTCATATGTATCTTGTAGTTATACTCTCAACAATAAAAAATTTATAAAATAAAAATAATCAAAATGTAGCATCTGAGATCAATAAACCGCATCTTTACCACAAAACCATGTTAGTAAATGAAATAGAAAAAAATAAATAATAATTCCGATTAAAATAAAAAGTAAAATAATAAAAAAAAAAAACAACAAATATAGCCATGTGTTCTTCGACAGCGGTGCTCAATTGTTAAAAAAAATACCAGTCGGTATTGAATGACCACTTGCTCTCATTACAACATTGATTGAAGTGCGTCATCAAGTATTACACATTAAACAATAGAGTACTCAGTACCAAGTACTTAGAGTTTACTTGGGAGTATCAGAGTCTATTATATCATCATCATCATCATCATCATTACATCATTATGATGAGTATTAATCATTAATCTTACGATGATTAGAGCAGATCAGGTGATAACAACACTCGGTTATAATCTTACCGAATTCGCAATATCCCCGTTGGGTTTCTCTCCGTCGAGGATCCGTTGTCTTACAGCAAGTCGATCTAAACTGGCAAGCCTATAGCTGCTGCCAGTTTCACGATCCCGTGTAAGCCGATCAGCAGTAGCATTGCCATTAGTACCGGCGTTAAAACTTGATGTGTATTTCGGCAGCGTTGGCGGTGGAGCTTGTCGAGATTTTTCACGGTTCAACGTCGAATTACTGCTGTACAAAAATGAGGTGTTGTTGGTTGTTATTGACGACGATAGTGTCCTGGGTTGTGTCATTGATGCCTGTGACGCTGATACACTTGATAAACTGCTTCCAATAGCTGTTTTAACACTGCCATTTGCGTGGGGTGTGCTGCCGTTATGATTTTCCGTAGACATTGTTTTATTATTAACGTAATACTTTTTTTTTATTTATTGAGTTACTCTAACTCGTACTGATCAGTATCTTCTACTCCCACAATGTTAAGCTAGACACAAATAGTTTTATAATTTCAATTAGTTGCCAATCTTTATCCGAAAATCCTTAATTATATATTTTATTTATAGTCTAAAACTCGATCAGATTAACCTCTTGAGTATTAATACACTCATAGGATTTATTTGTACCAAAAAATATTTATTTAATAGTTAACAAATCATTTAGAGACCACTTTTTAGTATTAAATAAATACTTCTTAGTATTTATTAAATCTTATATATGATATTAAAGTTAGCCAACATTTTAATTTTTTGATTTTTTTTAATAATTAAATTAGAACAAAAAAAATATTTTTAAAAAATTGCACTTAAAGTTTTTTTACAAGTGAAATTTTTTTTTTTATTTTTTTGTAATCATTTCTTCAATAAAAAAAAATTATTAAAATTTTTAAATGTCGGCTAACTTAATTTTCATTTATTAAATATTAATAAATTTTTTTTAATACTAACAAATATTTATTAAGGATCAAAAAGTTGTCTCTAATAAATGATTTGTTAAATATTAACAATTTTTTTTAACTATAAACAAATCCTTCTATCAGTGCAGAACTTTTTTTTTGTTAATTGCAATAATAAAATGTCTTTGGCTTTTTAAATAATCGTAGACTAAAATAAGTAATAATAATTAATAAAAAAATATAAATATAAAAAAAACTCAAGCTCTAAAAAAATAAACCAAGACATAAAAGGATAAAAGACGCTCTTCCATAAACGTGTAGTCACATAAAAATAATTCCACCGTACCCGGCTTTAAAGTTATTTAAACAAAACCGGCTCCAGAAATTTTATAAAAATAAAAATTATGTACCGATGATTTAATAAATGATCAATGAAAGTGATAGGGAATTAAACGATTATAAATTAATATTTAATTTGATAATAAAATTAATAAAATATAAAATAAAATGAGCTTAGCGCGTCAATGGACTTAATACTTAAGATGTTGATACGATTAGTTTACGATGATAGATATGTAATATATATAATACAATACACGTAATATATAGGTAATAATAACACATATGATTAACATTCACTGACTGACTAGACGACGACGACACGGCGAACGGCGACTACGGATGCCGAGGACGCTCAGTACTTGCTGGGTTTGCTTGATATGTTGATGGTTTGCTTGCACAACTCAAACTCACTATGCTCACAACTCACAATGCTTTCTTGAATCTTCAATGCTGGATTTATGTGTATTAGTACTGTACTTGGACGAGTGCTGGGTATGACTCGCCGTTGGCTTGCAGGCTTATAATACACATTTATGTCTTTGATGTATGTGTACAGTGTAGAAACATATATATAAGTATATATACTTTACTTCTCTTTGGTAGAAACTTGTATAGGTATTATATGGAGTTGGGTGTCGTGAGTCGTGAATAAGTGACCACGCCTGGCGCAGATGTATCACTCGAGTATATATATATATATATATATATATATATGTATATATTTAATATATATGCTGCACTATAATATATAGTGTGTATAATGTAGGTGCGTGTGTGACTGTGTGCCTGTAAAAAAAAGAGGATGAGTAGGGAGTACAGTACTGAGTAAACTGAGTAAACTGAGTTGTATGTATAGTAGTGAGTAGTGAGGTTCAGATGAGAATTGAGGAGGTAGAAAAAAAATAGAGAAGGGAGAAACTTGCTTGTCGAAGCTGATACGGTAACAACCTCTTGTCTTTTTGACTTTACTTGTAATTCTGAGATATTATGTTAAAGTATAAGACACTGTGGTTTATTTTGTTATTATTATTATAATTGTTGTTTTTTTTTTACTATTATATATTATTTTTACTACTGCCGTATTTCTACCACCATTTTTACTTTCAGGTTCAGTTCTTCTTCCTCACTCGTATCGCAGCACTTTTATGATAGTGAGTCGTTGAGTTTTTAGCTTTTAGCTGGATATGGATGCGACGACTAAGCATAAGCAATGACCGTGTTACTGGTTCTGGGTTTTGCCTCAGAGCGACGCCACTTTCTGACACCGATGACTCACTTTTAAAATCCCCTAATTTTCGGTCGATTGCGGATTTTTAAAATCCACTTACTATGTTCGTGTTCGACTGAGGAATTCTATTAGGGGAATTTTGTTTTGTGGAATAATTGATTATTCCAAGTGTTGAAGACGCACATATGAGCTTAAAAGTTTAAGATGTTGAAAAATAACTTTTTTTTTTTTTTTTTAATATCTTTTTTTTGCAGGTATAATTATAATACTAAAGTTAGCCGACGTTTTTGATTTTTTTTTTCATATTAATTAAACTAGGACAAAAAAATTTGTTTTTAAATTGCACTTACAGTTTTTTACAATTGAAATTTTTTGTAATAATTTTTTTTATAAAAAAAAATTCTAAAAATTTTTACATGTTGGCTAACTTAGTTTTCACATATAATTAATCAAATTAGCTGAAATTAAGTATATTTGAATTTTTATTCAAATTACAATTGAATTGTTATGAAAAAAATTCCACATGAAAAAATTTAAATAAAATTACAAGTGCAAATTTTTAGAAATACTTTTTTATCATAATTAATTTGTTAAAAAAAATTTTTAAATCTGTCAGATGTTTGCTGATTTCAGTATTATATTTTTATTGCATAATTGTGATTTAATTAAGATAAAAAGTTATTTATAAATTGTCAAATATTATAATTCAGAGTTTTTAGTCATTTTTGTTTGTAAATTATTAAATTTACTTGTAAAAATATTTATTTTTTTCGATTAAAATGGCGACGGCTAATTTAACAACAGCTAATTTTGTTATGATACTAAAATTAGCCAACGTTTCAAAATTTTTGATTTTTTTTTTATTTAAATTAGAACTAAAAAAATATTTTTGAAAAATTGCACGTATAGTTTTTAAAATTTTCTGTTTGAAATTTTTTTTTTTTAATAATTTTTCAATAATATTAATTAAAAAAATTTTTCCGGTTTTAATTTTCATATTTTGTTTTGTTTGAAAATTAGATTTTTCTAATTATTAAAAATTTTTTCCGACAGGGCTAACGTTTGAAGTGACATTCAATTTAATTTTAACAAATTAAATACGTGAAGAAGATAAGTTTATTGACAATGTCATAATTATTATTTATAAATAAAAGATTGAATAAATGTTAATAATAACAGAAACGTTGCGCGAAATAAAAAAATTTTTTTTTTTTTAATAATTTTTCAATAATATTAATTAAAAAATTTTCCGATGTTTTAATTTTCATATTTTGTTTTGTTTGAAAATTAGATTTTTCTAATTATTAAAAATTTTTTCCGACAGGGCTAACGTTTGAAGTGACATTCAATTTAATTTTAACAAATTAAATACGTGAAGAAGATAAGTTTATTGACAATGTCATAATTATTATTTATAAATAAAAGATTGAATAAATGTTAATAATAACAGAAACGTTGCGCGAAATAAAAAAATTTCATCTTGATCTTAAACTCTACATCCTCTAAATTTTGGAAAATATTTATTTTTTTTAATTCGGTACTAAACAGTGAAGAAATTCATTGAACGTATAATTTAAATGAAAACTAATTAGTAAACTCAAGTAATTAAAACACATCAGATATGAAGTACAATAACTTATTAATAAAAATAAATCTTTAGAAAGTTTCATATATCTTACTTAGTTAAAAAATGTATAATAAGTAACCAAAAGATGTGTTTCTATTGAAATACGATAAGATAAAGATAAATTTATTTGTTTACTATGATTTAGACGTCATGAATTTAAAATAGCGATAAAAAAAAAGTCAAAATTACAACTAAAATAATGTAAATAAATCATTTTACATTGATAAACCTAGTCTTAACTTTTTTTAGTATAAAAATTACGTTTCAAAAGACCCGATGTTTCACTCAAGCATTTTAATTGTAAGATTTCTTGGAATTTCAATTGAATAGAGTGCGTACGCGCGTGAATGATATTATCTTAAAAAAATAAAAAAAAAAAAATCAATTGAGAGTTCTTGAAATAAATGAAAATACTGTTTATTGCTTATAATTGTATACAGTACCTTATTAGATGAATCGTCCGATTGTGTATGATCATAACGAGCCAATATTGACGGATTTAAACGCTTGCGAACCATCGGACTGGCCATTTCTTTTTTATCAATATAAATTATCCGCAATCAGAATTTATTATCTCTTAATTATTCTTTCAATAAAATAAACTTTCACTAAAAATTCAGATTTCTTTCACTAAAATTCAGACTTAAATAAATTAACAATTAAACAAATAAAATAAAAAAATCCTTGAAGAAAACTATTCAATGAAGCTAATGGCACATTGTTTGAATGGGCACTGGAAGAAATATGACTAGTGAATTCTATACGGAATGTATGATACACTTATAAAGATATGTAGTCTTACATTTAAAATATAAATTTTTTTATCTGAAACTTACCGCTAACGTAGATTAGTGACCGTGGCGCAATAGTTGACGTGGCGAATTTATTATTATATTCAAGTTTATTGCTTGTGAATATATTATTATATATATATTATATACATATAAATACTCATTGTTATTTAGTATGTATACAACAAGTTATAAGCGGTGTCAATGGCGTCCCGGAAAACCGTTTTGATAACCATTTATAGATAAAAATATGCGCATAACTTAATATAACGTACGCCAGGAGTTTATATCTATAAGAAGAGAAAAGTTTTATTATTATAATATAATACTAAGTCAATAACATTATAATTTATCAATCAATATAAGAGTTTATTGATCATATATATATATCAAACATATTTTCTTATCTATTACAGTCATTTTAATACAATTACTTGTAAGAAATAATAAATTTATTTTGTAATAAAATTTAGTCAAGATAATTTTAATTTTTATGAAGCTAATTTACTGTAACCCATTTAATTTATTAATATGTATAATTATATGTAATTAAAAGTAATTATCTTTATAGAGTAGTCTTATAAATTTATATGTCAGTCAATACTTGGTAAATTATAAGTTTTATACTCACAATTATTTTTTTACACTTGAAATTACAGGAAGAAATTTTTTTGGAGTGTTTTTTATTTTATTTAATGTTTAAAATTTAAGTAAACATTTTTTTTTTAATTCTAAAAGCTTAAATTAAATTAATCATTTAGATTAAAAAATACTTTTAAAAAAAATAATTGATTTAATTAATTTTTAAATTATTATTTTATAAAAAAATTTAAGCTTTTATAAATTATTTTTAATTGATATTTAAAATATTTATTGACATAATATTAATGAATAAAATAATTATAATTTATTTTTTATTTGCGCGGTAAAATTTATTTAAAAATTTGTCTTCTAGAGCGCGCTGCATTCTATTGCCAGAACTAATTAATTTTTCTTCCTTATCTTTACTCCGAAATTTGTAACACCACAACCCGGCATAAATCTTCAATTTATATATAAAAAATTTCTTTATTGGTTATGATTGCATTACCGTATGTTTATAATGTGCGAATAATTAAATAAAAATTTATAAATAAATGATGATTGGTGTGAAGTAGTGAATTTAATAAATTTTCAATTGTTGCGGGCTTTTCGTTTGTAAAATAAACAATGAAGCTGTTGAAACCCAACTGGGTGTCTCATGATGGTATTTTATTTTTTATTTATTTATTATCTAACACTTGATAATTACTTATTAATTACTTTCAATTATTATCCACAGATTTTCCGATATTTTCCGTGGATATCCATCCTGATGGCAAGAGATTTGCTACTGGAGGCCAAGGTATTTTTTTTTTTTTTAATAAATCACACAGTCTATTACATTAATGACATATTAAATATTGAATTTAATTAGGAGGAGATTCTGGCAGAGTTGTCATCTGGAATATGGAGCCAGTTATCAACGAAGCCGCGGAACTAGATCAAAATGTTCCTAAGATGCTTTGTCAGCTAGACAATCATTTAGGTAATTATTTTTTTTGCTTTTTTTTCATGTTACAATCAACTCCAAAATAAAATAACTGACATTAAGATATATTTGATAATTTTTTTTAATAAATAAATTATGATAAAAAAATATGACACTGAAGTTGAAAAACAATAGAAATTTTTTTATAATTTTATAGCAATTAAATTATTTTGAAAAAAAATTAATTAAAAAATTCCACAAGTGAAAATTAAAAAAAAAAAATTATTAGAACCGTTTTTTATTATTTTAATTAATTTTTTATAAAAATTAAAAAAAAATTAACAGTTACCTGCTTCGATGTCATCAAAAAAACTAGAAGAAAAAATCCACGCCTAGGAATTAAAAAAAAAAACTATTAATTCTATTTTTTAAAAATAATCTGTATTATTAAGAAAATAAGTAAAATTTTGTGGCCTGTGTATTGATGTGATAAAATGGGTTTTTATGGATATTTAGGCTGCATTCGAAAATGCTTTATCTCTAGATACATAATTAAGAAATGACCTTTTATCTTATGAAATATTGACATTTTTAAAGATATAAGCTCATCCCGACATTACACTCACCAAGACCTTTCATTTGAGTACCCGCATCAATTTTTCATATATTTATATATATTATATAATATATATATGTATATATGAAAAATATATGAAAATGCATGTGGGTACTCAAATGAAACCTTTTGATGATTGTAACATCGGAATGAGCTTATATCTTTAAAAACGTCAATAGTTAAGAAAGTACATTGCAATTCAACGTAATCAAGAAATTACCTTGTATCTTGTGAACTATTGATATTTTTAAAGATATAAGCTCATCCCGATGTTACACTCATCGAGACCTTTCATTTGAGTACCCACATCAATTTTTCATATATTTATATATATTATATAATATATATATGTATATATGAAAAATATATGAAAATGCATGTGGGTACTCAAATGAAAGCTCTTGATGAGTGTAACATCGAGATGAGCTTATATCTTTAAAAATGTCAATAGTTAAGAAAGTACAGAGCAATTTAACAAAGCAAAATTTTATTTATTTATAGTTCACAAGTCACTGCAGTCACATAGTGACTGCAAGGTTGCTAGTATTTTACAATTAATTTGTTAAATAAAATCTAAGAATAGTCAAATTTCTGCTTATTTCAATATTACAAAATAAAACATATTTTTTATCATTGACTTTCAGCTTGTGTAAACTGTGTGCGATGGAGCGCTGGAGGTCTTCTGGCCTCTGGAGGTGACGACAAGGTAATTATGATTTGGCGCTATCACGGGAGTGGAGGAAGCGCGTCATTTGGTGGCAAACCCAGTGTCGAGAGTTGGCGATGCGTTTCGACACTCAGATGTCACGAAGGAGACGTGCTAGACCTGGCCTGGGCACCCCACAGTCCTTGGCTAGCATCTGCGTCCGTTGATAACAGTATCATCATCTGGGACGCCTCCAACTTCCCAAATATTATCGCGATTCTCAAAGGTCACACGGGTCTTGTCAAAGGTGTGACTTGGGACCCCGTTGGCAAGTATTTAGCTTCCCAGTCAGATGATAAATCTCTGAAGGTTTGGAGCACTACGGATTGGAGTGAGACGACTTCGATATCAGATCCTTTTGTTGAATGTGGTGGTACAACTCATGTTTTGAGATTATCTTGGAGTCCAGATGGTCAATATTTAGTATCAGCTCATGCCATGAATGGCGGAGGACCTACTGCTCAGATAATTGAGCGTGGTAATTGGACTTATGACAAAGATTTTGTTGGTCACCGTAAAGCTGTTACCTGTGTAGTATGTTTTAATTATTTAATTATTCAAATCTAAATATTTTGGTAAATTAATAATAATGTATTGTTAAATTATTTACAGAGATTTAACAGCAATATATTCCAAAAGAAACAAGGTGGATCTTCAAAAGCGCGTGAATATTGTTGTCTGGCAATTGGCTCCCGTGATCGTGCTCTTTCGGTGTGGCTTACATCATTAAAAAGACCTCTGATGGTCATCAACGAATTGTTCACCCACTCCGTGCTAGATGCAAGCTGGTCGCCATGTGGCTTAAGATTAGCTGCTTGCTCTTGGGATGGTACCGTAGCGTTTATGGAATTCACCCAGCAAGAATTAGGTCGGCCGCTAAATCCTGAAGAACAGGTTCGTAATTTTTTTTTTTAATCTTTCGTTACGCGTATTAAAATTCTGATGTAAATTTAAGTAGTATTTTTTAAAGTTTAATTTAAATTAAACATTAATGTTTGAATAATTTTTCTATTCCATCAAAATCTATATTATGAAGAGAATAACCAAAATTTTGTGTCAATAGTCAATTTGTGACGATAAGTATCTAGGCTCCATTCGAAAATGCCCTATCTCTAGATACATAATTAAGAAATGACCTTGTATCTCGTGAACTATTGACATTTTTAAAGATATAAGCTCATCCCGATGTTACACTATTCGAGACCTTTCATTTGAGTACCCACATCAATATTTCATATATTTATATATATTATATATATGTATATATGAAAAATATATCAAAAATGCATGTGGGTACTTGAATGAAAGCTCTTGATGAGTGTAACATCGGGATGAGCTTATATCTCTAAAAATATCAATATTTAAGAAAGTACAGTGCAATTTAACAAAAGTCATTATTTAATAAAGTAAAACTTTGTTTATTTATAGTTGCTAGTTTTCATTAATAAACAACAAGACTAGTTAAATATTTAGTGTGAAACCTAACTTGTTATTAACTAATTACTGTTGAAATTTTATCATAGAACAATCTTCACGAGCGTTTATACGGCAAGTCATTGGTTCACGGAGGATTCACAGTAATGGAAGCACCAGTTTTGTTGAATATGAAACCACCAGCACCAACAACTCAGTCACAACCCGCTCAACCAGTTTCAAACGGTTTCTCTCCTTCAGTTTCATCATCGCCTTCTCCTATAAAAGCTCCGATAAATAAACAAATAGAAATGAGAACTTCTGATGGAAGAAGACGAATCACGCCAATGTTCATTCCTCCCCCACCAGATACAGTGTAAAATATTTTTTATCAACGTACTTCGATGATTGTTTAGAATTTATAAATAATTAACTAAAAAAAAATATTATTTCAGGAATTCTAGTGAAAGTACCGACACCACAGCAGCAATAAAAAATACTCCAACTTTTTCAAGCACATCTCAGACTAAAAGTTCTATCGTAATTGAAAAACGTGACGACGTCGTAGCGCCTAACGTCACCACGACGACAAACATGGCGACGCCGTCAACGTCGGCACCAGGACTTACGTTGAAACGTCGCGACCCAACAACCGCTCGGCCTAATCATCATCATCACCATCATCATCATCATAGTCGAAAGCCGCGTTTGGTAAACGATAAACAAGGCAGCATTGTGTTTCCGGCGTTGAAACCCGTAGGTTCACTGTCACACCAAGCCGCTCACTATGCTGTGACAGTCACAAACAATCAAAATTTAGCTCATCTACAAGTCTTCCGAGGCACGGACTCAGAACCGACGTGGAACCTTCACTTAGGCTACAGTGCTGTTGCTTTGGCTGCTTCTGCGGCTGTCATCGCCGTAGGATTGGAAGACGGAAGTATCCATACGTTTGATCCTACGAAAGGATCACGACCTGCACCGCCTTTGGCTCCACCAGCTCCTCTTGCTAAACTCCATGCTGTCGGTAATGCAGTCATGGTGATATCTTGCTGCGGTGCTGTTCGTGTTTGGGAAATCGGCAGCACGTCAAAACTTATTGTATCTACTTCTGCTAGTCATTTAGCAGCTTTTGGAGGGTCTTTACTTTCTTGTACGCTGTACAATGGAATGCCGCATCTAGGATTTACTAATGCTCGAGCATATATTTACAATAAAGATATGGGTAAATTTTTTTTATAAAAATTTATTAAGACATCTAGATTATTATTAGATATTTTTCATTTGGGACTTCAGTCTATATTCGAGCAAAGATATAATTTTGCGTTGCTAATGCCAAAAGGGCGTATAAAAAAATTTTTTTTTTCTCTAATTAATTAGGCAATGTATAAAAGTAAAATCTGGTTGAAAAACACAAAAAAATTTTTTTTCGATGTACGCCCTTTTGACTTTAAGAAAAAAATTCTTAAAGCCAAAAAAGCATATGTGAAAAAATAGTCAAAGTAGCTTTTAAGAATTTTCGAACGTCGAGATCTAATAAAAAAATGATTTTTGGAAATTGAACTGAAAATACTATTATAGCCCAATTTTTTGAAATTGTCAATTTTTGTCGAGAGAAATAAAAAATTTTCAGTCTCACTTCCAAAAATCAATTCTTCATTAGATCTCGACGTTTTAAGGTCCTTAGAAGCTACTTTAGCTATTTTTTCATATATGATCTTTAAGCATGACATTAAAGTTAGCAGTCATTTGACAATTTTTTAATTTTATTTAACAAACAAATTTATTCCAAAAAATTGCATATTTTATTTTTTTAAATTTCTACATAACAATTTTTTTTCTTATTTTCATTTGTCATAATTTATTTGTCAAAGATATTATTAAAATTATTAAATAAGTATCTGCTAAATTAATTTTTATTCTTTAGTCTTAAAAAATTTTTTTTTATACGCCTTTTTGTCATTAGTAACGCGATATAATATTGCAGATTTGTGATGAAGAAAATATATATTATAAATTATTATTATTTTATTCTTGCAATTAATTAATTCTTATTTTTTAGGGACATGGTTACTAGTTGGAGACAGTCATGATCCAGTTTGGCGTTGGTCAGCCCAAAGTGCATCGACTTTAGTTGGTAGCAGAACACCACGTGGTCCATTGTCTTCATTGCAAGAAGCATTGAATCGAACCGCTGGCGGTATAATGCCTAGTCCAAGACCACCACACAACGGCTCGAGTATTGTTTCGTATCTAGAACAACAGTTACTAGCTTCAAAAGCTTTAGGCAGTCAGCAGGAATATATCCATTGGTTCATGGCTTTAATTTCGTTTCTATTAACTCAAGGTAAATTTATATTTCTATTGCACGACTCGTGATGCGAAGCATCAGAGAGTGCTTTACGGTTTAAAATATATTAATTATGGATATAATAATAATTGATGAAAAATTGTATCTTTAGATGGGCTGGAAAAAAGATTGCGAATAATGCTTGATGATCTGATGGGACCAAGTCACAGCACTGCGGCCAAAAGTACGTGGGACCCAATGATTCTCGGTATTAGAAAGCACAAACTTTTGGCAGATGCTCTTGGAGTAATTGGCGGACATTTACGATGGCAGAGATTATATTTAGAGTATTCTGAACAATTAGCTTCGCTCAAAAGCTAAATTGAAGATCAATTAAATAAAATTAATCAATCAACTAATTAACTTATTAAACTAAAAACTAACACTAAAACTAAAAGTGAAAAAAAATCTAAAGTCTACAGTGATATTTCTAAGTAAGTTTACACAAAAGCAATTTATATTTTTATCATTATTCTAAGGAGATGAAAATAACAGAAAAAGTAAACAAAAAAATTTATATAGACTAATTGTCATTGTACTGTATGGAAAAATTTTTTGATATTGATAATAATAAGTTAAATAATTTATTTTCCAAGGAATTAAAAACTTTTTTTTTAATCCAATCTTTTTCATCCGATCTAAAAAAACCCAGAGTTTAATTAATAAATTTCCAGAATTAAAAATTCTACTTTTTTTTTTATAATTATTAATTAAAAAAAATTTTATTCTAGGAGTATTAAATAAAAATAAAAATTTTTTTTAATAAGCTTTGTTTATTTGTTTATATATAAAAATATATAATAAAGCTTGTGCATTTTATTAGTAGCGAATTTTTAAATTAAATTAGCTGACAAGCTATTATAATTACCTTCAATAAATTTTTCGCTTGGTGTACATACCAGTAAATTATTAAACATAAATAATTGGTTAATTATTTATGAATAAATCTTTCGAAGCACCATTTGATTAATATATTAATATTAAATACATGAAGTAGAATATTTAAGTAAAGTTTTGATTGTTTACTTTTAATAAATCATTGATAATTGAAATGAAATATTGACAACGACAAATATACATTTAAACAATAAATTAAATACATATTTTTGAGTCGGGTCTACTTAATAATAAGGAGTTTTATAATTAAATTTAATAATAATAATGTAGATAATTAAATCTATGTATGTACAAAATATTGATCCGGCACTTTGATTAAATCTTGATTATCTTTTTAGATTTATAGGAATTGTTTAAGGCGTTGATGAGTCTGTTACAGTTTTAAGTAATTATAATTTTTAGTTAATTAATTAATTACAAAGGTGGAGGACCATTGGGATATTCGACAACTGGAGTAAATGTCCTGGCAATGTTGTTTGAGAGCATACAGCTGTAGTCGTCCTCAGCTGTAGGCACCAGAGAAGCAACACCGAGTAATAATAACATCAATGCTTGAATTGGTAAGGAAGCTCTTAATACACGACCTAAGAAACGGTATCCACGTATTAATACCGTTCGATCTCTTTCGTCACCACTGCAACAGATGTGTAAATAATAAACAATTAATTATCAATATTTTAGTGTATAGGAATATAAAAAATTAATTTAGTTTAAAAAATAAATTTTATGTTGCTACTGCAAGAATTTATAGTTTAAAAAATATAACTATCATAATTTGTTGTTTTACTTAGTACATAAAGCATAAAAAGGTGGATAAAAAAAAAACATACTCATTACTGGATGATTGGCCGTGTAGACTGGTTGTCGAGGAAGCTCCGTCGAGCAGCTATAATTGAGCAAAAAAAAACACAAAACGTAAAGTACAAGTGCAAGTGTTGGTGAGTCTTACATAAAAAAATTATAAATTACAATTACAATATAATATAAAATACAATCTAAAAATATTTATTTTAAAATATTATCTGGATTATTATTTAATTGAGCGTATTAATTATAATGGTGCACTGAGAAAAAAAAATATTTTTACTCAATTAACAAGTTCTTGAACTAAGAATATATATTCTTGAAAATTTTCAAGAAAATAAATTTTTGTATCAAGAAAATTTTCTTAATAAAAATATTTTTTTTTCTCAGTGTATTTTAACGGTAATTAATAAATACAGATAATATTTTAGTACGTGTGTAACGACAACGGTGCTCCTACTATGCAGGTACAATTTACGATTTAATTACTATTCAATAATAGTCATCAAACACGTACGCGTAATTAGTCTACTCGGTAAAAAATTAAAAAAAAAATTTTTAAGCGTTACATTTAATTATTTTAGTAATTAAATTTGCTTACATCGTTAGAGAGTGAGGCTAGCGACGATGAAGTGGCAGCAAGTCCGACTTCTTTGGGGTCTAATCCGAGAGCTGCACCGAGTTTCAGTGCATAAATGCCGGTTAATCGTCGTAATGATTGCAACCGAAGCTTTAGTTCGTGCAAACGACCGCGGATTTCCATACTTTCGTCCAATAAATGGTGCGCTGACTCTTCAAGTGATACCACTCGTGGTTCACAACGTTCTAAATCACTTCTTAATTCCCTGTAATTAAATAATTTTTACAAAATTTAAATCATTAATTAATTGTATGATAAAAGATAAATTAATTGATTATTGATTGTAAAAAATTACCTGAATTTATTGTACTTGGATTTAATAACATCAACATTATCAGCCAAATCGATGGGCTCATTAGCTTGGATGGAATTTTCCGTTCTCTCTAGCCAGCTGAGCAGTTCTTCGACAATCCGGTGGAACTGTTGGTTGCCCATCAGAGCAGACTGCAACGCAGACTGCCAAGTTCGCGCGGTAGAACAGACGCGTTCCCACCTTGAGTTAGCGGTCGCAAGACGATCGCGAAGTTCTTGAGCCCGCTCGACATCTTCCGTGTGGTCTGCGAGATGCGAGCCGACTATGTTCAGACTAATTACGATGCTTTTGTGACTGTCCAGGTCCAAGAGGAACTCACGGTGGTCTTGAATAATGTCCTCCAGGTCTTCAATGTTGCTCGGCGGGGAACTTTGCTCGCTTTGAATACCTTCCGCGTACTCCAACCACTTTTCGAGTCGCCAGAGGTCTATGTCCAGCTGCGCCCAGTTTCGTCGCGAACACAGTGGACATGTAAGTCTACCCTGATCGCTGTTGAATAAATTTATTATTTATTAGCATAAATGTCAATTAATGTTTTCGATTTATCAATTTTAATTATGCAGTTATAATTTATTTTTTTTAGAGGAAAAAATTAATCAAGAACTAAGTGATTATTCAATAATTAATGCATGATACTGAAATTTAGAAACATTTGATCATTTTTAGGATTTTTTTAATAAACTAGCAACTTAGCAGTCACTATGTGACTGCCGGGACTTGTGAACTATAAATAAATAAAATTTTGCTTTATTAAAAAATGACTTGTTAAATTGCACTTTCTTAACTATTGACATTTTTAAAGATATAAGCTCATCCCGATGTTAAACTCATCAAGAGCTTTCATTCGAGTACTCACATGCATTTTTGATATATTTTTCATATATACATATATATAATATATATAAATATATGAAATATTGATGTGAGTACTCAAATGAAAGGTCTGTACTCAAATGAAAGGTTTCGATGAGTATAACATCGGGATGAGCTTATATCCTTAAAAATGTCAATATTTCACAAGATAAAAGATCATTTCTTAATTATTGATATTTTTAGAGATATAAGCTCATTCCGATGTTACTCAAATGAAAGGTTTCGATGAGTGTAACATCGAGATGAGCTTATATCTTTAAAAATGTCAATAGTTCACAAGATACAAGGTCATTTTTTAATTATGTATCCAGAGCGAGAAAAATTTAGAAGAAAATTTCACATTTTAAAGTAAAATTTTTTAAAAATTATTTTTAAGATCTAGTTTGTTTGCCAAATAGTCCAAAAAATTGTCAAGTGTCTGCTAATTTCAATATCATATTAATGCTTGAATTTTTTGTTAAGGAATTTTTTGAAAAAAAGAAAAAAGAATAAGTTGGAAAATTGTTAGATAGAGTTAGACTCACTGTTCACATGGAAGAGAGTAAGCGTTGACTAGAGGCGACCTGTCAATAAAGATTACCACAAGAATTTATTAGTCAGGTTTGGTTCTTCATGCACTTCAATCAATCAAATGTCAATTTTAATATAAATTACAATATAAATTTTAAGGTATCACTGATTGTAAAGACGTTAATAATTAATGACAAATTCAGTTGATATGAAGATAAATTAGTAAGTCACACAGTAGGAGTAAACAAACTGACCTTATTTCGCGAATTTGTTGCTCACGAGCTCGTGCTCGCACTACTGTACTTTCGTAGCGCATACTTAGATCGTTAACCTCGACGGTTTTGGCTACTTCGTCGTTCAATTTTCCATCTGCTGTCAATAGTCCGTGAAGATGTTTCGCCAGTTCAATTGCCGACTGACAACTTCCCATTAATTTTGCCTGAAAAGTAGGTTTATAATTATTTCAAGAATTTTTATAGTTACATGAGTATCAAAATAAATTTTAAAAGGTATTAATGCATTTTTTTTTAAGTAATATAATTATTACTAATTTAATTGGTAAGTAAAATCAAAAATATTTAAACTTTGACTGATTTCAGTATCATATAAATAAATAAATAATTGCAACAGGTTAATTTTTGATGATACTGAATTTAGCAGACTGATAACTTTTTAGATTTTTATAACAATTAAATAATAATAAAAAAAATTATGACATTTAAGTTAGCAGTCACTTGATAATTTTTTAATTTTATTTGAAAAATAAATCTTTTCTGGAAAATTATTAAAAAAAAATTGCATTTATAATTTTTTAAAATTTCTACATGTCAATGTTTTTTCCTCTTTTTTTTTTTGCTATAATTTATTTGTTAAAAAAATTCTAAAAATTATTAAATATTTGCTAAATTAATTCTGATAAAAAATTTATCAAAAATATTCCACATGTAGAAATTTTAAAAAATAATAAGAATTGTTTAAAAAAATTTTTTTTTAATAATTGAATTGTTTGATGTCTGTTAATTTCAGTATCATTAATTTTTATAAATTACATTGATGACTGATAAACATTCTTAGATTCAAAAATATAACCTTAACTTGTTATGACATGACAGCTCACATTAATTTGAATATTATCCATAAATATGTCTTTTATTTATAAAAACACAATTATTTATGAATAAATCAGATCATATTTAACTAGCAATAAAATTTATAATTAATTAATTTTAAAATGACAGCTATAAAAAAATTCAAATTTCCCGCGAGAAAGTAAGACGTCATTTTGTTTTTTTAAAAATGTAGAGTGGGGGAAAAGCGACCGTTAAAAAACAGCGACAGACTCTCAATTCAAATTGGTTCATCTTGTACCCGTGTTTACTCTCGAGACACCGTTCTATTGACTGAAAAGTATTTTTTAGGTAATCGTACCGGTGTTTTACAATTTTTGACATTATTAAACAAAGACAACCGTGACAGTTCGGGAATTTTTGCATGATTTTTATCCAATAAGATATTCTTATTTTTTTTCTAAGTGTGTTTAAGTTTTAAGTTCAATAAAATGTGCTAAGTTGAGTGTAAGATAATAAAGTTAGCCGACGTTTTTAATTTTTTGTTTTTTTTTTTTTAATAATTAAATTCTAACTAAAAAATATTTTTTAAAAGTTGCACGTATAGTTTTTCAAGTTTTTTACAATTAAAATTTTTTTTTAATTTTTTCAATAAAAAAAATTCTAAAAATTTCTAATGTCGGCTGACTTAATTTTCATGAGTGTAAGTGCTGACATTGTGAAAGTTTCTGAAGATGATAAATTGACATTCAACTTTAAAGTTTTTCATTCAACTCAATGTCTTCAAAATAATTCAAGTAAGTCATTGCTTTTTTCTGAAAATTATTTTATTGTTATCAATAATTTATTTTACTTGAAACGAAATAAATTAAAGCAATCTTTCATTATCTTATTAAATGAGAGACTGATATAAATTTAAAGCGAAGCAAAATATTTGTATTTTTAATTTTGAAAAAACATTTTTTAAAGGTCATAGATTCTACGATAATTATTTTAATTCGAAAAATCGCAATTTTTAAATTAACTGATCATTTTATGACATTAGAGTTAGCAGTCACTTGATTATTTTTTAGTTTTTTTTCTATAAATAAATTTGTTCCGAAAAATTATTTAAAAAAAATTGCATTTTTGATTTTTTAAAATTTCTACATGTCAATTTTTTTAATAATTTTTTTTTGCCACAATTTATTTGTCAAAAAAATTTGTAAAATTATCAAATATCTGCTAGATTAATTTTCATGATCATTTTATATCAGATGATGATTTTTAGGATTTTTTCCATCAAATAAATCAAAAACTAACATTTTTTTTTTTATTTCCACAAGAACTGGAAAATTATCAGTTGCCTCCTACTTTTAATTCTATCAATTCAAACAAATTCCATTTTTTCACAATTAAAAAAAAAAAAAATAAGGTAGATTTTAAAAAAACTCACAATATTCTTAGCTGTGGAAGCAAGTCCCGGTCCAGGAGTAGGTTCAGGAGATATCGCATCCTCTAGCTCTTCAAGCGCATTGCGACACTCGCTCAAAGCGGATTGAAGCTCAATCAAATAAGCATCACATGAAGTCATCCTCGTGAGCCTGGGTAGAGTATCTACTTGAACGGCACTATCCTGTTCAAACTTCAAAGTCTCAACTTGAACGGCCTCATCGACCTCCATTTTATCACTGCTCTCCTCAAACTGTGTCTTCAAAGTAGCCACTCGACTCTTAATATCTTGCCACAGCAGCTGGTACTCATCAACAAGCTCTTGAATAGCCGGCACATCATTAGGCGCGCAATCTTGCATTACAATTAGCGCAAGTTCATCAGCCCTCTGCAAAGTCCTGCTCTGAACCGCCAATTCCTTCTCAATCTCCATAATCTGCTGGAGCCTGCGCCTCACCGAAACCTTCTGCTCCAGGTGCTGAACTTGGGTCAGCTTAACGTCAACCTGAGTCAGTCCTACCACCGCAGAACCATGAGCAGTTATAAACTCGCGATAGGCTTTCTGTTCGCGTCTGAGAGCCGAAATGATTAAATTGGCTCGCGGCTTGAGCGCTTGCCATCGATCTAAAAGTAACCTGACATCCACCGTAAGCGCCTTGAAGTTCTCAGGTTCCAGTCCACTTTTAGCAAGCCTGCTGTAACTCTGCTCGATAATAACCAGCGCGGGTTTGTGCGCGTCAATGTCTTTTAAAACCCGACGAGTCTTGCTGAGTATCTGCTCACCTTCTTTGCTCGTTTTGTCCAACCCCTCTTCTAGCCCCAGCAATTCTTTCTCAACATCCGCAATCCACTGCTCTTGCTCCTGCTTAACCTTATCCAGCTCTTGTACCAGCTTCCAGGCAATAATAATCTTTCTCTTGCGCTCCGCAGATCTGACACAAGTAGACTTCCATCTTTTCTCCAAACCCTTCATGCCCGACTTAATCGGCTCGGTGTTAAATGAAGCCTTCCAAGCATCACAATCATTCAGCAAAATTTCACAAAGATTAAGTACTTCCCCAATCTTCCCACTTTCATCTTCAATAGTCTTCTGAAGCATCTCATGGTCTTCCAGCTTCTTATCAATCGTCTTTTGAGTCTTACTTTCAATGACAAACGCCTCAGTCAGCTGCAATTCAACCTTTCCAAGCCACCCGCGAATTTCAGCGATGCTCTTCTCCAACAAGTTCATCGTCTGCATCAAATCCAGCAGCTTGGTAGTCCTGGCCTTTCCAGCACTGAGCAACCTCGCCCAGCGCTCGTTAATGTCATCTAATGACCTCTGAATCAGCTCTCCGTCTTCTTTATCAGCAATATCAACCAGCTCCAAGCCGGTAGTTTGCAGCCAGTCTAGCTCACGCTGCTTCAAAGCCATTTCTGCATGAAGCTCGCCTTCCAGACGCTTTAAAGCTTCTTCAGGCTCTTCTAGCGACGAATCGCAACTATTGATCCGAGTCTCTGCGTCAGTGACCCAGACGAAGAACCTCGTTAATCTCTTGTCCCATTTTCCTCTTAAACTAAGCCGCTCCCCGAGTTTGTAGACCAGCAAAGCGAGCTGGTGCTCCAAATCACCGTGCTGCTGCCAGAGAAGAGAATTGTGTTGGTTGAGGCTCTTCATATCCGAGGGAGAAAGACACTCGCGAAGCTGCTCTGTTGTGACTCCTAGGGCTTCTAAATGACTTGGGGCGTCGTTCAGTTTAGCTCTTAGTTGCTGCAGCGAATCTAATTGCTGCTTCACGTGCTGTAAGTTACTTGAGGAATTGTGGAACGCGGAGCTTATGGTCTGGCTTATATCTTGGAACCTTTTGGTGATGATAGCAGTCTGTTCGACATGTTGTTCGTTTAACTTTCGTATCCTGAGGACGAAATCGCGCCAAGTTTCTAAGCTAGCGCGTAAATTAGTTATTCTTTGGGTATTAGCTGCGTGCTCCATGCGAATTGAAACTGCGAGCGCTTCTTCACAGTCGCTTAACAAGGAGTCTTGCTGAACTGATAAAGAATTTATCTGGGCTTCTCCACTAGGTACTTTTTCTAATAAAGATTCTATTTTACTGATTATTTTATCCAGTCTTCTAACGTGAATGAATCTCAATTGCAGCCGGCTCTTTTCTCGCTCGATTTCTTTCAACCAGGACAGTAATTTACTCTGGTCCAGTTTATACTTGTCCCAGGCGGCGAGTCGGTCGCGAACAGACGCATGTCTGTCCATGATTTTAGACAAAGTTTCATTGTGGAGGTTCGTCAGGATATTAAACTGCTCGGCGACTGATAAATCGCGGCCTTTTTCCGCCCGGATTGATAGAATCAGGTGCTGTTGGTCCGTGAGCAGGTTCTTGTGGACTTCGCATAGGTTCCTGTGCTCTGATAGTCCGTTGTAGTCGCCCGGCATGTCGTTGGATAGGAATTCTTGTACGTGTGATAAGTACTCTTGCCAGAGACGCAGTGCTGCTGCGACATCCTCGGATCTGACTAGTCTCGCGGATAATCTGTGGTATTGTTGGAAGGTCTCGCGGAACACTCGCTGCCAGAGCTGGAGGACGTCGACCACGGAAGTTTCTGTGGTGGCTACGTCTAGAGCTCGGTCTTTTATTGACTGTAATTGCGGCTCCGTGCGAGTTAATGCTAGCAAGTGGTTCCGGAGAAGGTTCAGCTGTTCTTTCGATTCACCTTGACCCACTGTGATCAGGCTCTGTAATTTAAATGTGTTAATTATTAGTTGGTTGTTATTGTGATAATTGAAGAAAAAATTATTGTTTCCTGGGAATATCTAAGGATATTTTTATGTGATTATTGTTCTGTTGGTAGTAGACAATTTTTTAATCTGTAGAATCGACAGAGAATAATTTTTTAGTTATCTTGGAGTTGATAAAAAAAATTTATCTGTTTTCATTGGAAATTTTGGTTTGATTTATCGGGTTGAAAATGTAAAAAATTTTCATAAAAGGATTTTGTCTATTACACTGTAAAAAATTCGTGAATAAATAAAATACTCCACGAAGCATATCTGAGGTTTTTTTTCTGTAGAGTGATTTTAAATTTTGATTCCAAAAAAATTTTACGGAATTTTTAGACTAAAATAAATTTTTATTTAGCTGAAGTTTGATGTGTCAAATTACTAGCAAATACTTAAAAAATTTATTTTAAGTTTAAGTTTGTAAAAATTAATAATGTTTTTTTAAAAAATTTGGCTTTTTTATAACATTGAAACAAAATTTGATAAATATTGTTGATAAATCCTAACATAACAAGTAAAAAATAATAAATTATCAACTTTACTACGTTTAATTAAATAAAGTTAATTACTTTAATGTTACTAAAATTTAATGACACAGCAGTTTTTAGGATTTCTTATCAAATAAATTATTACAGAGAGAATTTATCAAAAAATGCTACTTATCAAAAAAGAAAAAATATATTGATACAATTTTTTTTTTTTTAATTAATTAAAATTTATTTGTCATATCAAACTGAGGAAAAATGTTTTATTGATTTGTAAAATCTCTAAATATTTATTTAGTGATTTTTTAACAAAATTTTTTTTTATTTTTATTCAATAGAAAAAAATAAAGAATTTACTCCGTGAAGTTTTTTTTTTATTGATATTCACTCCAGAAGGATTAAACTAATTAAAAATCATTCACTCCAAAAATTTTTTACAGTGTCTATAAAATGAAAAAATCATAATTTATCACTAAAAATTTTTATGAGTACTATTTTATTATTCGATCGTTACAAAAGCAAAGTTGAATTGTGAATTACGGGAAACAAAGTTTAGCAATGTAAAGTACGAAAATCCTTTAGGATGGGAGGGCGTTTAATCACTGGGTTTTGCTCTTATGGATTAGTTGGAGAACTCATTCAGATTTCTCAGAGTTTTCTCACATCAGAGGTTCGAAGGTATCGTGACCAGAGGAAATAGCCACGTGTTTGAAGTGTATAAGTCCTTCGACCTTGACACAACAAATTGTTTCGGAACTACAATTAAAATATATGCCCTCGTGTGCGAGGATGATTGAGTTGTGCCAAGCACCTACTGCGCGTAAAGTGCTAACCCTGAAGAGTGATATAAGTAATACCTTGCTCAGGTATTTATTTACTTTACTCATTTTTAAAAATAATAAATTCTATATGTTCCAATGGATTTGCCCTTGGGGATTCGTTTAATTATTAAATAGCCTTGGGTATTAAGTTAAAAGGATCCTATGATTATAATTTTTTTTTAATTTTATACAAACTCAAAAGTATAAAAATTTTATTAAAAATTAAAAATAAAATTAGTAATTTTTTAATTTTTTTAAATTTCTACTTAAAGGATAATTTTTGGATTGATAAAAAAAAAATAAAAAATTTTAAATACCTGCTGAACAGAATCCAAGAAATTTTTAGTTTGACATAAATCTCCACGTGTCAGCTCCTGATTAAGCGCGCGAGCATCCGCGGTATCCGCGAGGGTTGACAGTGTCTCGCGTACATCCTCAAGCCGGCGTCCCAATGCCTCAACTTCACAGTGCAGAGGTCCATTGCTGTCTAGGCCTACGTCTGATGCAATTTGCGCGACCAGCCCGCGTAATTCCGCCAGCCGTTCCTTGTGTTCCGCTAAAGTTTCTTCGCAGACCTGAAATACGAGCAAAATAACATTAATTAAGTAAAATAAAATAAATTAAACAATACAAAGTCCTGTTAAAATTTACATATTATACTCTTTTAATTCAAACAAATACTTGAGAAAAAAAAATCTAAATACTTTTCGCGTCTTTATCCAGAAATTTTAAAACGCCGGGTAGCATTCCATATCATTACACAGCTATATATTTATAGATCGGCATTTTCTGGTGGTGTCTACATGTTGAATGTATAATTCATCGTGAAATGTGTACTGTCTCCCTAATTCCTTTCTAATTCTATGTCGTACGGAAATAATACCGTTTTATTTAACGCAACACACTTGTATGACATTAACCGGCTACTTATACGGCTTTAATAACAATAATAGTAATAAAAAAAAAATAAAAACCTAATACATTATTGATTTTCTAGATTGAAATCAGATTTTACAATTATTTTAATTTAAAATAATAACAATAATACTCCGTAAAATTGATTATCGATTTCTATCAAAAAATTTTCCGCGAAAACCATAACACGTGACCTACATAACTATCTATCCCATAAAAAATTACTTTGTCACTCACTACATAACACGTATATGCAGGTATTGTCTAAAAAGAAATAAAATAAATATACCTTAAGTTCTTCTGGTGTACACATTATCAATTACTTTAAACATTATTAATATAACATACACCACACATATTTTTTCTCGGAAAAACTTCTATTACTATTTCTATTTACTTTTCGGAGAAAAATTTAAAAAATTTGCCACAGTACACAGTGTAAACTTATTATATATAAATACACAAATATATAAATATGAATATAAAAATATAAGACTAAGTCTCTAACTGAGACATAAAAGTATCTAGTTTTGTTTCGCTCGGAGTAATTTCGCACATGTGCCCGTTAAATGAAAATACCGCGTACTCGTACAAATACATATACGTATACACATACATATATACATAAAAGTATACATGTGCTTACAAATATATTCAATGAATAGTCTCATCAATCATCCATTTAATTAAATTAAATTAATCTATTACTATTTCAACTTCTAGTTCTATTAGAAACACAATTTGTCATTTGAAAATTCTCAAGAAAATTTTTTTTTATTCAACTATTTAATTATTTACACACTTTATTGTTATTAATAATATTTATTATAAATTATTAAACTACTAGCGATTTATCAAAAAATTTTTTAAACGTGTAAAAATACAAAAATGATTCAAAAAATGAGAGCAATAGCCGCGTTCGGCGTACGGTCATGGACCAGACTGGCTGCGGGATCGATGCGCGACTCGCGCCACCAGAAAAAGTGAGACAAAAGATGGGATGAACATACTAAATGAGTAAGACCGATGATGTATTGAAGATAGCAAAGAGGGAGTATGAAACTGACGTCTGCCGCACCCCATACCCTGTTGCTTTTCGAGGGTTGCTCTCTGCTTTACTACTATACATCACTACCTTTCATTTTAATAGAAACTCATTATATATTGTATATGTACATCACATACATATAAATGAAATTAGGTAAAATCTATACCAGGGGATCGTCGATACATATAGTCGGGCAATCCCTTAATATTTGTGTTAGGATGACACATCACACATCTTTCTGAAATGAAAAGGGAACTCGAGATAAGAGACAGGGGTGTGGAGAAAAAGAGACTTTTGAATTAACCAGATGGTTTATCTTTTTTTTCCACGCTATCCGGCTGACCTTTGCTGTGTTTTCTGTTCCCTCCATATCCACTTTATCATTATAATTATTACATTTAAAAATATCTTCTGGGCTTATTTGTTTGTCCGATTATTTCGGTGTCAAGAAGGCGGGTTGGTTTCAATTATTTTTTTAAACAAAATCAGGGTCATGGCTGAATTTTATTTTATAGGATTGTGATGCTTTGTTTACTAATTGTTTTAAACGTTTCAGAGGTTGTGTGGAATATGAATTTATATTGTTTATTATTCGAAGAATGTTTAATTTACGCGTTTAACTTTAAAAGCTTCAAGACTTTGGATTTGATTTTACTTGAATTTTATTTTAATTCATCAGGTGAAATTTATATTTTTTCTGTTTTATTTAAAAGTTTCTTCTAAATAATAATGTTGATATTTTTATTGCAAATTTTATTTCTTCATTAGAAATTTTGTAAGAAAATTAAAAAATTGTAGTAAAAAAAAAATTACTGTCTAAACTTTTAATTTATTAATTTCTTAAAAAAAATAGCAATATTTGTTTCAATTAAAATAGAAAAATTAATTAATACTTTTATTTAAATTAAATAAAAATTATCTTGATTAATTTAAAAAATCTTTTAGACAAGAAAATATATTCTTGATATTCATAAAAAATTTCTTAATAAAATTTTATTTTTTTTTTTTTATGTATATCACAAAAAGCAATTAATTTATAAAAACTTTTTTTTTCCATAAAAATTTTAATATTTATCAAATTAAAAAAAATTAGAAAAATATATCTTTTCATTTAGTAAATAAAAATAAATTTCAATAATAGAAAAAATTATTCTAAAGATAAAAATCGTTTAAATAGTTTATTTTTTCCCTTAAAAAGTTTCTATTCAAAACTTGTCAAACTTTAATTCTTTGTTTATTTATAATTAATTCTAATTAAAATGCAATTTTTTATAATTCATAGAGAATACTTAGACTTAAATGTATAGCTAACTTTTGATTAAATTTTCAATAATATCTAAAAATTTACAAGCTACAAATGAATGAATAAAATAAAATTTCCAATAAAGAAAAAATACTGACCTTGACTTGTTTCAAAGCTTCTTCGGGAGGCAGATTAGTAATGCTTCCCATTTGAGTGTCAACCCAAGCTTTAACAGCAGCACTTGAGTCCCTGTACTGCTCCCACAATCTCACAGCGTGCTGGTACTTGGTACAAAGCTCACCCAGCTCGGATCTGGTGTCTTCCCAAGCTTGGACAGCTTCATTTACCGCGGCGTTAACGCGCTCGCTTACTTCTGCAGTGCAAACTTCCAGTAAAGGCTCCGCTGCGGCGCGCAATTCTTCTACCCAGGATTCGCGAGCTCCTAAGTCGCCATTCAGACCCTGAAAAATTCAAAAAGTCAATTAGGATTCATATAAAATTTTGAATTTTAAATTAAAAATTAAAACTAAATTTTTTAATGTAATTAATATAATGATAATTTATTAATTATTAGATAAATAATTTATATCGATGATAAATATTTTTTATCCATGACACACATTCGTGTTGATGAATGTATAAATATTTAATAAAATTTTCTCGAGATATAGAACGCTTAAAGTAAAAACGAGTGTGTAAATGGGTGAATTTATTTTCTGATCTTACGTCATTGAAAAGATCACCGCATATAATATAAAACATAAACCTAACTTTACATTTATATTTATATCTTTACTATGTTTCCGTATTTCAATAGCACGCGTCATTGATATTTTATATTTACGTCGACACGCAATTATAATTATTACGCGTGTTATGCTCGCGCGAAATGAATTATTATAATTGCTATCGGCCATTGCGAAATTAAGCTAATCGGTTCAGGTAAAGAAACGTAGTTGGTTGTTTATTTTCTGTATGGATGAGTGGGTGGTATTTAAAGTTTATATCAATAAGTTTTATTTTCAATAGAATTCAGTCTGATTTTTATTGAAGTAATTGTTTTTTTTAAACTTGGGTAATTTTATAACAATTGCTTTGGTGGACACACTTTGGCATGCAGGTCACGAACGTAGACGCTCTGCATCCGGTATCCATAAATAGTTCATTACACTCGGCGATCTGGGTGATAATATTTATCGCCGATTAATAATTATAAATTTATCCTCAAAGAGATACAATTTTTTTTTTTAAATGAGTAAATACTCCGTTTAAAAAAAAATGAATTTTAATTGAATAAAAATTTTTTTTAAGAAAAAATAGTCGAATTTAATAATAATATTTATAATTCACTAATAACATTAAATAAAAATTTTTTCTTTAATAATTAAAGAAATTTTTCATTTAAAATTCGAGCCACAAAATAAAATTTTGGAGTTTAATTTTTTACAAAGTAAAAAAAAATTATAAATATTAAAGATTAAAAAAAAATATTTTTTATTGCAAAAAAAAAATGATTGAACTTAAAAAATTATATTGAAGAATATATTCGGTAAAAATTTTTAAGAATAAAAGAAATATCAATATTGATTAAAATTAGATTAAAAAAATTGCATGAACAAATTTTTAATTAAAAATTTTCAGAGAAAAAAAATAAACTGAGCATAAAATTACTGTTAAGTTTTTAAAGAAATTGCAAAAAAAAAATTTATATAGAAAACTCTAGATAAAACTTGAGAAAAAAAATATATAAAGCACGGATTTTACGGAAGTAATGTTTCCGGTAAGCGAGCATAGCTTCTCACGAAGGAATTTTCGTACCGCCTAATGACAGCCACCAAGAAACAGCTACTAGAGAATAGAAAGAGAATCCAACTCTTTAAGTACAAAATATATTTAAACATATAGAGATACACATACTTTTTAAATGAATCCTAAGCACCCGGAAGCTTGGGTAAGCTAAATTCCACGTAGAACAATTTGCACCTGCATGTCTACAATATTTTATTTGAATCCACTGATCTAACTATGACTAGACTCAACTTTATCCTGTATTCTTGGTATTTTCTGTTCACTTATTACTTATAATATATTTATTATTATTTGTTATTTATCAGCTACTATCCGCAGTTTAACGTCTATTGTCTCGCTAATAATCCTCACCACAATGTCAACACAAAATAAATAAAATAAAATATCAATAACAATGACACGTGGAAAAAAAGGTGGGACCAAAAAACGAGCACTATCACTTCCAACGGTTCGATGACTACTGACAGAACAAGACTAGACACAAGACACTATCAAATCAACCAGTCTAAGCCTAGACTACAAATAAACTATCACGCCGTCGCTTTTAAAACCTTTTTCCAATTAGATTTTTTTTTATTTAAATTAAACACTAAACACCAACTAATTATCAATTTAAATTATTAACCAATATTTTAATTACATAAATTTTTCCACTCGCTGCTAATAAATAATCAATTTCTGGGCGGGAGATTACTTCAATAATTAGCACGGACTTTACCGGTCACTCGATAATCTCAAAAAATTGATAACGAGAATATCTTCCCAAATAATTTAAGTGTTATCAGTAGAATTCTAAATAAAATACTCTTAATTCGAATTTAACTTTAAATTTAAATTAAAAAATATAAAAAAAAAATTTGTAAACTGACCCGTAACGCGCTGAGTGCAAAACTGATAGCAGACGAGCGGAATTCAAGTAAATTCAACCGAGCAGCAGTGATAAGAGTACTACGCAGGCGCAACTCTCTTGCATTGCATTATTCAGACTCAAAATTATTATCTTTTGAGTAAATAATTTAATATGTATATTTGCGTAATTAACTTAACTAAAGAGTGGATTTGTTTTTGTTAATACAACGTAACGATGCATTGTTTTGTTTGTGTTATTTAAGAAGAGATTATATTTAGATGGTTTCTTTATTAAAATTATTTTATTTTGTTTTTATAGAAGACTTTTTTATTTTTATAGACTTTTTTTGGAGATTAGATTCAATTTTATATAAAATTTTTTTAAGTATGTGTACTTTAAATCTTGAATATTAAGCTCCTATTTTAAATTGATATTTCGTTTGAAATATAAGAAATACGATAAAATGTATAAGGACCGTTCTTCTACTCTATTCAGAATATTAATTTCAAATTTTTAAAAATAATGTTTTTCAATTTAATTATTGAAAAAAAAATTTTTTTTGTAGGATTTTTTATTCGAATTTTAGAAATTTACTTATAGGATGCTAGATATAATAAAATTTATGAGATATTTTTGATAAAAAATTGAATTTTCTATGAAAATAATCATTATTAAAGTTAAAAATGTACTTTTTAATCTTCTATCGTATTACTTATGTGCAAAATTTTTAGTACTAATTTTTTTTACATTGTAGCATTTTTGAGTACATTAATTAAGCAACCTATTTTTTTTTTCTAATGTATCTTATACGTCTAAATTAAATTTTTTATCAATTTAGAACGTAAACTTTTTTCTATAATCCAAAATTAAAAAATTTTAAGAAATATCAGTAACTGTATTTTAAAGTGAAGCATCCATTTACCTAAAGGACGCGAAATACGATAAAACTCATGAGAGTATTTAAATAAAAAATAATAATTTCTATTAAAAATAATCATTATTCTTCCGTATATTTTTAAAATTAAAATTTTACTCTTAAAAATCTAATTAGCAATTTAAAGTACTTACTTCAAGGTGTTCAGTAGCCTTGAGAAGTCTATCGTAGTCGACGGAGCCCTGAATAGCCAAAACCTTCATCATATGATCAGCTTCTTGAACAGACTGTTGAACCATTTCCAGTTGCCGCTCGAACCGTCTCCAGAGGTTCAACCTGCTCTTCAAAAGAGCCAAGAGTTTGGCGCATCGCGACTCGAGATCAGTGTTGACATCCTGGAGGGTGGAGATGTCTCTCTCGATGCTGACAGGCGAAACAGAGACGCGCATTCCTCCGGGTACTGTGTGTAACAATTGCCTGAGACCCATTAGATCTTTCCATAAAACCGCGAGTTCGTCAGCGACCTGAGAGCACCTTTTGACTCCTCCCTCAACGACGTCGCTTCCGTGTTTTTCACAGGCTTCACACTGGTCCAAGACAACCGACTGTCTAGTATGAGCTTTCCTAACTCGTGCTAGACCTCGTTGGAGAGCTTGTAGTCGGTCTTGGACCAATTGCGCGGCATCGAGTTCCTCGCGAACTTGGCTCTCCATGCGACCTGCGAAGGACAAAAGAACGCTGACCTGCTCGCTTTCAGCTGCAGGAAGCATTCCCAGTTTCACCAGTTCGTCCTGGATGATGCAAACTCGCTCGAAAAGAACTGAGAGACGTCCCACGTACAGCTCGAGTTCGTCTTCTGTTTTTAGAACTCCGTGGAAACCCTCGATTGTGGTGCGAAGTTCGCTCAATTCGCGCTCAAGCAGCCGCAGTTTTTCGTTTATTGGCGTGTCTTCAGAGGATATTGTGTCCGCTACTGCTTTCTGGATGGTTTTTATCTTGCCGGACACTCTGTTCCAGCGGTCTTGGAATTCTCCGTGGAATTGGCGCTGTATCATCTCGTCTGATAAGGGAATCACGTGCAAACTTTGTTCGAAAGATTTTGTTGCTTCGTTTCGTAAATTGTTGTGGATTTCGTACTGCGCTTTTATTTCCTGTGGAAATTATTTTTTTCTATTAGTTATAATTTTTATTTATTTTATCAGTTGCTAAATTATTTTTTAATAAAATAAAGAGCTGTTTTTTTTTATTAATATTAATGTAAAAAATTCATGAATTTTTGTTGATAATAATTCACAAATAATATAATTTCAAAAAAGGGAAAAAATTGCTGTACAGAAAGAAATAATTCTTGGCTCTAAAATAAATTTTTTTGACTCAAAAAAATTTTTTTTCTGAGAAAATAATTTAATTTCTAATTTAAATACTTTTTATAAAATTCATCTTTTTCATAAAAAAACTAATTTAAATTTTATATTAATAAATTATTATAATTTTTAAAAATAGTTATAATAATAATTAAAAAAATGATGTAAACTGACATTATTAATTGTTAAACTTATTTAAAATAAACTCCAAAGGTCACTTAGGACTTTGATAAAAAGTTTCCAAGCACTCGTGTTTAAAAAAAGATTAAGACTTCTATTCGTAATTGGCGCTTTGCCAAGTAAAAACTCTAATAGAATTTGATCTTCAAGCCTGACTCTACATTAATTATAAAAACTTGTTTTCAATAAATCAAAGACAACCAACCGAGACTGACTAACTTACCCAGAATTGACGCATATGGCCATCCCAATTATCCTTCAGAGCATCTAGTTCTCGCTCTGTGGTCGCCATCCAGTTTTCCAGCCGATTAGTCAGCACTTCATGGGTGCTCCAGCTGTCGCGGAAGGTCAGCAAGCTCCTGAGCGAGGAGTCTACTTCTTCTTGGAGCTTGGCAATCACATCCAGAGACTCTCTGTACCTTTCATCAAGGTCCTCCACCTCCAGGAGTTCCTGCAGAATATTTACAGAGTCAAACAGCTGGTGCAGCCTTACCTGGTGCATTGCGATGTCTGAAGACAGCGATTGGTACAAAGAAATGTACTGGTCGTAATCTGAAGAAGTAACTGTCTGCAAGTCGGGAACTCGCTGATGCGCGATTTGGAGCCACCCTCGCTCTTCCTTGAACCCTTGCCCCAGGACTATCCACCTGGAAGCGGCCAGAGACATCTGCTGAGCCCTAGAAGCCGCTCGGTCCAGCAAAGAACCAGCCCGGCTGTGCAGATTCTCATGGAACTCCGCGTGCTTGGTCCGCGTTTCAATGTCCAAATTGTCTTCCAACGACTCTAGAATCGCTCGGCAATGGTTCAAATTAACGAAGAACTTTCTGTGCTTCTGCATTTCGTCCTGCAGATGCTCGAGACTCATCACGGATATTGGACTAGCGAGCAAATCTTCAGCGACATCTGTTATTTGGGCAAAGTCTTGCAATGTCTGCTCATATTCTTCTGCTACAGTCATCAACTGGAGCAACCGTTCCCGTTCCACGTTTATATTGTGCTCAATTGTCAGTGTTAATTCGTGAGCTTGGTAGGTTTCATCTGGTACCGACCTTCCGGGATAACTCTTCAGCAAATCTCTTACAGAAGCAATCAATTTGTTTGTATTGCACATGTGAGAACGGTTTGTGTTCTCCAATTTATCCAGTTCTTCCAATTTTTTAGCTGTTGATTCTGTGCTTTCAATTATTGTGTTCAGTTCACTGAATTGTTCTAAGACCAATCTGAAATAAGTGAATATATTAAATTTTTAGTTATTATTTTTAAAATCTAATCACTATTTCATGAATTATAATTTAGTAAAATTTTTTTTTATTGAATCTAATAATTTTTTTTAATATCGACAACAATCAAATTTGATACTTTATAAAAAATCCAAACAAAATTTTACCTGTAAATATTATCCACGCCATTCAAAAATTCATCCCACTTTGAAAGCTCAGCAGTGACGTATCTCTCCTCATCCCTTGTAGCGTTTTCAATAGCCTTGACTTGATTGACCAACGAATCCATGCACTCATTGACCTTATCGCGTTCATCAGCAGGATAAGCATTCTCCATGAGCTTCCAAGTCCTCCTCAACTCTTCAATACTATCTTCAACATGATTAATCTCGTCCTTCAGCTCAACATACATCCTGGTGTCTTCATGGGATGGCCCATTGGTCGCTTCTCTGCTCACGAAAACTCGGTACTCAATAGTCTCGAGCCAAGTGGAAATTATTTCCACAATCGTCACCAGAGTTTCCTCGACAATTATCACATTGCGTTCTTCAATCGCGTGTTTTAGCTGCGACAAATTCTTCTGGATACCAAGAACACGTTCTTCGGCATTTACCGGTCGAGAAAAGTCTTCAAGACTCGCAATGTGCAAGATATTTGTCAGGTAAGAAGTCTCGTTGACATTTTGCAGATTTTTCAACCGATCAACCACGACTTTCGCTGTCTGTGTTTGCTGAAGAACTTGCGGTCGCTGATCTTGTTTTTCAGCTGCGATAAATTGCTCGGTTGTTGATTTATTCATCAAAGGGCTCGATCCGTACCCAGATTCAGCGACTTCAGCGTAAGTTTTGACTTCTTTCTTCGCCAAAACTGATTCCATTGGAGAAAGTACTTCTTCATCAGTATCCATCGGCTCTGGAACTTCAATCTTCATACTTGGGCGATCTCTACGTCGTGCAATATTCTTCTGGACCTGCATAGAAACTGCAAATTCATCTCCTTTAGAACTAGTACCCACAATTGTCTCCTTAACTTTGAAAGACTCCCGTGGTTCAGATTCAAAAGTAGCCTTCAATTTAACTTCCTGGCCATCAGAATTCCTTTTTTGCTGATGTTCCACATTTCTAAGATCCAAATCCGTGGTAATTCTGCCCACACTAACATTATTTTGCTCATCAACAATCTCGCGTTCCTTGGAACCCTTTCGTGTAACATCAGAGTAGGTTAGTTTCATTACCGTTTCTTTGGAGCCTGATTGGCTAACGACTGATTCGAATCGGTGATTGTCTTTTTCGATGCGAGTAATTTCATCAATCGGCTTAACGGCTTTCTTTTTACTCTTTTTCTTAGAGCGTTTGCGAGCTTTATCGATCGCCAGGTCGGCGACCTCACTCAAGTCTTCTGAAATGGTATCGTGAGTAACATCAGTTGATTCGCTTTCTTGAGCTGATTCGGTAATAGTATTGTCTGACAAATCGATAGTCGCCTGCACGTGAATTTCAAACGATGAGGTATCTGTCAATTCTTTCTCTGGAGTTTCAACTCTTCTCACTGGTATTTCTTCAACTTTCTTCATCACTAACGAATCTACCTCAGGAATTTTCTGAACGATTTTTTCCTGGACAACCTCAGCCGTTTTCTCCACTTCTCTAAGCTCCTTGATTGGCGAAGACGCTGTTTCTTTAGTGAAAACCCGAGTTTCAGGCATAGTAGCAGTTTTTAATGCAGCTTCCTTATCTCCAGTTTCTTCAGAAGACTCCAAAGTCTGAAGACTTACCTCCACAGCATCAGGGATACTTTGCACCCCTTCTTCGACAGTTAGAATCAATTCCTGGCTCTCAATCTGCACAAACGAATCCTTAGTTTCAATTTTCTCTGGAGTTGTCTGAGATTCTTCTTCCACAGTAACTTTTTTCTCCAAAATAGCTTCCTCTACCAATTCCTGTTCATTTACCACCTCACATTTTTCACTCGCATGCTCCGGCTCCGGGCTTGTTTGTACAACTGACTCAACAGTAGGCTCGACAATAGTTTGAACTTCGATTTCTTCAACCTTTGGACTTTCTCGCGGGGTAGTTTGCGTTTCCATAGCAACAACTGTTACTTCTTCGATCAAGTTCGTCTGAACTTCAAAGTCACCTTTCGTCACATTCACATTCCCCAAATCTGGACTGCTAGTCTGGACATCAATCTCTACAGTCTTAACAGCTTCGACTTTCAAGTCTTCTAACTCCGGCGAAGTTTGAACTCCCATTTCTTCCAAAACAGAATCTTGGAATTGAACCGGCGAAGTTTGTTGTTCATTATCTTGAGTCTCCTTTACCCTAGGAGTTTCTTTCTCCACTTCATCCACCGGTTCTTGAACTTCAGTCTGTGTGTCAATTTCCGTCATCGCCACGGCTTCAATAGGCGACGTCTGAGCCTCTGTAGTCTCCGTTTGAACCGTCTGCACATCAATTTCTTCAGTTTTAACCGTTTCTGCCTTTTCACCCACATCTTGAACTACCAGTCCTGCAGGTTCTTCCTGTTCAACAGGACTCGTCTGCACAGCTTCTTCTTCTCTGACCACTTCCTTAGTCTCAGTTTGCACATCCAATAGTTCTTTTTCCAGTAAACCAATTTCAGTCTGGATCTCCGTATCCAAAACTTCTGTTGGCGACGTCTGAATTACTGTTGTAACCGTTTGCACTCGTTCAACTACACCCACACTATCACCCATCGGGGGTTGTTGTTGTTTTGCCTCGGGAGAAGTTTGCAGCGAGGTATCTCTGAGCGACTGAAGCTCTGCGGGGCTGGCGGATACATCGCGTGTTTCGTAAACCGTTTGAGTATCGATTTCCGTGAACTTTTTCTCCCCAAGCTCTTTAACTGGTTCACTAGTTTCAATTCCTCTAACATCTTTCTCTTTCGCTTTATCATCATCATCTTCATCATTCTCATCACCATTGAATCTTTGCTTCCTCTTCTTTTTCTTTTTCTTCTTGCTCAAATCCTTCTCCTGAATCAAAGAAGCTTCATCGACAGTAGTCACATCTTCAGGCTCATATCCCATCGACGTTTCCCTCGGGCTTGAAAGCGTCAAAGAAGTTTCGGTAATTTCCAGAACATCTGGCTGCGGTTGCTCGCTCACCTGCTTCGGAGACTCAGAAATCGGAAGATTAAGATCCACTGATTCCGCGATAGTCGTAGCGACAGAACTTCCAGACTCTTCACTAGATTTTCCACCAATATCTTCATCTTTGCGTCTCTTTTTCTTCCTACTCTTGCGACTGGAACTCGTCTCAGCGTCACTCTTTTCTGATTCTTTGTACGCCGGCACTTGATCGGGTTCAAAAGATTCTAAAGCGCTGGTCTGAACAATTTTATCCGGAACTACTTCAACGATTTCCACCTGAGTCGGCAATCTGATGTCTACATTCTCTTCCGTAATTCTACAAACATCATCTGGTCGTTCGGCGGTTGTTTTCACAGCAACGAAAACTCCAGCCTCATCAGTTACTTCTAGACTCTTGTTGATCATCAGGGAAATTTCCACCTTGTCAATAACAGCCTTAGAATCTCTGGAAGCTCCATCAACGTTACCCAAATTTGTGTGCGAATCAGATGGTTGGGATGGTGATTGTGCCGGCGACGCATGATCGACAGATGGTAGCGATGATTCTTGCGACTCTAACACAACAATATTCTGTTTACCAGGTGATTCTTTGTAGCCAACTACAGTGCTGCTATCGTCTGCGTGCTGTACTACTTCTACTGTGCCTGTATCTAATTTCATATCAAAGCTTTCAGTCATTACTGCTGGTACCTCAACAGGCATAGACTTACAGGTATTCTCCGCAACTTCTTCACCAGCTTTCTCATCTGTTATCGGTAACTCAGCTTCCTTTTCTCTAGCCTCACTGGAATCAACTCTAGCATCAGGAGTTCCTAAAGCTGACTGTAAAAGTTCAGATTTTTCAACGTCTATAAATTTTTGACTTATGTTTATCGACGTCGTGTCATTTACCTTAATTTCTTCCAATTTTTCCGGACTCTCTACATCTTTCTTCACCTCCTCCTCGATTTCTTCAGACTTATCTTCAATTTCCTTCAATTGATCACCATCTTGATCAACAATTTCCTGAATAACCGGCTTATCTTCAACTTCAATGCCATCCGGTGTTAATTCTCGAGCAGTAGGCCCAAAGAACGGTCCCTGAAGACTGCTATTGATTTCAGTAGCCTTCGAAACCTGTCTGACAGAATCATCCTTAACAAACGTCTTCTGCTCCTCCTGCTTCACAACATTGATACTTATATGTGGAATATCTTGCTCATCAATTTCAACTTCATCCGGCTCTTCGACTACTTCTTCAGACATTGTTTCCTTCCCATCAATAATAGTAACCTTGCGAATAGTCCTTCTGGTCTTCCTGATGACCCTCCTAGTAACTTGTTGAACCATCGCGTGAACCGTCGAAGTTTTCGTTTGATAAGCGCCTTCTTCAATAGTAACATTACCTCCCAATTCTGGTCCTATGTCTTCTAACTGACCATGAATCACTCTGTGAGTGTACTGAGGCGTAGTTTCAAACTGTTCCACACTAACAACCTCTCCCGGAGCGCCACCAGTCGTTATTTTCCCTCCGTAAGTCTCCTTGGCGGCCATTTCGACGCTTCCGTCAGGTCGCGTTCTAGTTACAGTAACTTGCTGGCTTCTCATCGTCGCTTCCGAGAAAGCTTGAACTCCTTGAGGCATCTCGTCTCCAGATACGCTGACCTGGTCCATGGAGGTTATCTGCTGGCTCCTCACCAGAGTTCGTCGCAATTTTCTAACAATTATTCTCTTTGTTCCGTCAGCGTCCACGACTACTTCAGTAGTGACGTCGTCCGGCTCGGTGAGAACTGTTTCGAAAGTCTGAGGCGCTGCATGCTGGATACTCAGTTCCGAGGTGGCGCTCTGCTGGGCTTTTGCGTCTTGGTATTTCATATCAACTACTATGTCATCAGCAGAACGCTCTGCTAAGATAAATTGGGAGCTGGAAGACGCGGGAATGTTTTTGGTAGCGATTTCGATTACTTCGTGGGTATCGTTTGCGGTTTTGTAAATTTTTATCGACTCCTGTGTCGACTTAACCCCTTCGTCTATTGATACCTGAACGGGGATAGACTGCATTTCCATTGGTTGAGTTTGAACATCAAACTCTGCTATTTGTGAGGTCGATGTTTGCTTTGTTAGTTGGATTGGTTTGTTTTGGTGGTCTATTATTAAACTCTGTCCAGTTTGGAGGGATATGTCTGCCCAGGACATTGTACCCTCATCCCCTGAGTGGATAGAGGGCGCTTGGTCTAAGGTTATATCGTCGTGATCCGCTAATTCTTCGGAAGCTTGAGCGGACTCGTCTTCCTCGATTTCCTACAAAAAATTCAAATGTTTTTGATGTCATTCGTTAATACTTTGTCCGTTGATGATAGTGAAGATGATATTGATAGTTGAGATAGTACTATTCGCATTATTATAATTGTTTGTACGAAAATTTATATTTTTTCGCATAACAAATGTTCAAAGAAATGATCATTATAGGTTGCCGCATTAACTTATTGATAATTAATGCGATTTTTTTTAACTTTAATGAAATTAAAATTGAATTTGATGATGTTGAGAAGACACCTCAAATCACAAAATATTTTTTGTGATGGATAGCTCGCAGCAATCTCAAAAATTTATTTAAATTTATCCTTTGGAAATCTATTTAATGTTTTTAAACAATACTTTTTTGCCGAATTAAGTTGCGATATATTCTTTAAACATGAGTTACAATATAGAAAATAAAAAATTTAAGATATCAAGATGAGAGATGATGAATGATAAAATATAGTAAATATTTAATGAATATTTATTGTACAAATAAGACAGTAAATAAAAATTGGGGTGCGATGATAAAAATTTTAATACGAAAAAGTACAGTAATTATTAACTGATATTAACAAACATTCTGTATGTAATTACATGCAACGTATTACAACCTTCACCTTATAATTAAAAGGGGTAAATAATAACAATTGTACTTTATTTATTAAAGTGCCCAACAGTTAAACAAACAGTATTAATATTATACAAACAAGATAAGAACGATTGACAGCTATTCTACCAACAAAAATAAAAACAATTAACTGATAGAAAAATTCAGTAATAATTAATAATGTACAGTAATTATTATTATTAATATTAGCAAAATTATAAAGAGAGTCAACGTGAAAGCATAGTCCCGCATCCATGCGCGAGTTCCCACTTTTTAACTTTTATCAACACAGTTTTTTTTATTATTGTAATTTATTGATATGAAATTTTTATCCGACCATTATAATTGAATTTCTTGACTAAAAAATTACTTTCTTTAAATTTTGAAGATATTTTAAGTTTTTAAAATTTAGAAGTTTTTTTTTGTTTAATTTACAAATTGAATAAGTTTAAAAAATTTTATCTTTTTTGAAAATAAGATTTAATTCTGTGTTGAGAAAAATTAAGTAAAATTACAACTAACTCACTCGTATGTGGCTTTTTAAACTAAAAAGCCTAGTGAGACTAAAAGTAAAGTATTAAGACTAAATAACCGGTGGTAAAATTACCAGAATATAGTAATCGGTGTTGAAATGACCGGTCATAAAGATAAAAATTGATAAACACTAACAATATTACACAGTAAAAAATTTTACGTCAATCCGTCAAAAAATTTTGTGTTAAAAATTTTTATGTTAAATATTTAACACTTTTCTGTGTTAATTCAACACAATTAATGTTAAATTTACACATAAAAGTTTTAAATATTTAACACAAAATTTTTTGACGCAATGACGCAAAATTTTTTACTGTGTATTTTATGTTGCACAAACATGAGTAATATCTCAAAAAAGAACAAAAATTATCGGATATTTTACCACTGGTTATTTTTCCACAGGTTGAATAGTAAAGTAACCTAAAAATAGATAGCAATTACAGCAGAGAAAGTGCGTGAAGAATATGTGAATCAGCGTAAAAGATAGTCTACAAGCCCAATTGCTCTAGCGCGGTACCCCAAATTAATAAATAAATAAACAATAAACATAAATTAATCATCAATAATTCTTGATTAAGTGACGACTAAGTGACTAAGCTTGTCCCGTCACCGTGGCACGATGATTGTAATTGGTGAACAGCCCAAAAGCCCCAGTACTCCCAGACTTGTGAGTCTCGTATACCTGCTGCTTTTGCTTCAAACGGGTGTAAGTCTCCAGCAGGGCTGCTCTCAATGAACGAGCAAGTTCGCTCACTTCTGGCAGTGTTTCCAGCTCGTTCATTCTTTGGTTTCGGGCCTCCAATTCGCTCAGAAGTGTCTGAAAAAAGTTTATCATGAAAATTCGTGAAAATCAACATTAAATTTCAAAATAAAAATATGAGCTATAAAAACCTGGTAGGAAAGAACAGACTGCTGTTGGCTGATCATCAAGACCAAGTTCCTCAACCAGGAGTCAGTTTCTTCCAAGAAAGTTTTATAAAGCGCAACTTGTTGTTCTCGTTGATGCTTAATCTCTCTGGCTTTGCCCAAAGCAGCGATCCCTTGCTCCACCTGATCAATAAGTCCAGCTAACCGCTCGCGAAGTCTTGTCACAGGTGCAATCAATTTTTCACCTTCAACTGCTTCAATTTTGTCCAACTCTTTTTGGATTTCATTGCTTCTTTGGTCGTGCTTGCGCAACTCACCAAGAATCACCTTAATTTAAAATAGAGAGACATTAGTATTAAGTAAATGGAGAATTGTAAGTTAATTAACTTGAAAACTTACTGCTAGTGCTGATAGCATGTTCTCCAAACTATCACGCGGTAAACTGCTGAGTGACTCTTCAAGCCGGCTGACAATAACTTCCAAGTTCTCCACGGAATTTTCTAAGCTCTCCTGCAAGCCCACAAATCGATTTAGTATTGGAATACAGCTGTAACTAGGGTTCTATGTGTTTAGACATTATATGTTTAATTAAATCACTCGCGTGCACACTGCGGCGTTAGGGCTCCGTTTAATGTCCAGGCGACGGATATTAATTGAGGATTATCTTATATTTGTATTAGCTTTTTACGTTTTTATAATATAATAATAACAACACATCAAACGGATTAGATAAACCTGTGAAAAAATTAAGGATTAGCTTTTAAAGTCACGACATATCAGCGTCCAGTGTGTCTTTTGCGTCTTCCGGGTCGATTTGTAATGAAATATAATATTTTTATAAGTTAATAATGACATATGGACGCGAATAAGTCGAGATTATTGATGATTGGTTTAATAATTAGATATATTCTTTATGAATGGATGTTAGAAATTCATGCACTGATTTAGAAAGCAAAAACACTTAGCTGATGAGTAAATTTGATGGAAATTACAATATACTAATTGAATACCTATGTATGTTACATCTAAATATCTAATCATTAAATGTTTTCTGAATTTTGGATAAGATATTCAAACATAAAGTATAAGTAAAAATGAAAATAAAAAAAGTATATTATGAAATGATAAATGGAAAATGATGATGAATGCATGAAATTTTGGAATAAGTAAATAAACTATGAATGCAACAAGACTAAGCAACACTGGCTGGATTGTGTCGCGCACCTTGTACCCGTGAACTGGATCATTATCGACGGCAATAGTTGTAACAGGTAATTCCTGATTAGTACTGCTTAGCTGTTTAGTTGAACCGCTTATTTCTGTACCTAAATGCTGTATGGATGGATGGGCTTGCGAGGATGATAAGTGATAGTTTGAATAAGTTGAAGTTGAAATAGAAGAAGAAGAAAGAGGTAGTAGAGAAGTGGTTTGATAGAGAGAAGAAGATAAATTAGGAACCGAAAGTTTTTGAGAATGAGGATCATGGTCCCGTGGGTCCACTCGCGATGGGTCTTGACCGAGAGACAAGTATGTACTGTAATCATTCCAACTACCAATTCCGCCGGGCAAATCCGCGACAAGACGCTCCGTTTTAGGAGTCGATGAACCGCTGTGTGCATCAAACGACGGGTCTTTAGGCCCTTTACGACCTTTGTCATTGTTTTTATCATCGTCATCGCGGGGATCGTAAGAATGTTTAATAGTCGAGACCTTTTGTTTGAGCTTAGAAGACTTCTCTGCGAAGAAATCGCGTTCTGCGTTGTGGTAAGCTCGTTTGTCGAGCCAGAAACGGTCGCAGCTGATGAACTTCAAGGCCTCTAATGGAGATGGACGATCTTGTTTGGGAGAAATTTCTGACGAAGAAGCTTCCTCTTCTGTTGCGTGGCTAATCACTACAATATCGTCGTCCTCGTCGATGTAAAACTGCACTTTCGAGGATGGTGTTTCGCAAATTTCTATGGAACAATGTTCCAAAGAGGCGCTGGATGCAGAGTTACTGGACATGAGGTTTGAAGTACCTTTGCTTTTAGGCAGTGGAGAACGAGATTGTGGAGGAGGTTCTGTTGGTGGCGCTGATGGTGAATCCATTGGTGGAACTACAACCATGTCGCGGAGCAAGGAACTTTCGTGAGAAAACTCGGTTGTTTCAGATTCGCTGGTGATTACGCAGAAGCCAGAGTCTTTGCTGTCTTCTGAAGTTAAAGATTGGTCTTGTGCTGGCAGATCAGGTTCTTTAATAGCTGGTTCAGAAGGTAATTCTGGTGGGATTTCTACTTTTTTAGGAATTTCAGGCTCGTTAGACTTCTTTGGAACTTCTACAGGAGTCTTTTCATCTTTTTTGTTCTTTTTCTTATCCTTAGATTTTTCTTTAGGCATTGGACACAATGTTACTTCAGGTTCTTTCTTCTTGTCATCAACTTTTACATTAGTAGTCACAGTTTCTTTAGGTTTTTGTTCGGCAGGTTTTTTAGGTGACTCTGGTTTTTTGTCTTCAGATTTTTGGACCTGTACGTTGGATTCTTTTTTAGGTATTAGACAGACTGTTTTTTCAGGTTCTTTCTTCTTGTCGTCAACCTTTGTACCAATAGTCACAGTTTCTTTAGGTTTTTGTTCGACAGGTTTTTTAGATGATTCTGGTTTTTTGTTTTCAGATTTTTGAACCTGTTCACTTGCCTTTTTCGATGGTTCTGATTTATCTTTCAATTTTTCAACTTGTTCTTCTGCTTTCTTAGATTGTTCGGGTTTGTCTAAAGAGTTTTTAACCTCTTCATCTGCTTTTTTCGGTTGTTCTGGTTTATCCTTCAGTTTTTCAACATGTTCTTCTACTTTCTTAGGTTGTTCGGGTTTTTCTACAGGCTTTTGAACTTGTTTTTCTGGTTGTTTTTGCTGTTCAGGCTTACCTGTAGATTTTTCAGGTTGTACAGTAGGTTTTTTAGGTTCTTTCTTTCCGGATTTTTTAGCTTGTACTGCAGGTTTTTTCTCTTCAGGTTTCTGAACTTCTTTAGTTGCTTTCTCTTCAGGTTTTTTAGGTTGTTCTTTAGGCTCTACTTTTTCCTCAGGTGTAACAACTGGCATCGCAGATTCTTCAGATTTTTGAGTTCCTGCAACTTCAGTTTTTACTTCCGGTTTTTTATCTTCTGGCTTTTTAACTTCAGTAATTTTTTTCGCTTGTTCTTTAGATTTCTTCGACTTGTCACCTTTTTTATTTTGAGGCTCAGATTTTTTATCCTCAACTTTCAAAGGCTGTGTCTCAGATTTTGTACTTTCTACTTTCGCAGTTAGTACATCAGGTTTCTCATCAGATTTTTTAGTTTCAACTTTAGCAGGCTGTACTTCAGGTTTTTCATCAACCTTTTCAACTTTCTCACTTTGGACCTGTCCACCCGCAGTTTTCACTTCTTTATCTTTCTGTTTTTTTTTCTGCTTCGATTTACCTTTCGAAACTTGTTGACTTTCAACAACTTTAATTTCTTCTTTAGTTTCACTCAACTTCTCAACCTCTACATTATCAACCAAAGATTCTTCCTGAGTTCCCTCAGCAGCTTTTTGATCCACATCAGCGGATCTTGCCTCAGGAGCATTTTCACGCCTATTACTTCTCGACCTGGACCGTGATCTAGACCGCCTCGAGCGTAGTTCTTTTCTGTTCACATACTCCATAAACCCTTGCTCATCCACTTGAACCAAATTCTCAATGGGTTCCATAGCAACTTCCTCAACAACTATTTGAACCGAAGGTTTTGGATGGTCCACCTTTTCTACACTCTTTACAGCTGGCAGTAAATTTTCAGGAACCTCAACTTTCTTTGCAGCAATCGCAGCCCAAGAACCTTCTGTTTCATCGGATTCTTCAGTTTTATCCTGCGATTTTTTGGTTTCCAGAACTTCAGGCTTAACAACCTCAGGCTTTATCGCTTCAGGTTTGATTATACCTTCAGGCTTTTTAATTTCTTCCACTGTCTGCGGGGATGGTGTAGCAGATTTTCCCAATACTTCAGCGAAAGATTTTCCCAATGCTTGCAAATTTTCTTTTTCCAAAGTATTATCTTTTTTATCGGAAACGTTCTCACTTTCTTTCTGTTTTTCGGCATTGTTTTTCTTCTTTTGCTTCTTAGACTTCTTACTAGAATCTCTAGATGTCGTTGTTGATGACTGAGTTTCCAAATTGCTACCAGATACAGTTGGTTTTTCTACAATTTGGCTAATTTCCTTTGATTCTTTTACTTTTTTCGAAACTTTCTCAACAGGTTCTACATTGTCATCATCAAAATCGTCATCAATGACCATTGGTTCATCCAAAATATCCATCCAGGAATCATCAGCCACCAAATGAATCTTCGGTTCTTCTTTGACTTCCTTTTTGACTTCGCTAACCATGACATTACTTGTTTCTGACTTTTTTTTAGATTCCTTCGTATCTTTATTTTTTCCTTCATCTTTCTTATCAGATTTCTGTTTCACCTCTATCACTTTTTCCTTAACGTTATGAGTTTCTTTTTCTTTTGTGAAATCAAAATCTCGTAATTTATTTTCAGCTTCAATTTCCTTAGCAAGGAAAGATTCTTGGACAATTTTTTCCTGAGTGCTTGATTTCGGCATCGATGAGCTCAGCGTCTGGGGTTCAATAACTTTGACGACTTTGAAATTTTGATATAAATTCTTCTCAGCGTTGCGGTAAGTTTCATAATCCGCCCAATAAGGATGCTTGAAATCATCTGCAATGCATTTTAATTTATCATCAGTAGTTTCTATTTTTTGATCACGTACTTCATCTACTTTCATTTCACGTTCCTTTGAATGTTTGGTTGCGTTATATTGATCCGTTTCGTAAGACGAGGTACTTTCCGTCTTAGATCGAGTAGTTTTTCTGTCCTGTACACTTCCAAATAGCGGAGCATCATCCTCTTTAAAACCCATGGTGCTCAAAAGGACATCGCCGATTGATTTATCAGTACTCTTAGCATTCACCTCAGTTGTCGAAATGACTTCATCTTTAGGTACTCGAATAGGTTCTTTTGCAACGATGTAAGTAGTAGTGAGATTCGCTTCAACACTGTCTGGACACAGAGTGATAATCTCTTCTCTCTTCTTTTCTGTGCTAATTGGCAATACAGTCTCTAATACCTCGACAGATATTTCTGATCCAACTGTCGACAAAAGTACTTCAGAAGTTGTAACAGTTGTCACAGTTTTTTCAGTGATCAAAGCCTTGTCTTTTAAATTTTCAGAACTTTGAATCACCGATTCATCCATCTGGGAGATGGAACTTGCTGTCTGTGACACAGTTTGTTCTTCGGATTTAACTCTAGTGTCGCATTTCACTTCCTTCTTAGCTTCTGTGTGGCCATTAGAGTGTTTAGTTTCGCCTACGCGTATCCTAGATTCTTTTAATGGCTCAATATTTGTTTTACGATCACTTTTTATTTCTTTAGTCTCTACTACATAAGTCGGAGCTATTTTTTCTACGACAACTTGCTCTTGTGGTTGATTTTTAGCCTTGTTTTTCAGTTTTGTTTCTTTCGGCTTCGTGACTTTCGGAAATTCAAGAGATTGCTTAGCAGGAGAGTCTTTTATTTTTAGCTTGGTATCTTTAAGTGATTCGGGTGTTTGTTGAACAGATGTACTTTCTTTGATTGGCTCAGGTTTTGGAGCAGTAGGAATCGGTTCTATTTTATCAGGTTGCTTCTCTTTAGTATCTTTAATTGATTCTGGTGATTCTTTAACAGAAGAATCTTTAATTTCTTTAGTCGGTTCAGGTTTGGTATCAATAGCTTTTGATTCTATCTTCTCAGTTTGTTTTTGTTTGACATCCTTCAATTTTTCTGATTGTTTTGGTTCATTAGTTGATTTGCTTTCGGCGGAAACCTTTGATTTAACTTCATCTATTTGTTCTACTTTCTCTTCTTTAGATGCTTGAATTATTTCCACAGAAGCTTTAGATTTATCGACAGTATCAACAATTTCTTTTGTCTTCTTTTTCTGCTTAGACTTTTTAGACGATTCGACTTGAATTTTTCCGTCAGAAACTTTTGATTCAGTTTCAGTTTTTTGAACTTGAATTTTCTGACTGATATCTTTAGGCTCCGATTCTTTGACCACTAATTCTACTTTTTGCTCCGATTTTTTAGTTTCTAGATTAGACATGTCAATCGGTGATTTAGTGTCTTTGATTTCTGGTTTTATTTCTGCTGGTGACTTTGCTGATTTGTCCTCCAGAGCTTTTGAGTCTGCTTTATCAATTTTAGCTCCACTGTCTTTTGGTTTGTCTTGTTTCTTCTCTGCAGCCGATAACTTGGATGGCTTTTCTTCGACTTTTGGTTCTACTTTATCAATTTTAGTTTGTGATTTATCTTTTACTTCCGTAATTGTCTTCTTTGGAAGTTCAACTGATTCTGATTTTTCAGTTTTCGTTTCTACCTTTTCATCTTTTACCTTATCCTGTTTCATTTCTCCATGTAGTGGTTTGTCTGTAGCTTCTGTTGATTTTTGCTTATCATCCTTAGGTTTGTTCTTATCATCTTTTGTTTTTTCTTTTCTAGTAGTAGTTTCAACTACTACTACTGCTTCGTTTTTAGACTCAATAGATTCTGACTTTTCAATTTTCTTTTCTCCTTTATCTTGTTTAGTTTTCGACTTGTCATTTTTGACTTTTTCTTCTGGTTTTGTTCCTACAGCTACTGGCTTTTCTGAAGACTCAGTAGACTTCGTTTTCTCAAGCTTGACTTCCGCTTTCTCTGATTTAGTCTCTACAGATGCTGGTTTATCCGACGACTCCATGGATTTTTGTTTCTCAACTTTAACTTGAGGTTTTTGATCTTTTGTCATTTCTACAGGCAATGATTTCACATCAGAATCTTTGGAATCAATTTTAGGTTGCGACTTATCACCTTTTTTCTTCTTCTGCTTAGTCTCAACCACCGATTGAACCGTGGTTTTTTCCAAAACCTTCATTTCTCCTTCATGTTTTTTCTGAACATCTACCTTCACCACTTCTTCTTGCTTTATTACATCAGACTCTTTCTTAGAACTCATTTCTGGTTTTCCAACCTTGGCTTCTTCTTTATCATTCGTTTCTTTTTTAGTTTCTTCTAACGACTTTTTGTCAGAATCCTTAGAATCTTTTTCAACTTTAGGTTGTGACTTGTCCAAAGACTCTCTAGACTTTGGTTTTTCAATCTGTTCTTTTCCTTTTTCAGATTTTGTTTCTACAGCTACTGGCTTATCTGAAGATTCAGTAGACTTCATTTTCTCAAGCTTAACTTCCGCTTTCTCTGATTTTGTCTCTACAGATGATGGTTTATTTGACGACTCTGTAGACTTTTGTTTCTCAACTTCAACTTGAGGTTTTTGATCCTTTGTCATTTCTACAGGCATTGATTTTACATCAGAATCTTTGGAATCAATTTTAGGTTGCGGCTTATCACCTTTTTTCTTCTTCTGCTTAGTCTCAACCACCGATTGAACCGTGGTTTTTTCCAAAACCTTCATTTCTCCTTCATGTTTGTTCTGAACATCTACCTTCACCACTTCTTCTTGCTTTATTACATCAGACTCTTTCTTAGAACCCATCTCTGGTTTTACAACCTTGGCTTCCCCTTTATTACTCGTCTCTTTTTTGGTTTCTTTTACCAACTTTTTGTCAGAATCCTTAGAATCTTTTTCAACTTTAGGTTGTGACTTATCCAAAGACTCTCTAGACTTTGATTTTTCAATTTGTTCTTTCCCTTTTTCTGATTTTGTTTCTACAGCTACTGGCTTATCTGAAGACTCAGTAGACTTCGTTCTCTCGAGCTTAACTTCCGCTTTCTCTGATTTTATCTCTACAGATGCTGGTTTATCTGACGACTCTGTAGATTTTTGTTTTTCAGCTTTATTTTGAGGTTTTTGATTCTTTGTCATTTCTACAGGCAATGATTTCACATCAGAATCCTTGGAATCAACCTTATCGACCTTAGGTTGCGACTTATCACCTTTTTTCTTCTTTTGCTTCGTCAAAGGCCCCGAATTATTTACTTTTTCATCAGTAACCTTATTTATTTCATCTTTCTTAACTTCTTCAATCGATTTATCATCCTTCGGTTTTTGCTTTAATTCGTGGACCAATTTATCTCCAGAAGCCTTCTCTTCTTCTTTAACCTTCTCTTTTCCTTCTTCAACCGATTTGATTATCACTTCTTCTTTAACTTTCTCACTTTCAACCTGCTTATCCTTTTTCTTCTTCTGTTTTTTACTTTTACCCTCCTTCTCTTCTAAAACTTTAGCATCTTTTTCTTCAACCTTTACTTCAATCAAATTAAATTCTACTTTTTCCTCGTCATGTTTAACTTTTTCATCAACCAAAACCTTGTCTTTATTTTTCTTACCTTTAGCCTTTTTCTCTTCAACTTTTCCATTACTAATTTCTTTAACAATTTCCTCATGTTCAACACCATTTTTCTCCACTTTTTCTTCTTCCTTACCCTTCTTCTCAATTTCTTTAGGCTTTGGTTCTTTCTCCTTCACTTTATCTTTAACTTTCTGCTTATCTAGATTCGCAATTTCTTTAAGAGCTTTATCAATTTCATCCTCCCTAGACTTATCTTTCTTCTTCTTATTCTTTCGTTTCTTGTCTTTTTCATCTTCCTTCGTCAACTTATCATCATCTTCCTGCACTTTATCTTCTTTAATCGGCACTTTGTCATCAATTTTCTCCTTTTTACTCTCAACCACCTGACAAACTTCACCAATTTTCTCTTGAACCTTCCCAACTTGATCCCCCTTTTTCACTTTCTTAGTACCCTCCTTCACCTTTTCAACCTTCTTCTCCTCCATTCCCTTCTTCTTTGATTTCTTAATCGTCCCCCAGTTCCTATTATCTCTCCCCTTCTTATCCTCCCGATCATCTGGCTCGCTCTCAATTTTCCTCAAAAATTTAACTGGCTTAGAAATTTCATGAACCAGCGTCTCTTCAGCCAATTTCACCGGCGAAGGAGTCCGTTCGGGCAAACCTTGAGACAAAATCTTAGCATAAGAAATACCAGAGCCTCTAGCTTCAGTAACCTGTTCGACCTCCCTGTCCTCAATCTTCTCCTCATCTCTAACTTCCACACTCTCAATCCGATCAATTGTCTCATTAACAGTTGGCAAGCTCACTGCACTATCAACGACACTCACATGATCTTGCACTTGGCTCTGGCAAACCTGACCCTCGCCAAAAATTTCCGAATTATAATAAATCATTTCACTTTGTGGGCACTGAATGTGAGTCTGTGAATAAATATCAGGGCTGCCAGCGGTCATGTAATTCTGCTGAGTGACATAATGTTCGGCGTACCCGATATGAGGGTCGTAAGGATTCAAAGCCACTTCCATTTGTTGTTGTCCCGCCGGATAAACGTAGGATCCAATTGGATAACCCAGTCCAGGGTTGAAGAAGCTAACTCCGATTCCAATATCAACGACATCAGGCATCGCAGCATTGTACTCGTAAATTTCCGCTTGCATTTGATTCGACGGAATCGAATACTGATTCAAAGTGTTATTTTGCGACCATCGTTCCTGCAAATTTTGATCTTGACTCACATGATCAACTGGTTTTTCAACCCTGATGTCCTCCATTGATTTTCCAGAAGAACCAACGCTTACCCTCCTTTCTTTCGTCAGGGTGGTCATTCCGTACTCATGTTCCGAGTCTGTAGTATAAGAACCAGGTCCTTGAGCTTTTCTGAGGATATCTGCGTAGGAAGTAGACCCAGGAATCCAAATCGGACTAGGTGATCTTCTCCGTGTGTCCTTCGGAGCAAGATTTGCCGAAATGTGTTCCCTGGTTTGAACATGTTCTTGCACAACTTCCTTGTTAGCCACCTTCATCTCGGGAACTTTTTGGTTGCGATTGTTCCTGGTAGGAGATCGTCCTCGACGTTTCTTCTTGCTGTCTCTCTCCACCTTTTCTTCTTCTGGCTCACTAATCTGAGGTAGACTTACTTGAGGTATTTGAGGTATTTGAGGTACTTGTTGAGGTACTTGAGGACGAATCACCTGTGGCCGATGAATTTGGTGAGTTTGAACACTCACGAACTCCTGCTGCGCGCGATAGGGGCTAGAATCTCTTGAACTAGGACTCATTCGCCTTGCTGCAATGTCTGCGTAAGAAGCAAGTCCTGTTACTCGAGGAGTAAGCTCACTTGGAAATGAGTAGTACGGGTCGATTTTGTGAATCTCGTCCACCAACAGCCTCGTTCGTTGACGCCAAGACTCCATTTGTGTCTGCAAGGCCTGCGCGACAGCGCAACAGCCAAAGAACATTTTATTTTATTACGGTTCTCTTTCGAATATTTTATTGGATTGTTATTTATTATTTATTATTAATTATTAAGGGGTGGAATGATAATGATTATAGTAATTATTTTTTTATTTTTATTAATAAAACTAGCTAATAATTTTATTTTTAAGGCACTTTATTTATTCGCTGACCAAAGGTCTATACAATGTAATATAAGAAAAATTCGTTGGAAAATTTTATTTATAGTAATGATAATAATTAAGTTTTTTTTTTATAATTCGCGACTTTGAGATGTAGAAAAAAAATTTTTTTTCGGATTGTTAATCCTGAAAAAATCGCGAGTGTATAGAATATTACAAAAATTATCAAAACTTTGGTAGTTTTCAATAATTTCGACAGTTTTAATTTATAAAAATCGTCAAAATTTAATTATTTATTATTATTATTATTATTAATATCTAAACTATCAGGGATCTAAAAGCTCTATATCCGGCGTTCCACGTTGTATCAGCAGCTTAGAGCGCTCGCTACGCGCCTGGATTTTACTTTGGAGAGATTTTATTTTTTCACGGTGTATCTACGGTTTTTTTTACGATGAGTAGAGAGATTGAGAAGTTGAGAAATAGATGAAGAAATAGATAGAAAAGAGAGAAGATAATGGAGTAGGAAGGGCGTAGGGAAGCGATAAAAAAATAAACAAAAATATTCATAATAAATGACATGATGTATGAGTGATTTTGTTCGAAACAAAAATAAACAAAATAATATGTAGTAATTTTAAATAAAAAAAAAATTTTTGTTTATGTTAAATTGTGACGGGAAAATTTACTTTGTAAATTACACCCGTCAAAAGTACAGACATGACTTGATTAAGACGCTTGTATTGTTATTTATATTAAAATTATTAATTAATAATTATTCATAACATGAAACAGTCGTTTTCCTACCGGAAGACGAGGACGATGATCGTGATATTATTTATCTTTATATTTTACAATATTAATTGAATATAATTAAAATAATGAAATAAAAAATAAGGAATATCCGTTTTATTGAACAATTATTCTAGTGTAAGTCAAGTAAAATGAAAACATAAACACAAACAAGCAAAATCAAGTAATCTCTGTGAGATAACATAAATAAACACAGACATTATAAATAATTTTATTAAAATAAAATTCTTTTTATTTATTAAGATACCAACCAATACCTCGTAAGCGATGACCACCGATAACCATGTAAATAATTATAATTAATAATTAGTGGTTGTTATTAACAAACTGTTTTGAAAAATTTTTAGCTTCAAATAAATTAATGAATTAAATATTAATTAATTAGTGTGAACGGATCCAAATTTTGGGTCAAATATTGAAGATAAAAAATTATAAAAATTTTTGTAAGGATTTTATCAAAAATTTTTATGTTAAGTATGAAAAAAAAAGAATTTACAACTAAAAATAATTTATCCGTATCTTCAATTTTTTTACCCAAAATTTTTTTCCAAGAAAAGTTTCAAAGTATTGAATTAAAGTCACTGATGAAACTTGCACACTAAAACTTCTCAGCATTAAATTAGTACAAGCGTGTTATTAAAACAATGACTGGCAGTGTAATTGGTTGGTGATTGTGTGACAATTGGTGATTTGTCTAGGTGCGTGATTAGCTAGTGACAAAGCGTACTGTGAAACGTTGTTATGAGATTGGATTAATAATAAACTAAATAAAATAAAAATTAGTGAAAAATAAATCCATGGAAACACTTTGTCAAAAAATTCACTCTCAAATTCTCACTCACTCTACCCATGTCACCAAAATGTTTCCAAAACGGGTACAAATGCATTCGTTATTTTCAATATTAGTTTGGTAGTCACCTTTAACTACATGACATATTTATCTAAAATGTTATTATTATTATTATTATTAATATTAAATGAATAAAAACTCTCAATACTGGTCAGTACGTGCCTTAAATATTACACAAAAAAATAATTACTCGGTGGTGGTTTTGAATTGGTATCAATGCGACGCTGCAGTAGCATTTTGTCGGTGCGTTTTACTTAATAATTAATTATCAATAAATAAAATCCACGTGTATACAATATACATGTAAAATGTGTAAGTAAAATATAAATAAAAAACCTACCTGTTGCTCTTGCATAGCTCTTTCACGATCGTTCGGTAAATAAGTCGGGCTTAAAGCCGAGCGCAATTGCTGTTCTACTTGAATTATTTGGTGTCTTAATTGTTGTATTTCCTACAAGATAATTAAATACAATTAAACCTGTTAGATAGTTAAATTATTTATTTAAAGCGCGTAAATAAGTGAGTATCGAACCTGTTGGTATTGATCTATTTGGGTGAGACAGGCCTCCAGAGACGCCGTTTGCTCTTTTACAGTGTCGTTTAGGAGATTAAGTTCATTAATCATTTCATCGGCGGTTTCCGCGATTTTGTTGTCGCCGCCGATTCCAGTCTTAAAGTGTACCTGAAGTTTTTCCACGGAGAACGATATCTTTGTTTTCTGTATCGCGATATCGCTCACCATTTTCTCCCTAATCGCGTGCTGATCTCGGAGGGGTTTCTTTTTATTTTGCGCAGATTCTAAACTCTGTTTCGCTTTTTCTAAGAATGTTTTCACGTCTTTGAACTTTTTCTCACACTGTTCCCATTCTTCGCTCGCTTCTTGTAGTAATGCGTTCTGAAATTTTTTTTTTTTTAATAAAAATCATTCCTCATCCCAACATAATAATAATTTATAATTCAAGATAAAAAAACCCACCCTTTCTAATAATTGACCTTCAACTTCAACCTTGGCCTCTTCGGCCTGTGCAAGTTTTTCCGGCAGGTCACCTACGCTTGTGAATTGACCAATAACTTCCAGTTCTTTCCCCATGTCACTTAAATTCTTGTTTACTTGCTTACAACTTTTAACAGCCGTCTGCAAATAATTTATTTCAATCGCTAGTTTTTTTTTCTTCATATTCAAATTTTTATACCAGAGAAAAATTTTAGAAATGGATTTGATATTTTTATAAATGTCTTCTGTCAGATTGATATTTATAATTATAGAAATTATGTCATGTAATCAGTGTAATTAAGTACTATGGACGATTTGATAAAAGCTATAATTATATTTTAATTGATTACTTGTAAATATGTTTCAAAAATTGTTACAAGGTAATTTTTTTAATGATACTAAAAAAAAAAAAAAACAAACTAACGATTTAGTTAATTTTTTTTTGACATTTTTTGAAAAATTAAACTTTTTTTGTTAAAGAATATTTTTTTTTACTATTCAATTTTTTTAAATATATTACCGTGCAATTTTTGAGCTTAAAAAAAAATTTCAAATTTTTGCACAGAAAAAAAATTTTTTCTCTTGAATCAAGTTAATTTTTTATCAGTGTATTTTTGTATCAATATTGTACGAAAAATCCATTTCCAAAATTTTGTCTCCTCAACAATAAACACGAAACATACCGAGTAATCATGTAACCTTTGCCGAGTCTGAACAAGCGTGCTAAGTTTAAGAGGTTCTTTCAAGAAAAGTCTCTTTTCCTCAGTCCAAGCTTTGACAGACTCGTAAAGAACAAGGAACCTCTGCCAAGCGTCGAGAGAGTCGCCAACCTGTTGCTTCTTTTCCTCGAGCCAGGATTTGACTTGGGCCAGCTGCTCGGTCAAGTTGGCGATGGTTTTGCCAATTAATTCTTTTTCGTTTTCATCGCGGGTATTTTCGATAATCGTGCGTCCGTTTTTGGTCATTCGCTCGCATTTGTCAGTGATCGGAGTGAGCTCCGTCTGAATAAGTCGTAAAAATTCCCGTAATTTGAGCGGCTCGACGGACCTGTCCTGGACCTTGAGTTCGGCTTGACGAATCCAGGCCTGGAGCTCGTCGACGTCTGCCAGATAGTCGGTGCGGATTGTCCTGGCACGCTTCTGCTCACGTTGCTTCTCTTCCATGGCTTGTACTGCGCCCTCGGCACTCAGCTCCAGAGAAGCCAATTTCTGTGCGAGGTCACTGGGTACCAGCTGCTGGCTCGCCTGGTACCGCGCCTTAGTGTTACCAGATAGTTGTTTTATCTCCTCGATTAACCCCAGCAGCTCCTCTCGCTGCTTTATTAGTGAATCTTCAATTGCCTGCTGGTCGATGCCGAATACGTACAAAATTTTAATCTCCTCGTTGATTTTCTCGAGTTTGTCTTGCAGCCGTTTTATTTCTTGCTCGTCTGCTTTCAGCAAATCAAGGTCTTCACGCGCTTTTTTTGATTTTGTGTCAAGTGAACTCACGAGCCTGCAATTTTATTTTATTTTTTTCTTGCTAGTTTCTATTTTTAAATATTTTTATTTTTATTAAAAATGAAAATTAAAAAATCATTTTATAAACTTGTACGGAAATTTTTAATTTTAAATTAAAAAAAATTTTTTTTACGTGAATAATTTTATTACAAACATAATTTTGAATTTTATGATAAAAATCAAAAGTTAAAATTAATTTTATTATTATTTTTTATCAAACTCAGTTTATAATAAAATATTTATCAATTTTCAGCTAAAAATTATTTTTTGGTAGTTTCAATTTTTAGATAATTTTATTTTTATAAAAAATTAAAATAAATAATTGTTATTTTAAAAATTTGTCCTAAATTTTTTACTTTAACTTAAATAAATTTTTTAGGTCAAAAATTGATAACGATTTTTTAAAGTTTTTATAAAAGAAAAAAAAAAGTTGATAAAAAAAATTTTTTTCGACTTTGTCTGGTATGAAATATTTATCAATATTCAGTTAAAATAATTTTAAAATAAATCTTTCTAATTTTCTTCCTAAAAAAAACTCACAAACTTTCTTTCACAATAATTTTTTCTATTTATAACTCCCAGTTACTTAATAAAAAGTTAAGCCCCAAAAAAACTTAAAGCATCGCGCGAAAAGAAATCCATGTGGAGTATCGTGACATCATCGCGGAATCTATTTACAGAGGAACATCACACTATAATAAATAAAAAAAAACTCGAATAAAATCCACGTGTTCAGAATCAATAATCTCATTCTAAATCATCAATAGCTCATATGACATGAGTCATCTTCTTAAAAAAACATCAGCCCGGTAACAAAAACAAAAACAAAAACAAATTAATAAAATGGATAACTACAAACTCGAACGAGGACTCGAATGTTACAGCCGCTATTTATCTGGCACACGTCCTCATGTACATGTTTACCAGCCGGATTTTAAGAATCTATAATTACTCGTGACTCCCTTTTATTTTTTACAAAAAAAAACAATGATATTGCACCGCGTAAAATAACTATGAAGTCCTGCGCAGTAAAAACGCGGGAAAAAGTTACGCGCTTATCTCAACTCGAAAAATTCCAACAAACTAACAATAATATAATTACAATCACAACAATAAAAATTATAATACCGATTAGCTCACGATCGAAAATACATTAACTTCACTAAAATAATTAACCGCGTTAATTAAAAATAATTACGAGCTATCAAAAATTTAATTTCTTAATACCTATTTTATCAGCTTGGAAGATAAAACTTAGAATCACTTGAGTTATTGAAAATATTTCAGATATAATAAATATTCAATTAATTTAGAATTAGACCTACTGTACTATTAATTTATCTAATAAATAAATAAACGTACAATACAATAATTAAAAAAAAAATTTAAGAATGGCGCGGCGCGGTCTAAGAAGCAACAGCGATTACGGTCGAAAACGTTTTAAGGTAGCAGCGCCTCAACTCGCAGTTATAGTTTTTTCGACGGTCTATGACGACGCATGCCCACTAAATTACACAAACACCTATTTTAAATTCACAGTTGTATTTATGTTTTATGTACGTACATATATGTAGAGTATTTACAATTAGACTAGACCGTGTGCGTGTGAGTGTATGAGATAAATAGAATTTATAATACAACTAGCAAGACTCAAAACGCCGCGACGCCGCTACGAAAATGCAGCACCGCGACTAATAATAATTCAGGGGCTGCTAAAGAATCTACAGCAAAGCTAATTCAAACTCTATCTGAATATATTATACGAATACGAAGTAAAGCTTCGTGTTCTCTAGCTGATGCTTCTTAAGGTCGCGGAAACGTGCCAACGACTTTTAGTCAATCAACTCAAACTTTTTTACATTTTAAATAACAATTGCTGTTAGCAGTGTCAAGATATTTATCAAGACATTATATATTTCAGTCATAATTTATTGGATGAGAATTTTTGTTACTGATATTTTACTTTCATAACAAAAACTCATTTTTATTTAAAAAAATTTTACTGATAGAAGAATTTTTTTTAATTATTTAGACTTCATAAAAAATATTTATTATAACTTAATAATTATTTGCTATTTTTCTTTAATAAAAATTTTTTTTTAATTAATAAAGTTTCTTTAATACAAATTTTATTTTCATTAAAAATTTTTGGCAAAATTTTACCTTTAAAATTGATTTTTAGAATTTAAAAAATTAATTTTTTCTTTTAATTTCAGTAAAAAAATTGATAGAAAAAATATTTTATTTAAAATTTTTTAATAAAAATTAATTATCTTTTAAAAATTAATTAATTAACCTTATTAAATTTGAATAAAGTCTTCTATCAGTGACTTTATTCTAATCACAATTAATCTTTGCTTCACATCACTTGTGTAAAAAATAATACTGTATTTATTGTAAATGCAACGAGACACGTTCATTATGGTAGCTCAGTAATTACTGAAGTCATCAATGAAAGAAACAAGTGACCGGTGAATGCCACGGCCACTAGCCGCTTATTAAATATAAAAAAAAGGCCTTCTGATAATATAATCACGTCATTACCAGGTTCGGTGATGACGATTTCTACCTGGATTTTTTATTTCATTAATTATGCAGTGAGTTATTGCATAAATATATTAAAAACTTTTTATCACTTGACAGCACTTAGTTACTTGGACAGTTTAGTGCTGTCATGCTTTATAATTAACTGTTGTTTAATTATTTGCTCAATTATGAGACTATTTATAAATGATAGACCATTACTTAACAATAACGAAATTTCTTAAAAATAAATCAAGCAAAAGCTCAAAAACTGAAAAAAAAAACAACAAACATGCGCGTGCTCTGCTCGTGGGTATAATTTAACGGCCGTGTAATCTCTTTATCTTATTGAAAACTAGTTATAAACTTGGACTATACTGTAGTAACACGTAATCTTATCGACGAAGCTGAAAAACTAAAAGCTATGTAATTGTAATTCTGACTGTAATTGTAATTGTAATTATAAATTTCGATTACGCGACCCACTAGCAGTAATAATTTTATTGACTCACCTTTCCGCAGTGGTGTGGAGCTTATCAAGCCGGTCTTCGAGACCACGTGCCGAGGCTTCTGTGAATGCTGACAGATATTCAATCACTGGTCTTGCAAGTTCTCTGACTTCCTCGGTCACGGGGATTAACTTTTCCGCCTCCGTAACCAGCTCCTAAGGTAAGAATAAAACAATTATTTTCATTTTTTTTTAGTTTTATTTTTAAGTTTGATGATCCGCATCGTACGCGTGATTATATTCGACTAAGGGATGTAACAGGCTATTGATAGTGATAGAAAACACCTGGCTGTGGTGCCTGGTCGTACAACCCGGTTCACTAACCGTTCATTAGAACGCGGATTTTAATTTTTGCATATTCAACTTTCGAGTATTTTCCGTAATTGAATTTAAAGATTTTAATTTACAAATTTTATTATCTTTTAGAATATTTTTTTCATGTTTAATCATTTGTATTCTTATTCATTAGAATGATTAGAAAAATTTACATCTGAATTCTAAAAATTTATTATCTTATTTTAAAATTTTACCTCTTTATCCATCTCAAATGCGATAACTTAAAAATCTCTACAATAATAATAATAATAATGATAAATTTTTGTGTTTTTTTTTTCTTCGAAGTTTAAAACCTCTTTTACTTAAACGAATAATTTAATTAGAAGCAAAAAAGTACTTGAACAAAATAAAATTAACAAACTAAAAAAAATTTATTAATTCAATAAATTTTTTTTTGAGTAATCAATCCCCTATACAAAAATGTTTTCATTACCCTTGTGAAGAGATTTGTCGTCAAAATTACAAAATTCTAAATTTAAAAAAGTATTTATGTAAAATTTGATCAAAAGCTATCTTTTCTAAATTAAATTGTTAGATAAATAAACTTAGTTAACTAAAAATTAAAACTTTCAAAACTTCCATAACTTCAATCCTAGGTAAATAAAAGAACTCTATACATCAAAGTTTTAAATGTTTTCCTTGAACTTTAGCACATCAAAGTTTTACTATAATTAAAAAATAAGCATATTGTATAAAAATACGTCAATCTTACTACAAATTAAGGTTGCAAAATTAGAAAACTGATCTATCAAAAGGTAAAATCTTCCGTTCAATAATAACAGAACAATAATCAACTTACATTGAGTGATTTGATGGTATCTTTGATGTGATGTTTCGACCTGACAATGCAGTCAACAAGTTTGCTCCTCTCCTCAATGGCATTGAGCTTCGTCTCAGTGTGATTGAGCCTGGCCTCAAGATCTTCCCAATGCTTAGAAAGCGCTTCTAAAGCTCCCCTTCGACCTTCTAACCCAGCAACGAGCTCCTTCCACTGCGCACTAGTTTCCTCTAAATGAGCTTTAATACTCTGCTTATTGTTAGCATCTGCGGAGCTCAAAATCTCCTGGCCTCTTTCATTGAGAAGATCCAATTCAAACTGCTGGTTTTGAATATCATTTAGCGCGTGAGTCAGCTTCTGGATATTGAACTGCAAGCCCGCGAGGGTGGTAACAGGCTCGTCAGTAAACCGCGAACGAGCAATTACCGCCTTAACTCTCTCCAAAGTCTGTGTGTAGTCACGCCACGTATCTGCGCCTTGTTCCAATCTCGCGCGATAAGACTTAGCGGTATTCAAAGTGTTCTTCAGTAACTGCAAATGTTGCTGTTGTTCAAGACTAAGTTCCTCCTGTTCTGCGCTATTCAACGACGGCCAAACTTTGTCAGCCGCTTGCTGGATCTGCTGAGACACTAATTCGCGAATAGAAGCTTCAGAACTGAAGTAGATTTTGTGTTCTTCCAAATCGCTGAGGATATTCTCAAAATCAAGCCCGTCTTTGTCGCTCTGCAGCCGGATCTCAGCTTCACGAACCCATTTGTGGAATTTATCAGCCAACTGTCCGTAGTTCAGCCTCATTTGCAAGTTTGAGTCCAAATAAGCCTCCCTGTCCTCCATTTCCCTCGGCAAAGACGCCAACAAAGACACCGCTTCACTCAGCATCTCTTTGAGCGATCCAGGCATGCCTTCTTCGTGCTTGACTGACTCTTTCAATTGCCTAATTCTATCCAGATACTCATTAACCAAGCCACAAAGCAATCTATGCTTCTGAATTTCACTTTCTACACTCTCAACAGCGCGATCTAGAAGCGGCCTGGACTTAACTTCCTTCTCTTTGTTCTCCAACCAATCCAGAATCTCCGCCAGCTCTTCTGCCAATCGCTTATGTTCAGCAGCTGCCAGTTCATGCTGTTCTCGCTGCATTTCCACAGCTCGTCTCAGCCCCTGAAGCTGCTGCTTCAACGACTGAAGTTGTTCCGTAACATTATTCTTGTCCGCTGAAGATCCATCTGCTGCGATTTGCTGGCCTTTGTCATTAGCACTCGCCAAAGTAGCCTCACACTCCTGAATCTTCGAGATAACATCATCGTATCGCTTTATCTTCTCCTCGGTAGTCTGGTCCTGCTTCTCAATATCCCTCACAATCTCATTATACTTCGCAATAAACGACATTATCTCCGTAATCAACGCAATAAATTGCTGTCGAAGCAAAAGCAACTGTCTCAACCTCGCGATTTGCGCCTCTAGCGCCCTAATCAAGTCATCTTGCTGACCAATCACTCCATGGAGATCCCCAATATTAGCCGATTGCAGATCAGAAAGCTTGGCTTTGTTCGCCTTCAAATCACCAAGAATTTTTTCATAAGCTGCTAACATTCCTTCGACATCTTCGACCTTCGAACCAATTGGTTTGTTCAAGTTATTAAGCTCCTTCTGGATATCAGACATAAATTGAACTGCTTCGGCGACCCTCGCAGCAGCTTCTTCCGCCTCAGCGATGCTTTTGTGAAGTGCAGAAGCCCGTTCATTAATCACTCCAGCGACTCTATTGTGAGCATCCTTCATACTCTTCAATTGATCGCTCAATTCCAGCTTATCTGCGTCGCTCACCGTTGGTAAAATAGATTTCCCTTGTTGCATTATCTTCTCAACGTCCTCTCCAAACGCCTTGGCTTCTTGCTTCAGCCTATCATATTTCGCAAGCTGCTCTCTCAGCACATCTACACTTGAAGTTCTCACATCCGACGAAGTAGCGGTCTCCGCCTCCTTGATCCACCTTTGACACCTATCTATTTCACTCTCAAAGGCTTTGCGACCTTGCAACAAGTCCGCCAATGAAGCCTGTTTTTCAGCAGCTTCTTTCTTCAACGCGTCGTAGTCTTCATTCAAGTTATCCAACAAAGCTTGGAGATTTCCACGATCATCTTCATTGCAATCACGCATCAAAGTGTTAGCCTGCTTCAACACGTCTTTCAGAGTGCTTTCGTTGAAGGAATTAATGTCACCCTCAATCTCGTTATGATGAACAATGTCCTCCTCTACTTTCGTGGATCTTAGCGGCAAATAACCGCTTAGTTTCTTGAGGTCGTTGTGCTTCGACTTTATCCAGAGACGCGCTCGTTCAAAATCTGTCTCCAGTTTGTGTCTGGCATCTGCTGCAGCGGAGGCTCCGGAGATTTCTTCCCTCAAAATCGAGCAAAGTTCGACCTGTTCTGTCCTTAAAGCTCGCGCATTTGATTCTAATTCTTGCTGCTCACTGGCTTCCAGCTCGTTCTGCATGTTTCCAACTCGTTTTTCAAGAGTATCAACGATAACTTGTTTGTTTTCGGCTTCCTTGAGCATCGCTTTCAAGGCTAGAACCCGATCATCAGCGGGCTTGCACTCAAAACCAAGAGGTTCTGTGGTTCTCGCTTGCTGTTTTTTGAGACTGATCCACTCGCGGTTGTCTTCAATCTCTTTGCGAGTGGCTTCAATGCCTTGGGCAGTCATATCCAGCACCTGGCTCTTTCTCACCAACTTCTTGTTGACATCAGCGTATCTACGGTCCACGGACTTTATCTGCTCTTCAATTTGTTGGGAATCCAAGTTGCTGACACTGTCCATCACTTGATCGCCTAGTTTTTTGACTTCATCAAGTCTACCGGGTCCTTGAGTCTCAAAGTCCGAGATAATGGTCTTGACTGCTGAAATCTTCTGACCTATGGTCAACCCGTTGCCCTTTTCGATGACATCAACTTTCTTGGACAACCCGTCGAACCAACTTTGGATATCCTGCACCTGAGCGCGGTACTTTTGGATCAGTTCTTGAGTCGCTTGTTTGTCAGCAATAGCTTCTGTCAATTCGTTCTCCAGCTTATCAAGGCCTTCCTCGATGTTATCTTCCGGACGAAGAGACAATTCTATCATGGCTCGAGATCTTCTTTCTCCGATACTTCCTAAGAGTTCGTTCATTGCTTGGAGCTCAGCCTGCGCTGCTTCCGCGCGTAATTTTGCTGGTCGTGATTTCCACTCGGCACACAGAGCGCGCTGTTGGTTGATCCAGGATTTCAAGTCGTTTTTCTGGTGCATTTGTTCCTCTAGTTCGCCAACGGATTTCGTGACGTTCGCCAAGTGTGCTTGCATCTGGTTTAAAAATAAATTTTTTATAAATAAAAAGTAGACTGATTTCTGTTAATATTACACCGATAAAAATTTCAAGTTCTAACTTTGAAAATAATTTTTTATAACAAAAATTTTTGTCTTACATCTTCATCTCAAAAAATAAGTACAAACCTTGAACTAAATTTTTTTCAGTGTATTTGTAATGAAAACATTGAAAATATGATTACATATTAAGAATAAAAAACGATAGAAGCATTTAGTTAACAAAAAAAAAAAAAAACAATAATGCAAACCTTCTCGCACATTTGATTAAGTTTCACTAAGAAGCCTTTTTCTTCAATGACACGAAACAATGCTTTCAGCCTGTCTCCAGTGTCTCGGTTATCTTTCTGCGTGAATTCAGCGAAAAAACAAATAATAGTAGTAAAAATAAACAAATAATATAATTAAACATGCATAAGCCTTAAGCGATTTATTAAAAAAACAATTTTTACTTATAACTTGAAACATTCTTATTAGAAAATTAATTAACAACACGATTTAAATAAGTATTAAAAAAACTCTTACCTGATCAATCAAATCTTCCAATCTGGTCCTCACTTCGACTTCCCTAGAAGGAATCTGAATAGCCGGTGCATCTAAAGGACTTCCAGGTCTAGAAACACAAGCAGCCGCAGCTTCACAAGCTTCAACAGCAACGGCCAACCTCGTTTTTTCTGCCTGCAATTTATTGTGCAGCAACCTAGCGCTTTCAAGACTTTTTTCAGCCGACTCCAAAGTGTCTAACGGAGCCTCTAATTCTCTCACAATTTCCGGTTCATATGTGTCCAAATTCTTCATGATACTTTCTAGAGTTCTCTCATACTCCGCAAACTTAGCCAAGGACTCATCCAACCTATTCTTGATCTGAATTGCAGTATTAAGCAGCGAATTGTAACTTTCCTGGACGTTTTGCAGTTGAGTTTCAATCGTAGTCTTAATATTAGGATTGGCTGATAAGTACCGATCAATTTGATGCTGTCCTTTGTCTTTGAGATCGTCTAAATCATGCTGGTAATTGCGAATGTCCTCCAATAGAGCGTCATGAGCTTTGATTTGTTCAAGCGTTTGCTCCTTACTGGTAATGTATCTCGAATTGTGCGCCATCAATTGGAATGACACTTGAAGTAACCATTTTTCCGTTTCCTGCAAAGCTGTGTGATACATCGTGTATTCATCCATCTCATTTTCTACAAGCCGCTTCTGCTCATCCACCAACAGACCCAGGGCCTTCCAGCGACTCAGAAGATCATTAGCTTGATCCTGAGTCTTGTTGTTCTTCGCCCACGTGGACAATTCAGTAGACTCCTCCAACAGTTGGTCCAATTCAACCTTCTTCGCTTTTACTTCATCTTGAATGTGTCTGTATCTTTCAGACAACGTTTTCATCTCACCAATTTCGCCTTTGGTATCCGGCAAAGTCTCCAAAATCTTTTCAGTATCACCCAACCACTTCTTCAGCCTTTCGTAAACCTCTGCGTGGTCTTCCCACCGGGTTAGAGTAGCCTTAACTTGGGCCTGTACTGTGTTCAAGTCCATGTTCAGCTGCTCCCAATTGGACGTCAACGTAGCCATGTCAGTTCTCAACTGCTCTTGCTGTTCTGGCAACGCGGTATTAATCGCCTTCGCAAACGCATTCTTCAAAGTTGAAAGCAGATGTTGGCCTTCAGTGATCCTCGTAGCAACTAGCCTGGTTGTTTCTAACTTATCTCTCGCCCAAGTCACGTCTCCAACACCTACACAATCTTGGATCGACCCGTGAGCAGTTTGGAGCCACTCTTCCATCTCCTTTCGCGCTTTCAAAAACTCCGTGTGGTCGGATAAGTTCTTCTCGACCTTCGAAACCAAACCTTGGGCTTCAGTTAGCAATGTAGTATATGCAGATTGAAGTCCAACCGTTTTATCTCTCGCCCAACTGCAAGCACTCAACTCTAGAAGCGTTTCACACTTGTCATTCAACTCTTCTAGTATCGGTTTCTGACGGATTGCCTCATCAACCAATGCCTTACAGCGTTCTAAATCCTGCGGGGTCTTGTTTTCCTTGGCTTGTTCATCAGTTACCTTCTTCTGGAACAGGTCCAGCCAATTTTTCATGCTCTCCATCGCGCTAGTGAACTGGGACCACATGGTAATACAATTAGCGAGCGTTTTTTGGGAATCTTGACACTGAGTCTGCAGAAATTTCCAGTCTAGTTGTAGCTGTTTCACTTCCTGGCGAATAGCGTCTTGTCCTTCTGGTCCCGTAGAAGAGATAACCGCTTCACTGATGTCCATAACTTTGGAAATGAGAGCTTCACCTTTCGGCATTGAATCAACAATTTCGCTGATCTTCTTCTCGCGTTCTACAATCTTAGGTCTTTCACCCTGCGTCATGCTGTACTGCTGTACTTCAACTTTAGTTCTTCTAACCCAATCTGCAGCTTCATTCTGGGCTTGTTGGAACCTTTCATGCTCCCTAACCTGATCCTCTAGATTGTTGATCTTTTCAGCGACTAGTCTTCTCAATTCATCGTATTTCGCGATCGTACCTTCATAAGGTTCTCGCGGAATTGTGGAATCTTCATTCAATCGCGACTTCAATCTATCAATAGTATCACTATGACCTTGAATATCTCTTTGTGCAGTCCGGTACTTCTCCAAAAGTATCCTTTTCTCGCTCAAGTCATTCCTGTAAGTCTCATCTGGCCTGATCTTCACATCAATTTCTTCGATCCAGTCCGTGATCATGCGGTATAACTTGCCCAACTCTTCAAGCGAACTAGCTCTTGTCGACAATTTCTGTCTCGCATCTTCGACATCAACCATCAGCTTGTCAAACTCTGCTTTAAGATTCGCCGTATCTTCTTGAATTTTCGCAGCACCGTTCTGTTCAGTGTTCATGATAACGCGTTCTTTCAACTCTAACGCGTATCTCAATTTATTCTGGCCCTGCTCTAGTGTCTGTCTAATCGCTTTGCACATGCTTAACTTATTATTGACCTCTGTCAAGGTCGCAGTCACATCTTTGCACTCGCCCAACTTTTCTCTAGTCCTGTCAATCCAGTCTTGACACTCTTGATACAGAGTATTATGCTGCTGATGTTCCTGATAATGCAATTCTAACCTCCTCATTATTTCCTTCGCTAAAGACAGCAACGCATTGTACTTGGTAGTCAATTGCGTAACCTGATTTGAAATCCTGGTGTCTGCACACGTTTCCAACAGCATTTGCGCTTTCATATTAAGTCGATCTAGTTCCTTCTGCCAGTCGAAGAGAGTTTGCAGATGAACTTGGAACCTCTCTAGCACATTCTTCTTCTCCTCCAAACTGTCCTGAAGCTTGTTGAACGTTTGAACTAGCTGTTCAGTTTGATTTAGCCACTCCGTCGCCTCAGAATACTGGTCTTCATATTCTGTCCACTTAACAATGCCTACTTCCAACAAACTCTTCGTATTATTCAAAGAATCCACATAATTATCATACTCCTCTTGCAACATAGCGACGTCTTCTTCAATGATTTCCTTATCTTCAGCATCTGCAATCTGACAAGCAGCATTACCTCGCTCTAGAGCCTTCTCCAACTTCTGCTGGCCCTCCGGTAGTTCACTTTGCAGCACCTTCAGTTGCGTTATTTTGCTAGCCAACGATTCTTTATCACCAGTAGGCTCTGAACACTTGCCTAATCTTTCCTTAGCAACTCTGATCCACTGAACAAACTCAGAACCACTGTCAATGAAAGCTTGATGCTGTTCAACAGTCTCCTTTTGCTTCGCATACAGTTCTTGCGCCTGCTTGCTTAACGTTTCATACTTTATAGAAATTTCAGTAGCAGGCGTTGCTTGCTGCAAATCTTCCGCTTTAGTCGTCACCGATTGAATCATCGGTTCAAAAGCAACAATGTCCTGCATAATACTATTAGTTTGTCTCAAATTAGCCTTACGCTCACCAATTGCCAGTGAATTCAATCCCGCGAGTCCTTTTTTGGCCTTGGAAACCTTCTGCTCACATACTTGTTGTAACTTGGCTTCACGGTCATTGATCCACTGCTGCAATTGTGAGTACGAGGAGCTGTAATCAGCCCATTGGAGCAAACTAGTTTCCAAGTGGACCTTGGTAGTCGAAATCTTCTTAACCAACCTTTCCCAGTCATTCTGAATCTCCTTCAACTGATTATTGATCTCTTCTCTTCCGTCAGATCGCGTGTTTCTAGCAACCTTTTCTCCGCAATTGACTGTCAAATGGACAAGATTCTGACCTTCTTCCAACTTCTTAAGCAGATCCTGAATCTTATCCAATCGCTCCTGTAATTCTTCCCGACTACTCGAGGAAGCAGCTTCTGTTCCTTGACGGATTATCTGCTTAGCATTGTCGATCCAGGCTTTAGTCTTGTCTAAGTTCCGTTCGTATTCTTGGTGTTGCGACAAATTAGTTTCCACCTTGTTCAATACATCTTTCGCCAAATTCACCTGGACTTGATACCGCGAATTAAGGTGACGTAGTTGGTTGTTTATGTACGTATCTAGGTGCGAGGAAAGCAAAACCGAAGCTGATTTGTTGAACTTATCAATCTGTTCCTGGCCTTTTTCCAAATTTTCAAGAATATCTCTCACTTCTTTAACTTGCTTTTCCTTCTCCACGACGTTAGGCAATAACGCGTTCTTCTGCGCCTTTATCAAGATATCAAACTGCTGTAACCAGTCACTCAGCCTCTCATACTCATCCTTGTAATCCCTCCACTGACTGATTGTACTCTCCAATATTTCTTTCTGCACCTTTACTTCTTTGAACAAACTATCAAAGCTCTCTTTCAACGCACGAATTTCATTGCGAATCACTTCTCCACCCTGAGGACTAGTACTCGCGCAAACAACCTCTCCAGTATGCTGCAAATGTTCCACCAACAGTTCTCCCTGCGCTTTTTTGTTCAGCAAGCTCTCCAAAGGCGCAACAGCATTCTCAACAGCCAGTTTGTCGCTCAGCGTTCGTTGTTTCATCGAAGGAATTTTCTCCCTCGCGCGACTTAGCCATGCAATCAAATCATCATGCGCTTCCTTATACCTCTTGTGGTCCTTATACTGGTCCTCTCTTTCTGCCAACAAAGACTTAATCTTCTCGAACAGTTCATCAAACTTGTTCAAAGTATCCTGAGCCTGAGAAGCTGCCAATCCTTGCTGACCACTCGCAACCATCTCTGCAAACTTCGACTTTAAATTGTCAACTTCAATGTTCTCACAGCGAACTCGTTCCTCCAAAGCTTTGATCCTTTCCAACTGATTTCTCTTCTCAGTCATCGTCGATTGGAACGGCTGGATTTCAGCCAGCGAATTCTTCATCAGTTCCACTGTCTTGTTGATCGTTTGAATCTGTTCCAACAATCCTGCCCATTTGTTGATAGAATCATCAAGATTGGTCTTAGTCTCCAACATTTGCGTAGTCAAAGCACTCCATTGTTCCTGAAGACGAACTACCGCTTCATTGATCGCTTGATGACCTGCCGGGGCCGTGTTTGCAAGGACAGTTTGAGCCAGTTCAACAATTCCTTGAATTTTTGAAAACCCATCTTCTTTGTACAGCAGCAAATCCTGAACCGTCGCCATCTTGCTTTCCAAATCCTTCTGCGACAAAGCACTCAAATCTGAAGAATAAGCAAGCTTTTCACGAATTCCTTCCAGCCAATTGACACAAGCTGCAAGATTGTTATCGAAATCTTGATGATTCGCTACATACTGATGCCATCGGTTGTTCAAATCCTTAACTTTGCTGGAGATCTGCTGGTACTTGATACCCAACTCCGGAATATTGGACGTCCTAGATGTCATATTCTTGTGTAATTGTTGCGCTCGTTCAGTCACTGCATCGATTTCCAATTCCTTAGCCCGAACTTCACCCTGGAGAACTCTCAAATGTTCCAGCTGCTCTTTCTTCTCCTGCAAAGTAGATTTCAGATCAACCGCGTGCAATTTAGTGTCAGTATCTCTAATCCAATCTAAGCATTTCTCTTTCAAGGCTTCAAATTCGTGCCACTGTTGCAATTTATTTTCAATTACTTCGATCGTCGATTTAATCGTCGATACCAAACCCTCCCACTCTTGCTGTGAGGAGTCAATCTGCGATCTTATGTTAACCTGTCCGGATTCTAAAGTCCCGGGAATAACTTTCTCGCCTAGAACTCTTATCTGTTGAATTCGTGGTTGATCTTCGGGTAGCGTGTGAAGAAGATTTTTCAAACGATCGATGTTGGTGTGAAGCGACACACGTTCCAGATCGGTATCACCCCAAAGACTAACCGCGTTATGAGTCGCGTCCAACCATTCGTGAGTCTCTAACACAGCTTTGCTGTACTGCTGGTGATCGCTGACAATCGCTTCGTACTTCTCAACGAATCCTTGAACGCGTTTCAAAATAGCTGAGTACCGTTTTGTTAGGTCGGTAAGAATCTTGTCAGTCTTATCGGTTTTATCGGGTAAGTTGTCAGATTTATCTCTTAAAGCCAGAAGATCTTCTTGGTGGCTCTGGATGTCATGCAAAGAATCTCTGTACAGTTGAAGTTGGATTCGTTTTTCATCCAAAGTCGTCTTCAATTCCAATTCTGACTTTATCCGCTTCTCCATCTGCGACAGCCACTTCTCGAAACTTCCACTGGAGTCATCAAATCCTAACCAACGGGATATTTTCACCTGGATGTCGCGTTCCGTGGAAGAAACTCCGTCGACTAGAGACTCGAGAGCTTGTTGGAGGTCTAGAAGCTGTTGTCGGATTATTTCTCTGCCTTCTGAACCAGTTGTTGGGTACAAGCGCTCTCCAGCCTCGACTGTATTGTTGACTAAAAGTGTTCCTGCGGTGATTCGCGATAGCAATTCGCGCAAACTGTCTCCGTTGGTCATCAACTCTTGCTTAGTAGCGTTGGTGTTGTCTCTTGAACCTTGGTATTGCGATTGTGAGGCTGTTAACCAGTCCGTACATTGCTTGTAACGTTCTAAGTATGCTCCATGGTCTTGGGTTGCTTGCTCGCATTTCTTCACCAGCTCCTAAGGAAGATAAGTAATTTATTTAACTTCTGCTGCACTTCAATAATATAGTATAATAAATTGGATAATTACTTTAGCAGTTGCTTGAATAGACTGGAACCGTGATGTCACTTGTTGAATATTGGCAGAGAATCGTGATTCCCCGCTGGTCTCGATCAATTCTGAAGAATCATCGCTCATTTTATCAAACTCCGCTTCATGGCTTCTCAGATTGATAATCAGCGACTGCAAAATGATAAATTCGCTATAAATTAAAGTTAAACTTGTTGGTAGAGCATAAAAATAAATGATGAATTGCACTCCGCTATGCTATTTAAATCAGCGTTAAGATAAAAGCTGCAGAAGATACTGTTTTATTAATAATAGTAATATAATAAATGTATACTGAAAAGAAAGATATTTTATCAATCAGTACAAAATAAGCAGAAGTATAGGCATTTTTTCAGATAAATTCAATCACGCTCTCGATCCAGATCTTGTATTGAGAAAACACGTGATCCAAAAGCTGGTATCGATATTGATTCTTACGATCAAACTCTTACTTGTTCAAGGTGATCACCCAGTGAGACCAGTTCTGTCACATCTCTACTCCGTGAATCCGATATTTTAAGTAGTTCCTATGAAATTTCATACATATATCTTTACTAACAAGCAGTTAAATTGTTTCACCCGAGTTAATTACAGTTATGATCTATGAACTATCATTTTTGACACATAGTTTTGTATTTTCTGTTTGAGTTATCAATTTTATATAATTACCTGGTACTTTTCCAGCTGCTCTTGCTTCTCATCTATGGTGTTTTTCAGAGTATAATTCTTCAAAATCGTTTCTGCTTCTGACAGCCAGGCCAAAAGACGTTCCAGAGCATTTTCGTATTCGCTCCACTGTTGGATTCTTTCTTCGAGAGTTCGAATTACGTCACTGACTGCAGTCGCAAATTTTTTGCTTTCAAACCTGAATCAGGAATAAAATTACAATTTACAAACTTAAAGCTGATAAAAAACAATATTTATACGAGAATAATGATGTGACTACTCTTTTGTTTTCAAAAATTTTTAGAAAAATCTAAAATTACCTCAGATTAGCAAGGTCACGTTCAGTAGCTTCTTGAGCTCTTGGAGGCAAATTACAACTATTTTGCTTGACATGTTCCTCAAGAACATTAAGTTTCAATTCTCCCTCAGTTTGTTCGTCTTGAATCTCAATAACTTTAGCTAGCCTAGCCTGCAAAGCAGCCTTATTACCCGTGTAATCATTGTAATTAGCCAATTTGTCCCACTGCTGCTTCTGGTAATCTTGATAGGCCTTCTGAAGATCATGCAACTGTTGGAAGATCTCTGACAATCTCTCCAACCCAGCTATTCCTTTTTGCGAGGCATCAACCAAAGCTTCATATCGCTTGGAAACAGCCAACACAGCATCTTTGACATCAGTAGGTGCTTGGGTCAAAGCATTAGCTTTCTCCGAAATCGCTTCAACAATCCTTTTGTGGGCCAAAATTTCCTGATGCAAAGTCTTGCTCTTGAGTAACCTAGAGCGAACTTCTTGGTGTGTTGAAGAAGAAGCAGAATCCTGCTTCATAGCGCGTTCCATGTTGTCTAACCAAGCTGAAATATGCTGCAAGGTTTCCTGATAACTCGACCATTGAAGAGACTGAGCGTCCTGCTTCTTCTGCTGTTCCAGAATCCCTTCAGTCAAGTTATCCCATCTTTCCCTCGCGTGTCTTAGTTCATGCCGAATAGTTTCACGTCCTTGGGCCGAAGTCGCAGGAAGAATCCGCTCTCCGGCAGCAGTCAGAGCTGTTAATCTACTTGTAGCTTGATCTCGTTCAGCCAACAGCATCTTCAACCTCGAACCCTTTGCTTCAAAGTCTCCACCCAGTTCGTCTTTTTTCAACGCTGCCAAGTTTTGCTCCAATGGAGTCAGCCAGACATCAACAGCCTTCAGTTTATCTTCAAACTCTTTGTGTTCGTCAACGATAGCACGACAACGATCAACCACCTCCTTGCTCAATATAACCAAAGATTGGTACCGATTGCTGATCTGAGAAATGGCAGGCTTGATCCTTTCAACTCCACTGGCATTCAAAAGTCCATGAGATTTATCAACGAATTCATCAATTTCTTTTTCTTTCTTCAGAATGATATCGCGTTTGTTTTTAAATAACTGCAATCGTTCTTCCTTGTCCTTCAACGTAGCTTGGAGCTGTTGATCACGGAAGGCAGCTTCTACAGTACGGAACCACTTAGTATGCTTGTCCAATTGATCCTCAAAGTCCTGCCATTTTTGAAGAGCTGCATTCTGCTTAGCTTCTACAGTTTCAATTTCGGTTAAATGTTGATTCAACGCTGATTCCAAAGTATCTGCTTCCTTTTTAATAGCCTCCTGTCCCTTCGTAGCAGTACTTTTGATCACTACTTCTAACAATTCTTTAAGTTTATTCAAATGTTCTGATCCTTGAGCTTGGCCGTTCTTAAGAACAGCCAGTGTAGCCATTCTTCTTGAAATATCAGCACGCTCTCCAGTTACATCATTGCAATCCAGCAGTTTTTCTCGTTCAACATTTAGCCAATCGTCGAAGTATTTGCACTGCAAGTTAAACTTATTATGCACATCAGCGCATTCTTCTAGATTCTCTAGTAGATCCTGAGATTTAGCGACGATATTCTGGAAGAGATGCTTTATTGATTGTAAGTATACGTTGAGCGAAGTGTCTTTAGTCTGGTCTACCAATTTTTGAGCTTTGTCGCAGACAGACTCCACTAAAGTTTGATGGGACATGATTTCTTGGTGCATTATTCGATGGTTTTGCAACTGCGCTCGTTTCTCTTCCAGTGTCGACTTTAGTTCAGTGTGTTGATGCATGTCCTTTTCAACGTTTCTCAACCACGCGGTCAATTGTTCTTGGGACAGTGAAAACTCAGCGAATTGCATGAGACATTGGTCTAGTTTCTGCGTAGCTAACTGCAGACCTTCAGTGAAGCCGTCCCAAAGACTTCTCAAGTTTCTTAATTGCTGTCTCACCATTTCACGGCCCTCTGGAGATGTATGGACGTAAAGTTTCTCACCCAAATCGATAACAGACTCAAATCTAGGATTCTCTTTTGTTCTAGTGTCCGCTAAGTCACGAATACTCTTCTGTCGAGTCTGTAGCAGTGCCAAATCCCCAACAATTTCTTTGTGTTTGTTCAATTCCTCTTGAACTCCCTTAATCCAATTCAAGAACTGATTGTATCTCTCATTGAAAGTACTGTGCTCTCTAACAAATTGCTCGTAACGCGCTACCGCCTCGCGAGCTTGGTTTTTAATTGCTTGATACTTAGTAGCTTGCCGAGAAATTCTCGATGCTAATTCTGATTCGGCGTGACTTTGACCTTGTTCTACTGCAGCGTTGAATTCCGGCGCCTTGGCAGCGATTTCCTCTTCCAAACCCTTTAATTTCATCAAATACGCTTGCTTAGCTTCCTCAGTACTTTTGAGAGTCTGATCTTTGACTCTTGATTCCATTGCTTTTGTCCAAGCTTCCAGATCTTCGACAACGCGTTCAAATTCGGTCCATTGATTAAAAAGCCTGTTAAGTTTACTTTTCAAGCCTTCGCACTGCGCCAAGAAATCAGCCCAAATTTTCTTCTGTGTCTCAAATCCCTTCATCAAAGCCGGATGACCTGCAATCGACGTTTGTTCCAAAATGATGTTCAATTGTTGATTGCAGTCTTCCAAAATTCGATCTCCGTCCACTTTTTGGTGGAGCACATTTTCAATCTGCGTGATTTTAGACTTTGCAGAATCTCGTTCGATAGCCAAATCTTCTAATAATGGAGCAGCTTCATTGATAATTGCATTCAACCAATCACGAGTTCTGTCTAAAGTTTGAACATAAGCTTCATGATTTGCTACGTACTTCTCCGCAATTCCAATTCTATCTTCAACGTCGCTGGATAACTTATCATAGCCTTCAATAATAGAAGCCAACATTTCGCTAGCTTCATCATCAGAAACTCCGCTTAAACGATCTTGAAGCTGCTGCAAAATATTTCTGTGAGCACTTACGTCTTGCGCAATGGTCTTGTAAGAATGTAGCGCTAATTTCTTCTCTTGCAAGGTAGGCAGTAAGTCTAACTTATCTCCTAACTTAGCTTGGGCATCAATCAACCACTGTTTAACCTGCGTGTATTTATCTTCAAAAGAAGAACGGTGCATCATATCATTCTCTATCTTCTTGTAGATAATATTAGACCGATCGACCAAGCCGTCAACTCGGTTTCGAAGATTTCTTAGTTCAGCGCGAATAGCTTCTCTTTGATCAGGAGTGGTTCGTGGGAACAAAGCCTCTCCAGCTTCTGCAGTTTTGTTCAAAATAGCTTGACCTTTCTCCCGACTCTCACCAAAGGCACTCAACTCTTTCAAACGCGACTGGTAGAACGCCATTGCTTTGGGACCACTGATTTCATCGAAGCTTTTCAACTTCTTTTCGGCTTCATCAATCCAGTTTTCGAGTTCTCTCACCAGAGCGCGGTAATGGTCTCTTCCGTCTTTGAGCTCTACCAATCGATCATGATGTTGGGACAAGAATTTTTGTATCGCTTCATACCGAGACGTTAAATGACTGACGTACTGCGCAGCTCGCGATTCAGGACTAACCTGCAAAATATCCTCACCTAATTTCGCTAAAGCTTTGATTTCTTTATCGTAATCGTTCACCGTTTTCTGATAATTCTTAACTTCAACTATTTTGTCTTCAACGTTGTCCAATTCAACTAGCATTGAACCTTCTCCTCGGATTTTAGCTTCCGTTTCCTTCAACCAAGACATTATAGCTTCCGAAATAGACTCATAACGTTGCCAAAGCGCGATATTCTGTTGCAAAACATTCTTGATCTTTCCATGGCTCTTTTTGAGCGCAACCAAATCGTCCGCTACTTTGTCACGTTCAGCCTTCAACGCAGTTGTCGTTTCTTTGCTCTCTACAGTCTCCAAAAGTGCAAGTGACTTATCCGTATCACTTTTCCTTGCCTCACAATCTTTGATTCCCGTTTCAACATCAATAAGTGAAGCCATCTTCACTTCTAAATTATAACGATCACTGCTCTGTTCAGGTTCACACCACTGGACCTTTTCCTTCAGTGTCGCTACCATTCTCTGCAAAGCCGTGAACTTCTCATGGTATAATTTAGTCAAGAAAGCTACCAAAGTAGCAGTAACCTTATCAGCGTGATTTGATACTCCATCGCGACGTAACTGCAATGATTGCAATTCTTTCGGCAAACTTGATCGCTCAATCGCCGGATAAACTTTAGAAGCCTCGGTGATTTTCTCTCCAATCGCAACCAAATTGTTATTGCAAGCTTCCAATTCCTTTTGTAGTTCCTGACATTTCTTGATTCTGCTCAATATTTTAGTATTTTCTCCCGTCAAATCATCGCATTTGATGACATCCTCTCTGATCTTCGAAATTTGGTCGCCTGATTTCTTAAGATTAACCCTGATAGCTTTTTCTTTCTCGTTCAAACCTGATGTAAGCGCCTCTAACTTCTCGGCAGACTCTTTTACAAGCTTGAATTGATCATCCAGAAGCTTATTGAGCGATTGTAGAGTAGGCATTTTAGCATTGTGGTTAATTTTTATCAGCTGTTCCGTTTTAGTCGCGATAGTCTGACGAATGAGTTGATACGACGGCAGTTCTTCCTGATATCTCGCTAATCTAGCCTGACCGTTTTCAGCGTCAGTCAATCTCTCACAAGCTGAAGTAAGAGCTTCATTAGTATCGCTCAACCAACGTGTCAAATCATACTTAGACTCTTCAATCTGCTTCCAAATGATGACTTGAGTCTCATAGGACTGCGTTTTTTCCACAATAGTCGCATAGATATCCTGATACTGGTTCCTAATTCCGGATAAATCATTTTCGATAACTTCTACCTTGAAATTGGGCATCAGAGAAGCTTCTTTGATCAACTGCTGCGCTTTTTGATCCATCTTCTCCAAGAACTGTTTTCCTTTCTTTAAAACCTCAGAAGCTCTTTTGTGTTTCTCGAGTGCTAAATTCGCTTGGGTAACATCATTAGGCACTTCTTTCGTTGACTGTCTCAAAGTTTGCGAGTCTTCCATGAACTTTACCAATTTTTCACGTGCTTCTTGATAACAACGCCAATCAGCATCCATTTCAGCATACTTTTTCCTCTGTTCCTTCAATAACTCATTAACTTTCTCCCAATTTGCATCTACTGAAGAAACAACAACTTGAACATTAGTAGTAGCTTTCGCGTCTTCTTTCATCAAACTATCACCTTCTCGATGCAGCAGCAGTTTATCAGGCTCCCTTCTCTGGTGTTCTTCAATCAAATCATCTATTTGCTCTACCGCGGGTGCTAATTTGTCGCATGTGTCCATTGAAACAGTTATTTGTTGCAACGTAGTCTGTGTAGAGACAATCTCTTCCGTTAACTTTTGCTGAATCTTTCGGAAATTGTCCCATCGTGCTCCTAAATTCTCAAGTCTATCCCGCTTAGTGGAAATTTCCGTTTTCAAAGTTACTGCTTTAGACTCAAGCTCATGAACAAGCCCCGAAGCAGTGAGCGGCTTTTCCTGTTTGTCTCTCATATGAATGCCCATCAGACTATCAACAACCGGAATTTGGTCCTTCCAAGCTTCGATTTTCGAATAAAGTGTCTGCAATTCATTAGACAATTTCTCCAATTCTGCAATATTAGGTTTCCTCGCTTCCAATTCGTACTTTGTGTGTCCTAACTGAGCATTAGTTTCATTGTACCAGTTCAACAACTCTCCCCATCGTTCCAAACCTTTCTTCCGTTGCTGCAAATCGTCTTCCAGTGCCTTGTACTTCTGGGCTAGAGCCGTATAAACTTCATTGAGAGCTCTAGCTTCTTCAGGTGATCCTTGAGCTGCAAGTTGTTTGACTTCTTCATAAATCGCCGAAAAGTTGGGCTGTTTCTCCAAATGTTCTTGAAGCAAACCGTGAACTGCCTGAAGATTAGTATCAACATCTCCAACATTAACTTCGCTGATTTCAGCAATGCTAGTCCTTAATCTCGCCATCCAATTTTCAAAGTCCGCAATCTTCATCTGGAATTCTTGTCTCGCTAAAAGAGCGTCTGATACCAAGTTGATGTGATGTCTTACCGTATCAGCTAATCGACCAACGCGAGTTTTCATTTCTGCGACTCGTCCCTTCAACTGTGTAGCTCCTTCAATCGACAAACCGTGGCTAATGTGATCAGAAACTTGCGTCAATGATATCAACTGTGCTTGTCGATCAGAAATGACCTTATTGAGCTCTTTAAGATGGTTCAAATCCTGCTCCAGCTTGCTAGCTTCAGGAGTCTGGTAATTTGGTTCAGCTTCACAAGTTTGTTCGCTTTGATCCAACCAGCGATTGAACTCCTCAGCTTCACTTTCGAAGGACTTCCACGAGGACACCAGCTTGTCCAATTTGGTGACCGTCTGAATAGACACATCATGAACTGCATTCCACCTGGTATAAACTGCATCAACTTCATCAGGAGCAGCAGTTCTTCCTGCAATTTGCTGGCTGACATGCGAAAGCTCTTGAACTCTAGGCAAATTTTCTTCACATTGCTTCTCAAATCCTCGCGCTGATTGAAGCATTTCGATAGCTTGCTTGAGAGTTGTAGGCTTGGTACCAATAGTAGCTACTTGAGACTCAGCTTGCTCAACCCAAGGTTTGACTTTCTGAATGCCTACTTCATATTTCTTCCAAGTCGCCAAGTTTTCTGTCGCTGCTTGACGCTGTCCTGCTATATCCTTGTTCAAACCATCAATCGCATTCTTCAAATCACTGATTTGCCCTCTCAATGCCTTAGCTTCATTGGCCTTGTCATCTTTAACCAACTGCTTTGATTCCTTTTCTAAAGACTCCATGACCATGATCTTCTCTACGATTTGCTTTTGCAGCGATTCCGTTTTCTTCAACCGATCTTCCGGTGACGTAGATAAGTCCTGGATGTTGACAATCGCTTGCGGGGCGGTTTGCTGAGCCCAGTTTCTCAATTCAGCGACTTCTGACTGGAATTTCGACCATCTGTTGCTATGATCAGTCAAGTACATCACCCGTTTCTCCACCGTCTCAATAGTTTTCACCAAAGTTTTTTCAATCGTAATTACTTCTTCGTGAATCACCAATCGCTTTTCATTAGGCATCATTTCCGTCAAACCATCAGCAGTCTCCTTTAACTTTGTCATCATTTCTTCAGAGGATTTTTTCAAATTATAACTCAATTCCTGTTTTGCGCGCAAATCTGATGATACTTGACTAGCCTCGTAGTAAATTGTAGTCTTAACTTTCTGCATTTCTTCATTAGCGCTACTAACCAATTGAACTATTTCTTCCTTCTGCTCTTGGTAACTCTCCCACAATTTCTGGAACGTCTTCAGAGACTTCAAAGTTTCGATACTCTGACCGTAAGTGTCGTTCCAATTGCTCTCAAGTTGCTGAATTTCCGAGGAAACAAATGGAGGCGCATGTTGGTCTTTCAGCAAATCTTTCCCGCGCTGCAGCATGCTTACAATATTGGCTCTCTGCTGTTCCAAGTGATTCAGACGCGTTTCTTGATGCACAACCGCTTCTTTAAGGTTTTCTGGAACCTGACTAACAGACTCAACGTTGTTTTGCTCTTTAACTTTCCTTAAAAGTGTACAAACTTCACGAACTTCTTTCCTGTAGGTGTAACTCTTTGTGTAAATATCAGTTTTGGTCATCGTGATTTCAATAGTCGGTATCAAATTTTTGTAACGCGTGATTAACATTTCTAATTGGTGTTGCTCAGTAACTGCTTCGCGATCTGACCGATTGCTGGTAAGGCTGTCCAATGTTTGCACTAGCCATTTCATTGCCTCCCTTTTGCCGTCAGCTTCATGGCACACTTTCTGCATTTCAAAAAAATAAATTATTACTTTAGTAATCACAAAAAATTAACTATCACTTTGTTAAATATACTAATTTACCGTAAGAACTTTCATCTGTCCAAGAATGCATGACACAAATGAGAGAAAATAACTATTTGACAAATTTAAGTAGAATTGGAACAATAATTGCTTACCTGAAAAAGAGACTTTTCTTTTTCAAACTCTTCAAGGCTGTTGACTTCCTTTAAGATTGTCCTGAGGGTGCTGTCAACCTGATCCATCCATCGAACCATTTCATCATACCTAGTCGTAAAAAATTAATGAAATTTACAATTTTTCCAACATAAAAACTTAGATTCTAAAAGACATACCTTTTTCTATATTCAGCCCATTGTTCAGGCACTTGTCTAAGTTGTTCCCTGATGATCTCAACCCTCTGAGCAGAATCTTCCCAAAGTTGTTCACAATGAGCGACCGCCTCCTGAAGACTGGAATCACTGGGCTTCATCTGAGAATACGCATAACTGATCTTCTTCAAAGTCTGCAAGCACCTTTCCACATTAACAACAACGCCCTGATTAACAAAGAACTCCTTGTTCCTTTGAATTATGCTCTCGACATCCTCATTCTTGATCAACGCCTGCTGTTCGCTGTTAACCTCAGCTTCAATCTCCTTGAGATACTGCATAAACGCCGCTTCATCCAACCTGAACTCCAGCCTCATCAAATGCAAAGGCGCGAACGTCATCACATCCTTCCACCTCTGTTGCAGTGCATCAACCGTCTCCGCAATATTCCCTTGCTGTTCCTTCGGCAAGGTATTTCTCAAATCCTGGCCCGCGTTGATCAAATCCTGGATCAGCCTCTCATTAACTTTGCTAAAGAAGCTCTTGTGATTGTCCACCGATTGCCGATTATCAATCCTCTTATCACTGATCAAATTCTCCGCAGAAGTCAGCCACTCAATCATCTGTCTCTCGCACTCTTTGAACTTGGTCCAGCACCTCACAGCTTCTTGCAATCTCTGCTCGCACATCTGTGCCGCCTGGACAACCCTATTGAACCTCTCATTCAGCATCCTCAACTCAGTTCCCCCCTCAGCTGTTTCAGGGTTCGCATGTGCGTCTACCGACTTCACAATACTAGAAAAGACCTTGTTCTTAGACTCTAGCATCGATTTGTAGTACAGAGTCCTTGAAAAGAATGCCTTGTGTCGCTCCAATTGATTCAGAACCGCGTCTCTACCTCCTGAAAAGTTAAAACTCCTCAAAACTGCTTCAGCCTCGTCCAACCAGCCACTTATCTCTCTCTGACCCGCCTCCAATGACTCTTGCTGGACCAGCAATTGATGATACAAATGCAACTGCATCGGAATTAACGCCCTAACTTTCACCAAAGCCTCCTTCTCTTTCTTCAAAGTGTTCATCATCTTATCAACTTCATCCCTCGGCAAATCCTGAATCAAAGTCTGGAACTTTTTGCTAATGCTCTTGAACAGCTCTTCAATTCCCTCGAACTCAGAATTCAGAACTTGTAGTTGCTCCCCATAAGCCTTGATCTTCTCCGTAGAGGTCAATTGTGAGGTCGATAAGACACTTTCAGCATTTCTCAACCATTTCTGCAGCGTTTCAACTCCAGTCCTGTAATCCTTCCGATTTCTGAGCAGATCTCCCGCGTGCATATACTGCTTAGCTTCTGCAAAAGTTCTCTCCCATCTGTTGGTCAATTCCGTGTATCTGTCGCGGAGATGTAAAGCGACCGCGTCAGTAGTCGTAGCAATCAGAAAACTGACTGTATCAGACAACTGCTGGTGTTTGTCCTTCCACACGCTGATATTCTGAAAGAACTCCATTTTTTCTTCATCAGGAAAGGTGATTGCCACTTCAGCCTGAGTTAACCAATCGGAAAAGTCGTCAGCAATGGTGTTCCAACGACGCCAATAGGCCATAACTTCTTCAAGCATGCTTTGGACGCAGCGGAGATCCATCGATACGTTTTTCCACTTATCATTCGTCTCTCTTATGAATTTGTCGATGTTGAAGCTTTCTTCTCGCTCGATTCCACCTTCGCGCTTGTACTCTTCAGCCACTTGTTGCATGTCCAGGTAAGCTTTCTGGAATTCCTGGAAGATTCTGTTCCTAGACACAAAGTTCCGGTACTGTTCAAGCATTGAACTGACCTCTTCCTCGCTCCCGTATTTACCGCCCCAGGTCTTGAGTTTTGTCTCTACAAGAAAGATAAAAGCAATCAGACAGCATTTGTGCTCCAGGAACTTGAGTTTTATCCGGCGCTTTGCAGCTCGGTCGCCCAAAGAATCGAATCGCATTGTCATGTTGTCCAACTGCGGATGCGGAATTTGTTTAGCAAGAGAAGAAACTTTCACACGGTTGAACTTTTCAAGCTGCTCGGGTAAATCTGCGAAAAACTTCTTGTGGTCTTCTAACTTATTGGAAATTATCCCCGCAGTCTGCTCGTTCATTTTTTCTGGGATGTCTTCGTCGGAACTAAGAAGCGCTTCTGCTAGAGCCAACCAACGTCCAGCCTCGCCGATTTCTCCAGGAAGAGAAGAGTCCAACAACCAAAGCCACTTCATCAGTAAGTACTCCATCTTGTTCCACAGGCCCTGGATTTGTTTCCAGGACTCGTGAGTTATGGTGATCATGTTTGATGTATCAACCAGGTTCTGCAGTTTTCGATAGGTGAAGGATTTCTCATCTGCATCAGCCCGGGCTGATATATAGTCGGAGTAGTTGGAAGAAAAAGTATGAGTACGGTCCATTTGTTCTAACCCGCGAGTTTGAGTCACTAACCACGCGAGCAGCGAATCGTATTCTTGTTGGATCGCGGAGAAAGAATCGTGGACTGCTGATTTTGGCTCGGGGTACTTGTGCAGAAATTGGGCGACGTAGGTCATTATGGACTTCTCGTCAGGTTGTGGGACGTCGACGTCTTCAGGATCAAGCAATCTAGCTATTCCTAATTCTACTTCTGCTACTTCGAAAGCTGTTTCTAAACGAGCGCGATTTGAGGCTTCTCTCATCGCGGCTATGTTAACAAGGTTGCGTTTTATTGCGTCTATTACCGCCAAAAAGGCGTTGCCGTCTCTCCAACTTTCGCCGAAGTCGCGGACTTGAATTTCTGACTCTCTGAAAAATTTTAGTATTTTTTAGGAAAATTTTGGTGTAAGTTACTTAATTTCTGAACGGTTTTGAGTGTTTTTTTTTCCTATATGGAAAAGACATGAAAGGAATCATTTTTTATTTAGTTTAATTAAAATAAATAATCAAAAAATGTAAAAATAAGTTTCTTTTGAATGAAAGTGATAATTAGTACTGAAAATAAATAAAAAAATTAATCCTTTCAATAATTTTTTTGCTACGCTGAAGAAAAAAAAACTCTTGATCCAAGAAAATGATTTTTAAAAATTTGATTATTTTTAATCAAGCAGAAAAATTCTTCAACTAATAAAATTATGCTGTTTTAAATTAATGTAACTTGATTAAAAATTTTTTCATTAACATTTAAAATGACAAAACTCTTTAAAATGATTTTTTGATTCAAGAATTTTATTCTAGAATCAAATTAATTTTTTTTTTTTCAACTTATTTATGATTATTAACAAATGAACAAACTTTTAAAAAATTTTATCTCTATTTAATTTCAGAATAATCTCATTATGAACTCAAGAAGAAAGAAGAACTCAAAACTGTCAAGAAATTCGATTAATTAAGGTAAGACTAAAAACTAAAATATTAAAATTACTTTGGCAAAGCGTTTGTAACCCATTGTAGCAGTGTTTTTCTGGCTCCCTGTTTCCATTTTTCGCTGCTGAGCCGTTTCCTTTCACTAGCCGCGGAGCTTTGAGTGCCCAAGCTCTCAAGACTACTCTGACTTCCCCAGGTTTGCCCGAGGTACTCCAAAGCTCTCGTGTTCTCTTCAATCTAATAAAGATTCGAGGGCTTTTAATAACATAAAATAAAGCCTCGACTATTCTATTCGTCTTTGAACTTGAGAACTTGTGTTCAATTAAAGTTTAGGTGTAATTATAAAATAACCAAGCGTGCGATTACTAAAGACGTAACTCACCTTTCTGCGATCCTTAGATCGTAGCTTTGTTAAATACAATTTTATTATTAAATTTAATGGAAATATCTAGCGCTATTAGTGCTATGATATTTGTGCGCTACTGGAAAGCAGCTACCAGCTACTTTACTACTTTTCCAGTGCGATTTTATACAATAACAGTAAATAGTTAGATTTATAATTGTGTATGATGGGATTTTTACCTGGAAGTACAAAATTATTGTCCAGATGAGTCCTAGGACAACTGGAGGACGACCGTCGACTAAATCTGATGAGTTTATGTTCACTAATTTTATCTGTGGATATTTTATTTCATAATTAGACACGAGGAATTTTTATGAACAAGTTATGAAAAGATAAAAAAAATAATCTTACTTTTTTGCTTTGTAAAAATTGTAAAGCCGTATTGGCGTTACTTAAAAAATGTGGTCTCTTTAAATTTCTACCTCTTTCTACCGGCTAAAGAAAAAAATAGAAATTAGTAGGGGCGGAAAAAAATTGTCTTTTCATTTTTTTGAGTATTCTATAAAAATATGTTTAAAATGCCCATTCAAAAAATCAAGAAGATAAAAAATTTTCATGATTGCTTACAATTTTTTTAACTTTTAAAAAAAAATCACTTGAAATTTTTTCTAACGACTTCTGAATATTAATTAATTTTTTAATTTTTTAACTTTTTCTATCAAGTTAACACTAAGAGATAAAAATAAATAAACGCCAGAAAAATAATTATTACTATAGTATTTTAATTAAAAAGTTTTTAGCCAGAATTTTTGAAAATTTAAATGACTTTTAGAAAAAAAATTTTCAACCTGAAAAAATTAAAAATTTATTTGCTGATTTTTTAAGAAGATTTTTGAAAGATATTTTAATAGAAAACTCAAAAAATCAAAACAGTTTGTTTTTTTTTTTTTTTTTTTTGCGGCACTTTAGTAATTAATTAATCAATAAATAATTTAAAATCAAGAAAAATTACCAATTTTTCTCCAGATAAAACTTCTAATAAGGCAAGTAAACGTGTGCCGTCTTTCAAGTCTTCAATCAAGTCGTCGACGCGAAGCGGTGGTACACGCTGCAATGTCCAAATATAAAAATAATTAATAATCTATTGATAAAGTACGCAGCATAGTTTACGAGTCGTTTGGCATTGGAGAGATTAGAAGGAAATAAATCTTGTATTATTAATTGCTCAGGATAAAATAAAAATCCTGGTGAGAATTATTATCCCCGAACAAAGATTAGCATACCGAAGAAGAAAAATATTAGTATAAGAAGAAGAGTTTCTGGTTTTAGTTTGAGAGAGAAGGAGACTATTTAGAGGCACGCTACTTTCATGGCATGCATGTCACGATGAGTAGGATATAGTTTTGAAGGATCCGGAAGTAAGGGAATCGAGAGCCAGGCACGGTTATGCTCGTAGTAGTTTGCAAGTTTCAGCTTAATGTTTAACTGATTTTCCACCATGGGCAAAAGAGTTAAACCATGTCGTGAACCGGCTCCGGTTCCGATATTAATACTTGTACGATGCACATGCATTCGAGTGTTACAAGCTTGCTGTAAAACTTTCGATCAAATCGGGTCTTGGGGAATTAAAAAAAATATATATTAAAAGCGGTTAATTGTTAAAGGTAACTTTGGACATTGATTACCTTTGACAGGTAGGAATTGATCCAATTAACAAATGTCTTCTTTTGGACACGTTCTTGTTCATCTGAAAATTAATTGCATTATTTTATTAAACTGTTTTAAAATTTTTTTTAATAACTTATTTCATCTCAAATTGTATAATAATAATAATTTTATTTCATTGCATGTCCTTACAGGATAATTGCAATTTGCAATAATACATAGAGTTACATTTTGTCTTATTCCCTAAGATCACAACAGAACATACATTAAATATCAACGCTCATCTTACATTTTGACATGACACTCATTTACAGTCTTTTAACTTATTTTCAATCACTCTTATAAACGTACATAATTCTTCAATTATTTCACCTCTCAGTGTTTTTACAAGCAAACTACGCATCTCACTTTCTATCCGATTACCTTTCCATATTTCCATAAAACTTTTGGTTTCATCTGTTTGTAGTCTCCAAGCTTCACTACAGGTGCAGATGTGTGCTAAAGTTTCCTCCCCTCCCCCACATAGTCTACAGCTCCAATCTTTATATCCCTTTTTGCCAGCCCTGCCTACGTTTCCACATCTAATTCTTGCCCATGTTTCTTTGTCCATTTTCCGCTTAACTTTCATGCTCAAGTACGCTGCTCCATTTGCACCCGGTAGGATCTCTTTATACAGACTGTTATACTTTGATTCTACTATTTTGCTCCATTCCGCCTCCAACTCTTTTTCCCACCAGTTGTTTAGACTTTCCATGAGCTTAATATGAACTTCCTCATCTCTGCCACCCTTCCAAATCCACTCACAAACTTCTTCTGCTTTCCAGTTCTGTAGGATTCCCGCCATCTGAGCACCCCACTTTGATGGGTTGCCATTTAGCACAGCTCTCATCTCTTCAGTCAGGCATATTCGCGGCCACCTGTCTTCTTCCATGTTTAGGATGTCCTTCACATAGCTGATCGCTCTTTTCCTAATGGTATATTGAATACTCTCCACTCCCATTTCACCTCTCCATATGTACATCGGGGTGTTTCTAGCGACACCTAAAGCCATTTTTACATATCTCCCCTGCATCTTCACCATATTATCTACATTGTCCCACCCCCAAACTTCTACACCATATAGTGCAACTGATCTCACCAACGAATTCATTAGACCGACTCTATCTTTTCTCATGTCTCGTCCAGCTCTTTTTATCAGGCCCCATGCCGCATTTGCTGCCTTTTGCGCTTTGCCTATCATTAATTCCGTGTGCGCCTTACTGCTGTTTTTAGTAGAAAACGTGTACCCTAAGTATTTGAACTGCTTTACAACTTCAATTTTCACCTTTTTATACATCCAGACTTCACTTTTACACGTTTTCCCACCATTCCTATAAACCATCACCTTCGTTTTGTTAGCATTCACCGTCAAGCGATTTTTATCTACGTATCTTTCGAGCGTGTTTAACATCTTTTGCAACTCCTCTGCAGACTCCGCCACGATCGCTATGTCGTCAGCATATTTCAATGCTCTAATTTTCCTTTTTCCAAACACCGTCCCCCCTTCATCCTTTCTGACCCATTCTTCATCAATATCATCAATGAACAAGTCAAAAAGTATTGCACTTAGTGCGCAGCCTTGCCTGACACCTGTATCTGTCTTAAATTCTTCAGAAGTCTTTCCATTGACGATCACTTCTGCGCTAGTCTTTTTATATATCTCCCTTATCATAGTATGCAGTCTGCCTCTGATGCCCATTTTCCATATTTTCTTTAGTAGGAGTTCTCTGTCTATGGTGTCAAAGGCGGCTTTGAAGTCGATAAACCCCACGTATAATTTGCCTCGTTTTCTTCTCAGCCTCCCGTTTATTAGTGAGTTCAAGACAAATATGTGGTCTCTAGTGCCCCTTTTCCTCCTAAAACCAGCTTGGCTCTCATTTAGAATGTTGTTGTTTTCCACCCATCTGCCTATGCGATCTGCAAGAATGACTGTCAACACTTTGTAGCCCACATCCAGTAGCGAGATCCCTCTGTAATTTTCTGTCTTGGCGTTGTCACCTCCTTTAAAGATGGGCACTATCCACGCTTTTTCCCAACCTGACGGCAGTTTTCCTTCACTCCAAATTTTGTTTAGAGCGTCGGCTATCCACACCATGTTTTCTCTCGCAATTACTTTTATACATTCTATCGGTACCCCATCTTCACCGGTCGCTTTCCCGTTGGGCATTCTTTTCAGTGCATCCTTGATCTCATCAATTTCTATATCTTTATCCAGGTTGTCGTCAGTGGAGTGTATCCCCTCAGAGCTACTCCACTGTTCCACATTACTTCGCTTTTTTTCCTTTTCTTCGACATTCTTGTTAAGAAGAGTGCTAAAATGCACAGTCCACTCTGTATTGGATATCTTCTCTGAGGTCTCATTCAGTCGCCTCGGTTTAAACCTGTTCACTGCTCTCCACCACTCTGAGATGTTCCTTGCCCGGTCTATTTCATCCCACCTTTCTTCAGTGTATCTTCTTTTGTCCTCATCTCCTATTTCTCTGAGCTTTTTTCGACAGTCGTTCAGTTCTTTTTTTCGCGCATCACATCTATCCTTCAGCCAGTTGTTTAGCAGTACCCATAATTCTTTCTTAGTTTCTCTCCAGATTTCTGAATATCTTAGGCCATCTTTACATTTTGCATTCGCTTGCACTTTTTTGACCATCCCTACTTCATTTGCACAGTCCCAAATTATTTGAGTGAGATCTTCCCATCTTGCTTCATTAATACAAAGTACCTCACTCAATTTACCTGCTGTAATCTCTCTGAATTCATCAGCTTTATTGTTGTCCCATTTGATTTTATTTCGACTTGTTGGCTCTCCCATTACCCTCAAAAATTCAATGCTCTGTTCTTTTTCCATAATTGCCCCTAGTTCAAAGGTAACCGGCAGATGATCAGACTCAGTGCGTGTAACAACACATAATCTTTTCACTATATCTTCATCACCGCGATCAACGATCATTACTAGGTCCAACACCGATCCTTTGGATTGCTTATCACACCCAACATATGTTATCTTTCCCTCTTCATCACCCTTGCATCTACCATTTAATAACATTAGACCCATTTCTTCGCCTATTTTGATTAATTTTTTCCCATTTTCATTTATTGACTCATCTTGAGTCCTTCTTGATTGTACCCGACATTCACATTCATCCATACCGTTGCACATTTGCGCCGATCCAACCCTCGCATTCATATCACCACAGATAATTATTGAGTCAAACTCACACATACTTATTTCTAAGAGCTCTTTTAATTTCGGTTCTAATATACTCATATTAATATTATTGTAGACCGAAATAATACATTTTTCTGCCCTGAACTTAATGATAAAGCCATACTCCCATTCAGCCACCCGCCATTCCGCACCTAAGCTTTTCTTTATACCTACAAGCTGTCCGCCTGATAGCCTACCCCTTTTGGCCATTGCACTTTTTTTTGCCCCTTTTATCCAGTAATTGTAATCACCACTTAACTTTTTGATTGCTTTTTTTGCATCATCGTTCCCTAGCCACGTTTCCTGTAGGATCACTATACTATACTTATTCAAGAAGTCTTTTATTTCCTTAAATCTACTCGCGCCATGCGTATTCCATACCAACACATTATACTTATCATTAGTTCCTGCTTCGCTCCACGCTTCTTCTTCGACGAAAGGGCTCTTCCGCGCTGCGTCGCACTAGCTCCAATTCCGCCGTTAGCTCGTTGAACTTCTCGACTCCGTCACTCGTGACAAGACCTTGATAGCCTACTCTCACGTTTTCGCCATTTTCTCTTCTTTGTCTCGCCAAATGTCTTAGCCACTTTTGGATTTCAATCTCTCTAGGCGTGTGGTCATCATCCAGCCAAGTACCAGTCTGCTTCAACTTACTTCGCTTTTCCAACACCTTCTTTTTTTCTCCTAGAGAGATCATCTCAATACACACCATGTTTTTGCCACCATATTTAATTCTAAAGTTATTTTCATTCATTTCAAGCTTTTGCGCAGCTTCTCCAAATGCTTGCTTGCTTTCGTCTTCATTTTGTGTATTGAATCTGAGCACCAAGTTGTTTCTCCTCCGTTTCCTTTCTCGCCTTTCGTAGTTCAAATGGTCATTTGCTATTGCGACTGGTTTTCTAGCTACGCTGTTTCTTTCCGCACTGAGGAAGTCTCCAACTCTGTCTTGCGTAGTCTTTGCTTGCTCCGATTTTCGTTGCTCCAGACTATCTTGACTCCTTTCTACTGGCGCGTGCTTCCTATTGATGCTACCTGTCTTCTTTCCTGACCTGTCTGCGCTCAACTCTCCTTCGAGCAGACTGACTCTTGCGCTTAGTTCTGCGTTTGAGTTCAAAAGCTCTTGTTTTTCTTTTTCCCACTCCTCTTTTTTGGCTTCGTTTTCCTTGTTCGCGTTTTCCAGTGCTCTTTTCAATTCTTCTATCTCCCTTCTAGCCTTTAATATCTTATTATGTAGAATCATTTCGCTTTCATTCGCCCTAGGTTCCTCCTTGTCACCCACATTCGCTGAGCATCCAAGCAGCTCATCAAACAGCATCAGGTTGTTGTTGACACTAAACTCATTCTTTTGTGAACTAGTAGGTGATAAGGTGTTGTTGTTGTTTATGCTGCAGTTGAAATTATTCACGGGCGAGTGAATGACTTTATTTCCTTCTTTACCTGTTTTCACTACGAAACTTAGAAGAGTCTCTTGCTTACCGCCTGCACCTTTGTCATGCGCATTCCCCTTGTCTTTTTTCCCGGAATGCCCCATATCTGTTTGGCCTAACCTAACTCTTTGTTGACACACGCAATTACACTCGAATGTGCGTGTTTCCTTCTTCGCTTTTTACAACTTTATTAATATTTCAATACCCTCAATTTTTCTGCTCCTCTAAAACTTCTTTCGTGTACCGTATACTGCTTTTTGAACGGATTTTCTATTTAATTTTGATCACAGCAATAAAACACGTCTAACTCATACGAGCGCCCTCTCCTATCTACTCTCTCAAATTGTATATTTTTGATAACTTGACCTGTGTATGCTTGTGTAAAGAAATTTTTCAACGTCACTTTTATTAACTATGACGTGTAATTAATTTGAAAATTTGTTAATCTATTATAGGCCAATGACAAATACAGTAGTTTCATTAATTAGGATTAATATCGTGGCTAGAATAACCAAAATGAAGGAAAAAGACTAATTTCGCCTTTTTTTGATTTATTAAAATATTAAAATACAACCATTGTAATTTTTAATTGTAATAAGAAATTTTATAACTAATTATAGTTTAAAAAACTAAAAAATTCACTTAATTGCAAACTAAGCTATAAAAAAAGAAAAAAATTTTCATACAATTTTTAATTTGTTTAAAATAAAAATAGAGTTACTAAAAAAAAAATAATTTTATTGTAAAAAATGAGTAAAATGCTTTTTCAAAAATTTTTTTCTCAAATCAAGAAAATGAACCTCTTCAAAATGGTTTTTTTAATTTAATTAAATTTTTTCTTAAATCAAGTAAATTTTTTCTCAATGTACTTTTACAAATATCAATCAATAAACTATTTACTACAATTTAATTCCCACGTTTTGTTAAAAATAAAATAATTTTTTATGTTAATCAATTTATTTCTATTTTAAACTCATTATAAATCATTTATGATTTTTATTTTTATTTAAGTTTAAAATTAATTATAATTTAAAATTGTTCATTAATACCAATTCAATTCAAAGAAAAGAATGAATTAAGTTAGAAAAAAATAAGATGAACGTCGGTTGGAGGTCTTTACATTGAAGATTTTAAATTGTCGCGAAGAAATGAAAAGCAGGTGCAAATAAGACTCTTATCTGGGAGTGTACAGTAGAATAACGATCGCGTGCGTCAATCAGCTGCGTATCTAGAAGTAGGGTTCATCCTGTCTGTATGGTTTAGTTTTATTTCTTTTGGACAGAGGGAATCATCATTTTTACCGAAGTTGGGTAAAGGGCTGAGCAGAATGCCCTGGCAGTGCCATTCCACCACTGGCAGCCGAAATGCCCACATACATTTCTGTCTATCTGTATATCTAGACGATAGTCTACATAGCACAAGACTTTCATTTTATGATATATGTCTAAAAATCTTGTACTGCTGTATCACGACATGATATTGCATAAGCTAATTTCGACGTTTTCACGGATAGGAGTCTGATCGGGTTCGTGACTTCGCGGGCTTCCGTGACCCTGTCCATGCATCCACTGAACAAGATAAACTAGACAATTGCAAAAGTTATTTTGTTCCCAACGGAATCCATCGATGATTTAATAATGGCTTAATATTCAATATTTAATACTCGATAGTCAATAGGTTATGGGCCATCGACTATCATTAATCGTCTATATAATATTGTATTAAGACATTATTTCACGCTCCACTCAACACCTCAATTGAACATTGACTCGACCGACTTACTCATTATTTAAATATCATGCAAATTGCTTGTCAAAATATTACATTACTCATTTATTATTTATGTATTTATTTATTTATTGAAAAAAGTTAATCAATTTTTTCGTGACGTTATTTTTGATAAAGATTTAAATTTTCATGCTACCAATGAATCACTTTTGATGGAATTAAGTAACTCACATACATTGTTTATTCATTTGAAGTAAATATGTACTCAGTTGTTTCCATACTGATGAAAAATAAACTTAAGAAGGAAATTTTTTTAACCAAGAAAATTAATTAGAATAATTTTTTTTTTAATTAAGCTAAATTATTATTGAATCAAGTAAAATTTACTGACACCAACAATATTAATATTATTAAGAATATTTTATTGGGTTGAATAAATTTTACTTGAGTTAATAAATTTTTAACTTTACTTAAAACAAAAAAAAAATGATTCTTTAAGTTCAAAAATTTTTTCTCTTGAGTAAGAGAGTAAAATTTATTTTTTTTTTAGTGCGAAATTAAATGACTCAAATATGTTGTTTGTTTCTTAGAAATAAAAATGTACTAAGTCGTTTCCACCCTGATAAAAAAAATTAACTTGAATAAAAAAAAAAATTACTTGAAAGATATTCTTAATTTTGAATCAAGCTCCAAAATTTTTAATTGAAGTAAAATTTATTCAAATTAAAAAAATTTTTATAATTTTTTCACCCTCTATAGGGGCTGCATAATTTTCATTTCAAAAAACAAGTCACATTATTACCCTAATAAAGGTATCTGCCTGAAAAAAACAACTGAAATAATAAAACCACAGTGTCAACTTGAATGTGAACTCGCCTGAAAACTTAAACCCTTACCAGAGAGACAGTCGCGTGCAGTAGGATACTTTTTACTTCACCAATGGCAACAACAACAACAACACAATGATTACCGCAGTTATTTTTTAACAAGAAAACTATTAAACATCTGTTCCCTAATTAATAAAACCGCAAAACGGAACAATATTAATTTACATTTTATTTTTAGTCATTTTTATATTTATAACTTATTACTTCATCTTCACAATAATTATAATAAATAATGATAATGAGTAAGTAATGTTACGATAAGATGAATACTGCCGACATATATAGACTGTGTTCTAAGATGAGGTCATGAGTTGCGATTGACAGCGAAATTATTGAATTAAGCAGGACGGGAATCTCGAAATAATATTTTTTATCCATAATTGCATAATTTATTTTTCATTTTTTATTATTTCATTTTCGATAAAAAATATTTATAAATAGGTTGAATAAAAATATTCGATATCAAGTTACACGTCTTTATATTGTAGATTGTATAATTACAATTATTGTCACCTCGAAACCGCGAAAGCTACTACTGTTATGTAGACATATATCCACATATCCGTGACCAATCTCGAATAACCTTATCTCATCAGGATCGTGATCGAATATTATATTATTTTTTACTACATATACTACACACAAGAATTATTTTACTTTATTTCTAATCTGCAACACACATTATTGTATGACATATCAAGAATATTGATTACGACTTGATCTTGTTACAAAAAGTAATATAACGTGTACCGTAAATTAAATTCAATCAAGAATCAAGATTTGACCCTGACATTATTTTTTTATTTTTCTCCTTTATTTAATTGCGGAATAAACGTAAAATAAAAAATATTATGTGGTTCCTTATGGTTGCCAAAGGAGTATAAACTAAGTGCGTATGTGTGAATGTGTGTATAAACTTACAATGTATTATGTACGGGGTAATGAATGTTACGTTTTATGATGCGAAGTCGTAAAACTGGGGAATTAAGTGCGAGTACACATGAAACGCAACCCCTCGATGTTTCGCTCCCTTATTCATGTATATGCCTATTACTTATAAATATATACGCTTGAGAGTTCGCTACCACATATTCCATTGATTGTCACTTATAATAATATTTATCGGATAAATTAATATTAATAATTATTTTTATTGATTTCTTTACTTTTTTTTTGTCACTTGAAAATAATTTATGGGAATTTTTTTATTATCAAAAATTTGAAATTTAAATTCTGGATAAAAAATGGGAAATATAAAATTGATGAAGGTTTTTTTTGTAAAAGATTTAATTTTCTACAAAAAACTTCCTTGTGATTTTTTGTACCTCCAAAATTTTAGTTGTAATTTTGATTTTAAAAATTCTACAAATGTTTACGGAATTTTTTAAAAGTTTGAAATTGAAATTTTGGATAAAGAATATCAAAAAAATTTTGATATTATATCAATTGTACTATTAAACATTTAAAAACTTTTTTTATAAAGTTCATGAAAAGTTTTTAAAAATCAAACCTACATTATGAGAGTAATTAAAGAAAAAAAAATAGATATTATCTTCCTCGACGTTCAAAAATAACCATTACAAGTTAAATTTATAGACCTAGTGAGAGTAAAAGGCCTTGACATTAACCCTAAGTTACACAATTTCATTCAAATGATAAAATGAAATTGAACTAACCGTAAAAAACTTTGATTACCATTAAAAGAATTTTTTTTCTATTCCGAGTAAAAATTAAACGGCAATTGCATTTGAGGCAATTCGAAAGTATCCGAATTTTCGATAATTGGTAAATAATTGGCTGAACGCTCTAAAGTACAAGCATTGCATGTGCTTAGAACAAGCGAGTGCATAAATGGAGAAAACCACGTGGAGACGGAGTCGGATTGACTGGATTACATGCAAAGCTCTAATCATTTAACTAGACAATACATTAATACACATAACAACCTACGGCTTACTGCGTACGAAGAGTAATGATTATTGTATAGTCTACAGTACAGTCAGTAGTAATTAAATTAACTGTTTGCGCTACAATTCTAAGTTAAATATTAAAATATTTGAGAATTATATTTTTGGGTTCTTATTAGAATTATTGAAATTTTTTTGTTAAAGTTGACATGAATAAAAAATTACAAAGAATTTTTGAGATTTGAAATATACGTAATAAAATGCATAATATATACGCTCTTAAAAATTGAAATCAATTCACCGTACCAAACGTGAAATAAATGTTGGTTTGTCTTCTTTCCATATCTTAAAAAAAATTTTTTTTTAAATGTCATAAGACACAATCCAAAAAAAACGTTCAAAATTTTTTTTTTTATTTATTAAATTTATATGGCAGGGCTTAAGGCGGATAGCAATAATACAAAACATACCATAACAGTGTCACGCAATAACTAAATAGTAAAATTATAAACATAGTAAAAAAAAACAAACTAAAATAAACAAGTTTACGAGCTCAACTATCAATAGCCTCGGATTTAAGAAAAATTCAAATATTTGAGTTTTGAAGCTCTCAGAGAAATTAGATTTGATTACATCAATTGGTAACTCCCGTCATATAAAGATAACTGATACAACAAAGGAGTGCTCATAAATGATAGTTGAAGAATTAGGCATTTTAAAAGAGGTTTAGTTGTTTTTAGCTGCGAGTCTATTTGATCATCTAATGTCGACATCATTTTTAAACAGGCAATAAAGGAATTTCGATAATTTGTATTCAATTAAATTTTATTTGTAATTTATATTCAATTAGATATTATACGCAGGAAAAATAATTTATTTAAATGAAGAAAATAATTTTGAAGAACTTTATCGATTTATTTATTTATTTAAATGCCACTCGGCAATTATACAGAATAGTTTCATATAATAGTGTAAAGTGATATAAAGAACCGATATCTACATAAAAGAACTCGGAATCCACATAAACAATTTAAAAAAAGAAAAAGAAAGGAATAGTTCAACATTATTGATTTGAGTAGAAAAATTTTTAAATTAAGAAATTTTACTTGATTTGTGAATTTTTTGCCTTAATTCAAGAATCTTTCTCTTGATTCAATTTTTTTTTCAGTATAAAGACAAAAATTTTACTGAGATTTATATTTTATTGTAATAAAGCATAAGCAAAAATTAATTTTATTTCTGTTTAAGTTATTTTTAAGATATTTTTCACTTATATCATGTATCTGTATCGTCTATAATAAAAATATACTTTTTAAAATGAAAAAAAAAATAATCTTGATTAAAAATGAAATTTTAGTACAGGCGGTATAGAAAAAAAGTAAGAAAATGACAAATTGTTGTTGTACAGCTTACAGTCGGTGAATTTACAAATTTTGCAAGACGTTCGATTGTTTTAGAATTGCTAATTGTTATTGATGATGACACCTTTCATTTTCATTACTTAACGCCATTATCATTCGCACCGTGTAAAGCGTATGTACTCTCTATAATTCATCTATTTATAAACTTCCTGATTGTGTTACTTATTAGACTTATTACCATTACTTTTCACACCGTTCTGGTTTGATTTGACAGAAAGATATTTGAGAAAAATACTTTCTGTAATTTTTTGACGTATTGATTGATGTATGATTGATCTTTAGTTAACCCGGTGGATGACTAATATAGTGTATGAAAGATATGTAACACACGGGACTTGAACTTTTAACCTTTTAATAAAAAATCACGAGTTTGTTAGTTATAGATGAAAAATTTTTGTATGATGTACAGTGTTGTGGGTGTCGAGTATAAATGAATTTACTTTTGAAGAAATCATTCTGAAAAATATTCCCATGCTTTTTCTATCGATCGCTAATCCAGAAGATTAAATACTAGTCAGGATATAACTTTTAACTTTTATTCAGTGAATTTATGACAAAATTTTTATCGTTTGAAAAATAAATGTTTGGGCTCTTATTGAAGTTATTATTGTAAAATAGAAACATGTTTTTTTTTTTTGTGTGAATTGAAAACATTTAAGAAGATTATTTCATTTTAAGTGTCAAAAAAAAATATACGTCGATTATATATTTTTTAGGAATAATAGTCCCGCATTGTGAGTATTTTTCATTGTGGGAAAGTGATAAAATCTTAAAAGGTTTCTATTATGTTTTACAACTGAAAAAATTTATGAAATTTTGATCTTAATTTTATTAATAATAATAATAAACATTTAATTTTAAAAACAATTAAATTTTTTAGACTCTTTTTAAACCGAAGAAGTATTCAAAAAACATACCAATCTATGAATTGAAAAAAATATTCAAAAGAACGGAACCAAAAAATAATAATAATATTAATAACATATGGTATGGGATTACATTGATAAGTTCCCCCGATAAATTGAGACGTAATATCTTGACTTTTATTTTTTACGGAAAATTCTGACCTATAAAAATTTTTATTATTAACATTCGGCTTGAAATATAAATGTAACAGACAATTTTCTTAAAATTTACGACTCTGGAAATTAGGTACGGTCACGAAATGTCCCTTTGAAAAATGTAAGTAATACTTTACTCGGAAAAAATATCGTCGTCTATTCATATACTTTATATTACCCTCTTAAAAAAAATTCTTACCCTATGCTATAAAAGTTTTAAATTTATTTTTTAAAGTTCACTTATTTTATACTTATAATTTATTTTAATTGGGTTTTTATTTACAGAATAAAATTGTCGACAAAAATACAAGTTATATCAGATAAATACAGTACGTTCGAAAACAAACAATTATATCTTTAAATCAATGATAAAAATGTGGGACTCATTGTGTAAAAATCTATAGAAAAATTCACTTTCCAAAGATAATGAATTGCTCATATAACTAAAAATTTGAATAAATGTTAAATAATCATAATATTGATGATTAAATTTAAATTAAATTAAATTTATGATTTTTTAAATTTGCCTTTTAAGAAAAAATTTATATTTTAATAAATGAGTAGTCGTCATAAAAAATAACTCTTATAAATTACTTTTTTAATTCAATAAAATACCGTAAAAAAAAATACTTTAGGGTTAATGGTCGATATATTTACTAAATTTATCATCTCAAATGACAAGCTTGTCTCTTAATTAAGATATCTTAATAAATTGTCTCTTTGAAATGAGAACTATTAAAATTATCAAAAAATTTCGGTTTCAAATAGTAGATACATAAATAAAAAATTTGTAGGCAGAAAAAAAATTATTTAAAAAAAAATTATACAAAAAAAAATCAATTTATATAAATTTAACACTCATTATTGTTCATGTTTTGAAATAGGACAGTCTTCCTATTTTTCATTAGATTAAAAATGTCAAAAAATAATCATCAAGCATCCGTTTAATTCTGACTCATCCCACCACAATATAATAAGCATTAGCCTCTAAAAAATCAGTGCTCAAACCTTTAATTTCCGCAATGTGAGCATCAAACTCGCTCCGACTTCTCACATACTCTCTTTTCGACGTGACATGTTGGAAGCTCTGGTTCCTGTACTCCGCGTACCACTCACTCGGGCCCTTGTCATCATCCTGAGGGCTTTCTCTCCCCAAATTTTCCTCGGAGGGAAACTTGGTAAAGGATCCCACAGAACTGGATTTGCTTCCTTGATACCCATGGCTCTGGTACGCGGAATCGAGCGCCTGTTCCTCGCTAGGAGTTCTGCTGGCCTCCGACAACCCCGATCTCGAGGAAATAACTTCTTTCACACTTCTCCTCACAGTTATCTTTTCAAATTTAACAACTTTCGCGCCATTCAACTCCCCCTCTTCTACCAGCCGTTCGAAGGATTCTTCGAAGGAGCTGTCGCTTGTCCTTGATGAGGATCTCCTTTGGACCGGAGAATCGGACCTTTCCACAAGGTCTTCCGAGCTCGCGCTGCGGCCCTGGCTCCAAATGTTTTCGAAAAAGTTAACTCGGTCTCTCAACCGGCCTCCACGTGGTGTCCGCGGGCTACCTGTCGGTTTCAGAGTTTCACCCTTGGGCGGGGTCTGCTCTGACATTTTTTTATTCTTTTGTATATTATACTTTCTTTTTTTCACAGGTAAAAAAAATGTCCCTCACTTACGTCATTTCTAAATATGTACTGATAAAATAAACACGGAGATTTTATTAGATTTAAAAATATTTTTACTCTAAAATAAAATTTTGTAAAAAATTTTTTTTTTCATTTATTTTAAGTATTTTTGATATTAATTTTTTTTAATCTCCAATTTGGTCACATAAAATGTATCAAAAAATTTTTTTTATCTTATTGAAAATATTTTTGATATTAATTTTGTAAAAAATTATTTATTTTAAATATTTTTGATATTAATTTTTTTGATCTCCAATTTTGTCACATAAAATTTATCAAAAAATTTTTAGTCAATTTTTAACAAGAAAAAAATTTTTTTTATCTTATTAAAAATATTTTTGATATTAATTTTGTAAAAAATTTTTTGATCTCCAATCTTGTTACAAAATGTATCAAGAAATTTTGAGTCAATTTAAAAAAAAATTTTTTTTTTTCTTATTTTATTGAGAATATTTTTAATATTGATTCCATCAGAAATTGCTAGATTAAAAACTTAAATTCAAATTATTTTTAAAATATTAAAAATCTCCAAATTTATTTAAAAAATTTATTCACATATAAACTTTAATTATTTTTAAAAAATTATATTTTCACTCCAATTTTTTTAATAACAATAAACAAATAAGAGTAATACGCACTAGCCGGTTCAATACCAGCTGCGATGTCGCAGTCAATAGAAGTAGTTTAAAAAAAATATATAACAACACTCTTTCTTATTTTATCAATAATTAAAAACTAATAAAAAATTCACTTATGATTTATAATTAATAGATATAGATATAGATATAAATATAAATATTCATTTATGAGTATGTATCTATAAACATATGGGGCAATTAACACTTAAGGATTACAAGTAGACTCTAGACAATGGGTCAACAACTAAAACTAGAATTAAGGATCAGGTTGATAAAAAATATGTAAAAATGAGACATTAAAAACTAAAAAATGCCGCGTATGGAATGTACAGCTCTGGCGAGCGCCGGTTCGATACTGAACGTGGACGGGTAAGTCTGCCGGCATATACCAAGCATAGATATAAAACGGTGTAGTTCTCCAATACACAGACAAGGCCAGGAATGAAAACGATTGTAGTGTATTGTACGTATACGATAAACGATAACACGAATCCGAGTTGTGGGAGTGTGTTGAGTCGTTAAATCGGCTCCGTGGAGTCGCAACTACCTCGCGAAAGGACACCTACAAACTCCTATACGATCAATCTTTTATCTTTACCAGGATCCAGTCTGCCAGGTATATTGTTAGGTTGTTGTTGTTGTTGTTGTTTTTTAAGATCGTTTTTATAAATTGAATTCAATGTGAGGAATAAGAATGAGATTTAACTGTGTGCGTCGGTATCTTGAGGTCGTGGCTTAGATTTAATAAGATTGTAGGAAACGCAAATAGTAATAAATATGTGAAGATTAAGTTATAATTGATTATATTGTCATGATAAAATTTTTTTCTAATGGATACTTGTTAGTTTTGTTTATTTCAAAAGATAAAAAAAATTAGTATTTATTCTAATTATATTTTATTTTTTGATTATATTAATGATTATGATTATGAAAATTTTATTTTCAAATTATTTAAGTTGTTATGACATTTATTTATGAGCTTCAGGTTTTATTTGATTGAAAATTATTTTTAAAAAATTGAATAATTCAATTATTGAAATATTTTTTTTGTAAGTCAATTTTATAAGAAACTATTTAAATAATTTAAATTAAAATATTAAATATATTTTTAATTTTGTAAATTGAATTAATTTAAAAAAATTGAATACTTGAATTTTTTAATAAAATATTAAAAAGGCGTTTTTTATCAGTGAGCTTATAAAAAAAGTGATTACTGTAAATTGAAATAGTGTGTCTTATATTTTTCTAAGAATTTTATGATTCGTATTTTTAATTTACACGATCAATTTTATTATTGCTTTTGACTGAATCATTCTTTAATACAATTGATTAGTAATAATGTTTGAAAAAATAAAAATACATAAGTTGGAGAACTTTATTTTTATCGTAAGCTGATAAAACAATCTGATTTTTAAAATTAAAAAAAATTTTTCGTAGTATTTATAAAAATATCTTTTATACTTAATTAATTCTTATTCTTCAAATGTTTAATATTCTTTAATTATTCATTCAAGTCTTATCTAAAATATTCATCAAATTAAAACGATGGATATATTTTTTCTATCGTTACTTTCTTTGTCTCAATCGTAATCAAAATATGCAAGTTAAAAATTTTTGAGTAGTAATTAAATTAACAGTGAGCAGTTATTTTAAGTTAAATATTGAAGAATTTTTTTATTTAATTTTTGATAGATTTATTATAATTTTTTGTTAAAATTTTATTTAAATGCAGTTTTGATGAAGACATATTATTAAAAATAGTTCAGAAATATCCGCTAGGTGGTGACCAAAATAAAAATTTCTCGAATGGCTGGTGAAAAATAAAATGAATAAGTCATTCTGGAAATTCTGCAGAATGGAACGTCATTTTTTTTGATTTTTTATTGTTAAAAATTGCAAAATTCTTCAATAGAAAAATTTTTTACACAAAGTTTAATAAAATTTTTCAATTAATAATTATTAGCTGAGCATTTTTATTTTCACTTTTAACTATACTAATTTTAATTGTGTTTTGTAAAAAAAAATATTATAAAATTAATGAAAAAATATTACTTTGAATGAATAAAAAAAAAAAATTAATTTTACTTTCGATTAAAAATGTACTGAACTTAAAAATATGTCCTGTTAACTATTTACAAAACTTCTGTTTATACAAAACCCCCAATAAACTTAAAATTCGCAGATTGACCTAGAAAAACATATGAAAAGACCAAAATGAATAAAACGGATCCCGATCAAAATAAAAGGCGTGGTCAGACGCCTTGCGTAAGAGCCCAATTTAAATGAATTGTTTTCTCCGTATGTGCGAATTACACATATGCCTATCGTCCATAATATAATCGTAGTGTAGCCTTAACATTTCATATTCACACATATGTGTGATGTCTGCCCTGAGATCGCGGTTTCCCGCTTATTTTGCTTCATAAAAATACGTCATCGCTTTTTTACTCACCGTTAATAATCGCGCAAAATCATGTTTAATTTCTAAATTACTAAATATTCTCAATGCCATTTTTTTTACTAAATTATACACAACGACCCAAACTCGACACAAATATTTATGTTTATTATATTTTACAAAAAAAAACACTAGATATATTACCGATTTATCGCTTATCGTTAATAATATTGTTTCGCGATTACAATTTATGACATGTTATCTCGCTTCATATGCACACGAACACCTACAATTGAAATATTTAATTACTTTTTTTATCTCAATGAATTTTCTTCATCGTTAACTAATTTTTACTATCTGTAAACTTTCAATTAAACAACAACAGCAATCATAATAATAATAAGTAGTAGTAATATTCATTTTTTAGCATAAAAATTTTCTCAATCCCTTAATTTTAAGTTATTTTAATTAATAATTTTAATTATAACGTTTCAGCAACAATTTCTGTCTTTTTTTGGTGATTTTGTTAATTTAACAATAAAAATTAAAATGTAAATTGAAAAGTACAAGATCAACTTTGGAAAAATATTAAAGTCGGATCACGCCAGGAGTCGAACCTGAATCTTTAAGATTACATATCAGGTACTCTACCATTGAAACTACCAGATTTTACCATGTAAAAATGTAAAAGTAGTAAATATCCGAATTTTTACAATTTAACATCGTAAATTTTTAAATGTAAAATTATCAAAGTGACCATATTGAAAGTCTGATCCTGGATTACGATCTGACAATTCGACGGTCTAATTAGTAATTTGTCTAACTCCATATTTTTTAGAGGGTGATTTTTTTACCATTTTGATGTAGCCATAATCGAATTATAAATTATTTGAATGATTCAAACCTAAATATTATATCTCTAATAGATAATAATGATATTAAATGGTTTTTTAAAGTGATAATGAATTTTGAACTAATTGTTTTTTTCGTACAAGTAGAAGATTCTCTAAAATGGAGTTAGACAATTTACTAATTAGAACGTCGAATTGTAATTTTTCCTACAATTTTTTTCCGTGTATGCCCTATATTCATCCTTAATATACACTTGAACTTCTCAATGATATCTGGACTGTACTTTAATGTTAATGTGCTTCATACTATCACTGATTTCTATATAACTGGATAGCTAATAGCTGATAGAACTACATAGAGTAATTTTTACATGTAATCATAAAGTTATTCTTGTAATTTTTAGTAAAATTATATTGCTTAATTTTAATTGTTGATTTATCAGAAAATCATATAAAAATATCAAAATTGCTGCTAAAACGTTATAATTAAAATCTTTACTAAAGATAACGTCAAATTAAGGAATTGGGAATGATTTAATATTAAAAATAATAATAATTTAATTTAAAAATTACTTGAACAAAATAAATTTAAAAATAAAACAAATCATTAAAAAAACAACTAAGTTATTTATTAATTTACATTAAAAATAAATATTTCATTTTCATCTGTGATTTGACCTATTAAAAAAGAACATTTTACATTTCTACCGCATTAAATTAGCATTAACATAACCGAGGTCAAGCCGTCATCGGACATCGTACCGTTACTTTATTTTATTATTTTATAATAATTTCAAACAATTATATAACAATATAATTCACCGATCAAACTAGTCTGTTTGATAATCAACATCATGGTCCGCAATTTCGAATAAATAATTAACGTAATAATTGACGCAATAAACGGAGATCAAAGCATAAGTATGCAGGAGTAGAGGATAATAAAAGTAATGCAGTGGAAATAAATATGTGAATGGCTGGAAGCAGGTGCCCGTCATCTCTATTTATAAACAGACGTCTACAGTCTACATAGTATTATATAGTACTAGAGTAGTATGTAGTATGTAGTATGTAGTATGTACATTGCACATATGACACATTAACATTAAATTGCGTTACAGTAGACTCATCACCGCAAATTTTTTACTCCCGCAATGGATTAACCTACAGATTGCGTAACGTGTGTCCTTTTCCACCCACCTGGTATTCTCACTTACCGTTTATCGCGAAATTATATAAATATTTGTTAACATTTTAAACATAATATTATATATAATCTACAGATCTAAATTTCCGCTTTTCATTTCATTCATTTAATATGCGCCAAGATCATTTAACATTATCGTAAAGTGTGAAGTATAATGACCAAACCGCTTGAGTTAGATGTATAATAGTTTCGACTGAGTGTGTTATGTATTAGTTATGTTTATAAATGTAATAACAAATATAATGTATTTGTAGAGGCGCTAAAATAACTAGTGACGACTAGAGTACAGTAGCGGCTTGACAAGTGGGTCAAGACTGAGATATTGCGTAGGTGAAACGGCTGATCAATGGTTAAATATTCGCCAAACGTGTGAATTTTTTTTTGTATAAAATAGGATAACCTTTATAATAGTGGAAAACCCCCATTCTCAATCAATGAAAATGAACAATATTCATTTTATCAATCAAATTCTAAAGAAAAGTTATGTATTTGAATCAATAGCAAAGTTCTTGTAGATTAACTGATAGAACACCTGACATGTATTCGAAAAGACCTGGGTTCGACTCCCGGCTTGGTACAAAGTCCCCATAAATTTTTTTCGAAAGAAAATTTGTTTTTAATAGATGAAAAGAAGAATATAATTTATTTTTAATAGTCTCATAGAAATATTAAAAGGATCTTTCTGTAGAAAGTGGGTGAATTTAGTTTTATTTTTCAGATAGTTGGATTTAGTTAGCTTATTAATAATAATCTATAGTATTAAGAGAATAAGAAAAACTTTGTGTCCAGGATATTCATATGATAAAATCGGTTTTTTTAGTGAAATTTAGTGTCATTGCAAAGGTCTTGAATTTCAAGCCTTTTCAAGGTTTCATATCATTCTCACCGATAGTCAATTTATGATGATAAGTATTTAGGCTGCATTCGAAAATGCTCTATCTCTAGATACATAATTATGAAATGACCTTGTATCTTGTGAACTATTGACATTTTTAAAGATATAAGTTCATCCCGACATTACACTCATCGAGACCTTTCATTTAAGTACCCACATCAATTTTTCATATATATATATATATATGTATATATGAAAAATATATCAAAAATGCATGTGGGTACTCAAATGAAAGCTCTTGATGAGTGTAACATCGGGATGAGCTTATATTTTTAAAAACTTCAATAATTAAGAAAGTACAATGCAATTGAACAAATATCTTGTGAACTATTGATATTTTTAAAGATATAAGCTCATCCCGGTGTTACACTCATCGAGACCTTTCATTTGAGTACCCACATCAATATTTCATATATTTATATATATTATATATATGTATATATGGAAAATATATCAAAAATGCATGTGGGTACTCAAATGAAAGCTCTTGATGAGCGTAACATCGGGATGAGCTTATATTTTTAAAAACTTCAATAATTAAAAAAGCACAATGCAATTTAACAAAAGTCATCATTTAATACAGCAAAATTTTAATTTTTTATAGTTCACAAGTCACGGCAGTCACATAGTGACTGCAAGGTTGTTAGTTGTTTAATAATTTCATTTAAAAAATTTCAAATTGATTTTTAATTTTGAGTATAATTTTACAGTTTGTGAAAATTAAATTTTCAACTCTTTTTTTTACGCATGATTAAAAATTTTGAATAAAATTTCTATAAAAAAAAACTCAAAAATTTCAAATATTATTTACAAAATCAAATTAAATTAAATAAAAAAATATTAATAAGACAAACCTTGTAGTAAGGCGATAGTGGCTTGATATTCGGCGAGTTTTTCATCAACATAATCTTGACTTTGGCTGGCAATGATCTCAGCTGTACTAGGCCCGCTCTCATCATCATCGTGGACTGTCGGTTCCAGAGGAACACCAAAATATTCATAGTCTCCGGTGCGATATGGAGCTATCAGGTATTCGGGAGGTCCACAGGGGACGGGGGATGTTCGGTAACTTTGATCTCTGACACGTTCCATTGGACTCTGATGAAGAATAATTTTTTTTTCTTTCACTAAGTTAATAATGAATTGAATAGTGAACTAGGAGCATGAAAATTGATACATTACCTGTGGAATATAAGGACGAGGCGCAGCGTTTCCAGTAGAAACGGGCGACGGCCAACGAGGTCTGGGACACTGAATGAACCCTGGAGGCGTAGGAACTCCCACACCTCCAAAGGCGGGAGACATACCCGGAGAGATCGACATACCGATGGGCACTGGGCTCATCGGGTGCATCATACCCGGGTAAGTTAAAGGTGAAATCGGATGGTGGATCGGCGTAAAAGGACCGCGAGATCGTATTGGCGATTGTGACATTGGTGTTGGACTGAACGGTGATGCTGGTCGAAATGGACTTGGATTCGTTGGGTTCCCAGGCCACCCTGGTCCTCCCGGCGCTCGTGGATTTTGCGACATTTTTGCTCCTCTTTGTTTTACTTATTTTTATTTATTTCAATCTTGTCTCGATTCATCGCTGTAATTAATTATTAATACCAATTATAATAAAATTAATTTGTAATTTTAATATTTATTTATTTTAATGGATAATGATAACATATTTTTTTTTTGTTTTTAATTACAAGATTCAATTGTGAGAAATTTTCAAAAAAATTTATGCTCAAGGTAAGAACTCAGTTATTGACACTTGCAATTTTATTTTAATTAAAAAAAAACAAATCAACTCTAATAAATTAATAAATATAGTTTTTGAATTATAAATTTTAAGATAATTGATTTTTTGAGAACATTTTATTTTTTTAATTAGAATAAAATTGCAAGTGTCAATAACTAGGTCCTTTACCTTAAATTCTTGTCATTAAAATGCTCAGTTTTTTTATAAGCAATTTATTATTTTAAAATAAAAGAAAAAAAAATTTTATCGAGCTTAATACATCTTAACTTTATCGGAATAGCTTGTAAATAATTTTTTATCATATAAGAATCGTTTTGTGTTATTGATAACTTATTAAATTAGCTTCAGAAAATTCGATAAAAAAAAGTAACTTAAAAAATATGTTTTATTAGATAAACAAAATTAAAAATTAAACAAAAAGTACTTAAAATTAAGGACTCAACTTTTTAAAAAATTTTTTTTTCAATGTCTCGATTAATATTTTGTCAGTAAAAAAAAAATAATTTTTTCAAATAAACCACAGTAACAATAAATTTTTTTTTTTAATAATTATAAAGTTTTTATTGTTGTCAACTTTAAGATCAAAACAATTTTTTTCTTCTTTAATTTTGTAGCTAGAAGTAATTAAATAATAATTTGTCAAATAATAAATTCATAAAAAATTTTGACATTGGCTTCCATCACGCCTCTGGTACTTCCTATTTCCCTCATTAATCTAAAAATCATTAATCAGCGTCAATCAAAATTTTCCACTCCATTAATCCAGAAAAAAATATTAATTAGGAAAAATTTGTTTTAAAAAATAATTTAAGTGAACGGAAAAATATAAAAATTTATTTATCAGTTTTTAAAAATTAAAACCGATGAAAGCTACCTTAATAAATAAAGCATGGACTTATTACCCAGCTGTCACTATTGGGTGTCTCACGTTGAGATTATCTAAAAATACAAAGCTTTTAGTATTTAAGAATCAGTTTACTTTGTAACGCACATGTCGGTAGCATTTAAAAATTTTTTTCCACCGGAAATTTTCTACACTGTCTACAAAATACGAATAAATAAACTGAAACTTTTATTTGCCGCTTGTACGCTACACTATACCGTGACAATTGCGTTAAAACGTCTAACAATCTCCTCTAATTTTCAGTCGGACTCGAGTAGGCCGACTATATTTAGGATTATTTCTATTTTAACTCATACTTGCTACATGTGAAGCTATTCTAGAGTTTTTAATTCCGATTCACTCTTGACTAAAATTTCCTTCTTACTTATCGTTCCTAAATTCCTCTCTTCGAGAGGATAATTCCCTTTATTAACTATCAATTACTTGGAATTCATCAAATAATTTGTTCACCCTCTTGATCAATAAATTCTGATAAGTTAAATGGAGCAATTAATTATGAATTGGCTAAAAAAATACCGAATGATATAGAAAATTGAGTCAGTTAATTTAGTGTCGACGGTTGTGGTAATTCCAAAAATAAAACTCGGCGAATCGAACTGAAATAGTCGAAAGGGGGATGATGTGAATGTAAGTGTGCTGTCTCTTACTCGATCCGTTGATTTTGTTAGAGTGACCGCCTTCGACGAAATTCGCAAATAAATATTCAAAACTTTAAATATCCTATTGGGCAATCGTGCTCAGAGTAACGACCTCATTATCCTTCACACATTTTTTCTATTGATCCCATTATTAACCATTATATAATATCATTATTCATTGCTTATTACAATAACAATAATAATAAAAGTATAAGACATCTGTCAATTTGGTTTATTTTCAAAAAATCAAATAAAGTTTTATTAAAAAAATTTAACAATTATAAAGATTATCTGAAGATTATTCACAATTGTCAAAAATTTTATAGCTTGAATTTTTTTAGGTATTTTTTGAGTAATTTTCTTTTTAAAAACTAAAAAATTATCTGTCACACCAAATATACTCTTAATTTTATAATAATAATAATAATAATAATCAATGAATTTAAAATAAAAATAAAATTTTATATCATTTGAATAAAATTAATAAATAATCCAAAATTTTTATGAATATGATAAAAATATAAATTTATCAAATTATCTTCCACTAGTCTAATAGTCAACTGAAATTTTTTGGTACTTAATTTTTTTTTTTTTTTTTTTTTAATTTAAAAAATGTCCAATTTTACATTCGATATTTTGATGCACCAATAAATTTTTAATTCAGAATATTTCCGGTAAATCAAACGCCAATAAAAAAATTATCTTGATTTAAAACAAAAAATTTTGAACCAAAAAAATAATTGTCAAAAAATATTTGAACCAAGTAAAATTAACTTAGACGGAAAAAAAAAATTTTTTCCTCAAAAATTGTTTTATTTGATTAAAAATTTTTTTTTAATAAATTTAATTGATTATCATTGTAAAAAATTAGCTGATAAATTTAGAAGTTTTCTTCACAATTTCAATAATTATTAAAAAATTATGAAACTAATTGATATTTTAAATCTACTAATTTTTTTCAAAGCAAATTATAAAACTAAATTTTTGAATTAATCGACCAAAAATTTTATTCCTGATTATTATTGTTATTATTGTTGTTACAACACCGGGTAATTCGTAAATGAAATAACAATCTCAGAAGATCAGGAAAAACAACGAAAGAAAATAAAAACAATTGCGTACTCAATATAAATCCTCACGCAATCGGTCGACGAACTTTGACCCTCTTCTTAAGTAAATAAAATAAAATTCACAAACCCAAAAAACTTCACTTACATAAACAGTCCACAAATTAACAAACAATAAATAATCCCAAAGAATAATTGCAATAATAATTAAGGTAGTAAGAAAAATTTATAAATGCACTAGACACAGAATAAATTTTATCGAAAACTGTAAAATAACGAAAAAGTCACAGAGTCGTCGATCGTTCGTTTAAAAAAAAAAAAGTAATTAAAAACGGCGGTTCACGGTTCACGCGGAGCAGCACGAACAGACTGACGATCCCTGGATCATTGGTCCAGGGTTGGATACCCGCGCGGGCGGTCGTCCCGACGCCGGGTTTATATTTAACTTTGGCATCACTCGACATTCGACTTGGACTATGTGTTATACCATCAGTACAGCTAGATTTAACTACTGCCGCGTACCCTTCCTCATCGTTGTCATTATCAGTCTCCATCAAACGCATTTCCATCGTCACCCCATATTTTCTCCTATCCTCCTTCGACCCAACTTCAACCTTCAACTCAATCTTCAAAATAGTTGCTATTTTTACTCTTCTTATTACAATTTGCAATTATTCAACAAATTAATGCATCCCATACGGAAAAAAAAAATTCTAGGAAAAATTACAATTATCTTATCACAATCCAGGACCAGATTTTCAATATCTTCACTTTCATAATTTTACATTAAAATCTGATCCTGGATTACGATTAGACAATTGTAATTTTTCCGACAATTTTATTCTGTGCAGTATCAAACATTGTAATTTTTTTTTTATTTTATAACAATACAAAATGACACTTGATTAATTATTAAATTAATTAACTAAAATCCGCTAATCGAAGAACTGATTCCATGCCTCCAAAAATTATTGAGCTTCGATTGCTGTCTATTGTCATTATTGCTTTGCTGACTTCAAAATTTCCAACAACCTGGAAAAAAATTTCATTAATCAAAATTTACTTATAACAAAAATAAAAATATTTATTCTTTGCAATATTTTATTTTTATATACAAGTAAGGCTCCAATTTTCAGTTACCATAAATCAAAAACTTGACCTTCAAATCGTGAATCAAAATTCAAAATTTAAGGACTTTTTCAATCCAAAAATTTTAGTAAAATTTGATTTGTCGAAAACTGAACCAATTTTTATGTTCACTGTTGAAAAAAAAATTTTTTTTGAATATCTTCACTTTTTGATTTTTTATTACTGAAAATAGGCTGAGCTTCACTTTCAAATACATTAACTTGATAGAAAAATTAATTTTTGATCGAAATAAAATTTACTTAATAAAAAATTTGTCATAAATTCTTCCAAATATGACAAAAAATTTTTATACTATTTATAATTAAAACAATATTTTACATTTAATGTACAAAGAAAAATTGATCATAAAATCAACTCTGATTTTTATTTAAAATGATTTTTTTTACGATCTATTTTACAATTTTTCTGAGCATAAAATTGAATTTATAGCAACTGAATACTAAATGTAAATTAATAATCATATTTAACCACGATATTACTGTAAAAACAGCAACTTAGCAATGAATTAAATTATATAATATCGGTCATTTTTTGTGTAATATATTTGTAGTATTTTTACTGACAATAAAAGTGTGGAAATATTTATTTGCACAATTTTTGTATCATTAATTAAGCAATTATAACTAATATTTAAGTAACTAAAATTATTGTCTATTGTTTTATTGAATGTTTCTACTCAAATTCCGTTTTTTAATAAAATTCAAAATTATTTAATTAGCCAAAAATAAATTATCAAAATAAAATACACAAAAGTAAAGTAAAATTTCTCTACAATTATTAATTATAGATGATTTAATTAAAAAATATACCTTTTTATCTTTGATATTAATAACTTCAAGAGCCCCAGTACCAGAACCTCCTGCAAGAACATGCTCCCCATAAGGATCCCCGTCGAAATATTGAACCGCATAGATAAACTCTCCATCTAGGCTAGTCGGCCGATTTTCTGGCACGATCGTCTCTATAAGTTTCGCGGTTGTCATATCCCAGAGCTGAAGACTTCCTCTTACAACCCAGGACCCGGTGATAATCTTTGTGTCCTATAAATTTATCATTTATTCTTCTAAATCATATCAAAATTAATTAACATTCAATTATTACTTTCGTTTAAAATAAATTGCCTTTTTAAAATTTTAATTAAAAATTTGTACTAAAAAAAATAGAATATAAAAGACAATTAAAAGCCGGGTGAAAATTGACCTTGAGAATAGTTGCTTAATAAATTAGAGCGACGATGAGTGAAACGAAAATAATGATGATGATAGTGACTTATTAATAAGCAACAGAAAATACTCGAAAGTTTAATGGATTTAGTGAGTTCACGGTTTAATTTTAAACTCACATTTTACGCGTATTTTTTTATTTGCTGTTTGCTCTATCTAGTGTTTACTGTATACTTAATAAATAGCGCCGATTCGAAGAGTAAAGACGGGGACAGTTAATATAACTTATTTTATTTTTATTAGCGATGATGATCATTGTTACTTACTCTTATGTCGATTGCGTCGCCGCATATGTGCGGTCCTTTCATAACTTTTATTGAACCCGAGTCAACTCTTCTGTCCCATATCTGTATCAAATTTTTTCATTTTCGGACAAAAAAAGTATATTAACTAATAAAAAAAAAAGAAAATAATTTGATTGAAGAAAAAAATTATTGAAAAAATCATTTTTAAAAGTTTATTTTTAAACTAGAAAAATTCTAGATCTTGGAAATTTTTTTTGGTTCGAATGAATTTTATTGAATTTAAAAATGTTTTTAATTTATTTTAGATTATCAAACTCTTGAATCAAGTTCATTTTTTTCAGTGTAATATTTTTAATGAAAATGTAAATTTTTAAATAAATATAGAATAAATAATAATTTTTTAAAAATAATTATCAAATTTTCTTTATTATAAAATTATTTAAATATTTATAAAAGCATTATTTTATTGAGAAAATTTTAATGAGAATTATTTAATTCAGATTTAGAAGAATTTTAAATAATTAATTATTATGGAAATTTTGAAGAAAAGAAAATAATTCGTTAGTTCAAGAGTCTCTACTAGGTGGCGCCGGAAAAATAAACTTCTCGTATAGGGAAGAGAAAAATAAGCCAATATATTCGTTTTTGAAATCTTCGTCAGCCTGCACCAATTGAACCAGCAGTTTTGTTTCTTTTCAGCTTTTTTTTCTTTTTTATTATTTTCAGAGCTTTTTTTTTTGTCCTTTCTTCATCTAAAATGCCGTTAGAAGATGCCCTAACTCTGCTTCCACCTGAAATACTTCTAATACTATCGGCAGCAAAACTCTTGTGCCTGATAGTTGCGATTTTATATATAATATATTTAGTTTACTATTATTGCTGTTGTATACTTGAATGTATACTTGAAATTGAAAGAGCTACAATGAAAAAAGAAATAGGCCATATTTCTATGGGTAAATTTGGCTAGGTAATTTATTTTTAACCCGATGGATGATAATATTTAAAATTAAAATATGCATTATTATTAAAAATTAAAATTTTTTTGAGAATTTTCTTTTGATTATTTAGACTTGAAATATTTATTCATCATTATTATTATTTTTAACGAGGATCGTCAATCAACAGTATAAAAATAATATGTATTAATTATAATGAAACTTAAAATATGATAATATTCTAAAGATAAAAAAAAATATTGACAAAATGTGAAAAAAATATATACATAATTTTGAGAAACCAGATATGGTAATAATTTAAATGTGAAAATTACAAAAATGATTTTATAAAATTTATTCGGTCATTTTATGATATATTTAAAAAAAAATAATTTAAATTTACAAAAATGAATCTATAAATATAAAATACTCAAAAAATAAAATTTAACTAAAATATATATGAATATTTAAATAAAATTATACAAGAATTTTGGTCGTATATAATTTTATACAATTAACGCATATATTTTTCAAATATAAAATTAAAAAATTTTCATTATAAAATAAAAATTTTTTTTCATATGGTGAATTTGTAAATTAAAATTTTTTGGCATTTAAGAATAAAATTTTTCCTCATGTAAAATTGAAAATTCTAATAATCTAAAAATTGAATTTCTAAAACATATTTTTCTGTAATTTTTTCCAAGACCTTTTTTTTGTAAATGATAAAAAAAATTAATTTAACAAAAAAAAAAACCTTTTTTTATCAATACGTATTGATGAACAAATCGCATTTTAATTTTAAACTCAAATTAACTTCATAATATCTGTATTAACAATTTTTTCATTTTTGGACAAAAATATTATTATTATTATTATTATTATTATTATATTAGTATATTAATAAAAAAAAAAAAAATAACTTGATTTGATAAATTTCAAATTATCAATTAAATTGATTTTTTTCAGGGGAATAATTTTAATCAAAATAAAAATTTCACAATGTAGAATAAAGAAAAATAAAATAAATAATAACTTACACGCAATGTATCATCCCAACCTCCAGTAATAATTAAATTTTCATAAATATGATGGAATTTTGCAGAAAATATTCTCATTCGGTGATAATTATCATTTTCATCTGTTAAATCTGCTTCATTTCTTCCATAAGTGTGAATTAACTGTAAAATTAATTTTTTCTTTATCAAAATATCTTAATTAGATTTTTAAAAATAATTATCAAATTTTCTTTATTACAAAATTATTTAAATATTTATAAAAGCATTATTTTATTGAGAAAATTTTAAAGAGAATTATTTAATCCAGATTTAGAAGAATTTTAAATAATTAATTATTACGGAAATTTTGAAGAAAAGAAAATAATTCGTTAGTTCAAGAGTCTCTACTAGGCGGCGCTTCTTTTCAGCTTTTTTTTCTTTTTTATTGTTTTCACAGCTTTTCTTTTTTTTGTCCTTGCTGAAACTATTTTCATTTAAAATGGCGTTAACTCGAAATGAAAAGCTCTTATTACTACAAATAGCAAGTCGTACGTACATGATAATTGCAACTATATTTTTAATTGGTTATTTTGTAAATGAGCTTAGACGAGTTCTAACGGAGGAAGAAACAATCCAATACCAAATTCGTATGAAATTTAGCTAGATAATTTATTTTTAATATGATGGATAATAATATTTAAAATTAAAATATGTATTATTAGTAAAAATCAAAATTTTTTTGAGAATTTTCTTTTGATTATTTAGACGACATATTTATCAATCATAAATATGCATTAATTAGTGAAAATTAAAATATGATAATATTCTACAGATTATAAAAAAAATTGACAAAATCTAAAAAAAAATATATACATAATTTTGAGAAACCAAATATGGAAAAAATTTGAATGTGAAAATTACAGAAATTATTATATAAAAATTACTAGGCCATTTTATGATATATTTATAATAAATAACTTGAATTTAAAATTTATAAAAGCATATATAAATATTTACATATAATTATACAAAAATTTTGACCGTATAGAATTTTACACAGTTAATGCAGATATTTTTCAAATATGAAATTAAAAAATTTTTATTATAAATTAAAAATTTTTTCCACATAGAGAATTTGTAAATTAACATTTTTTGCCGTCTAAAAAAAAAATTTTCCTAATGTAAAATTGAGAATTTCACTAATCTAAAAATTGAATTTCTAAAACATATTTTTCTGTAATTTTTTCCAAGACCTTTTTCTGCACAGAAAAAAAAATTTACTTGTATCAAGTAAATAATTTTGAAGAATTTCATCTTTTTGATTTGACTAGAAAAATTCTTAAACCAAGAAATTTTTCTTGACTCAGGTAAATCTTACTTGATTGAAGAATTTTTTGTCTTAATTCAAGATAATGAAACTCTTCAAAATCATTTTCTTGGTTCAAGAATTTTCATCTTGATTCAAATAAAATTTTTTTTCAGTGTGTGAATGATAAAAATATTAATTTAACAAAAAAAAATTAATTTTTCATCAATACGTATTGATGAATAAATCGCATTTTAACTTTAAACTAAAATGTATTTATAAATAAATATAAGACTAAATAATAATAAAAAAAATTACTTTAGCGGTCTGAGCGTCGTAAAGTCTCAAAGCAGCATCTTTACCACCAGAAACAATAAATTTACCATCAAGACTGACGTCAATGGTATTTATTTCATTGTTTGGCTCTGAAACGTCATTTCATGAGTATATTTATAAAATCTAGCATGTATAAACATATTAATTGAAAAAAAAAAAAAACCTTGAATGAATCGTGAAAACACATTAGTGTCTGTCATGCACAAAAAAATATTTCCGCAGGCGCTTGAAGCGTAAAAAATATTGTCGTAGAAAGGATTGAAGCGACAACACATCACAGGAAGAGACGTATCCAGTCCACTTCTTAGCGTGGTACGGAATTCCCCGTTTTCTCCGTTTCTTATCTACGCGATTTACGACACAAGATTATCAGTTTGATAAGCATCTCCAAATACAATACCAGGAAGATAAATAAAAACCTGAATTGCGCCAGTTCCAAACCCAGTTGCGATTAAGTCTCCCCTGGGAGAGTACTTGGCGGAATACAGCCCCCCAAAAGTATCCGGGAATTTGACTTCGTGGATGAGTCGCGCCTGATTTCGCGTGCTCGCGATACTCAGCCGGGTTTTTTGCAGCCATGAATAACGTCTTTGAGACTCTTCCTCAGATATCCGACGGTCTATCAGAAAAAACGAGTCTCTCCGAGATGAACTCTTCGAAATTGTATCAGCCCTGCTCGAATCCGCTGCTTAAAATAATTTTCTATAAATACTTAGCTTTATAATTTAATATGTGAATTCCGAGTATTTTTGTAACCTATAGATTCGGTGGTTTCAGTCATTGTCGATTTGGACAAGCTCGTTCGACTTGTTTTGTTGCTTTTTATTTGGGATCCATTTTTTTTTAATTTCTCCATTTTGATTATTTTTTTCTTGAACTTTAGGTGGATAGTTTTTATTTTTTTATCAATAAGTATTTATTTACAAATTATTAATTAAAGTAATGACAATGACGTATTTAAAATAGGTAAAAATTTCTTTTGTTTTTTTTTTTTTCTTTATTTAATAGAAAAAAATTATAATTTTTCGATAATTTTATAGAGAATCTGTTTTTATTTAGCTTAAATAAGTTTTTTATGCCAAATTTTGTAATTTTTCAGCATAAAAAAAAATTGTAATTACAAAAATTTTATGAAAATTAATTTAGCAGATATTTGATAATTTTAAGAATTTTTTTAACAAATAAATGATGGAAAAAAAAGTAGAAAAAAAATCGACATGTAGAGATTTTAAAAAATAAAAAATCCAATTTTTTTAAAATAATTTTTTGAAAAAAATCTAATAGTTAAAAAAAATTAAAAAATAGTTAAGTGACTGCTAACTTCAATGTCATAAAATTTTTTTTCGTTTAAATTACTCTATCACATTTTTCACTTAAAAAAAAATATCACCCCAAAATAAAATAGTATAATGACAAACTTAATAATTAAAAAAAATTGGATTTTTTCCAAATAATAATTGAAATTCCCAAAAAAGCTATTAAATTATCAGCTGACTCTTCTTCACCGTCAACAGCCATCATCATTATCATCATCTTCACATCCGTCAATGACTACAATAGACTAGTATTTGATTCAGTACAGTGACAATTTACCAGTCAGTACACTTGTCCTCAGTTACCAGTAACAGCAACATCAAACTAGTAATGTGTCGTTTTACAATAAACTTTTACCGTGCTTTTGTCAGTTACTTTCTTCTTATTTACGTCAATTACAACATTACGCCAGTTCACTCAGCATGTAAGTCCAATATTTAAAAAAAAAAAAATAATTTTACAAAAATTGCTGTGTCAAAATTTTATTTATCACAAAAAAAATATTTTTGAGACCAAATGAAATGAAGAAAAAAATGAATAAATATTTTTAAGGATAAAAATTAATATACTAAGTAAATTATTTGGATGTTAGGTAATATTTTCCTGGACGAAATTTATCTCATGTGTATAGAGTTAACGTTTAGCTTAACGTTTACCGTTTATCCACTTAGTCTTTCATTTGTATCATGTTCACCAAGTGTCACGTCAAGTGATACATCTATCTCTATTTTAATTCCGTCTGCCCCAACTAAACAATATTTACCTTTATATTACTGGCAGTACTGTCTGGTTTTGTTTAAATGTAATTTAATTATCAATATTAACAATTTCAACGATGATTTTGATTTCGACAAGATGCTGAACTGTGGAACGCTACGTGGGTCGATAGACTAAAGCGGGATTTGCTTTCTAAGTATGATAAATTTGCTAGACCGGCGCAACATTTTAATGCTACTCGTGTTTTTTTTGGCATGACCATCAATCATATTTCAGTGGTAAGTTTTTTTTTAAGTTTTGTTTATTTATTATTGCTCTTTTTACTAATAAAGCGCTTTTTGATCTTTCAGGAAGAGTTTAAGTCTGCTATTAGCGTTCAAGCATGGGTTAGAATGGTAATTCAACAATTAATTAGTTAAAAATTTTTCGATTTAATTTAAAATTTATTTAGAAGTTTTATAAATCATTAAGAGGTTTTTCTAAGTCAAGAAAATTAATGAGGAGATTAAAATAGTCCGAGCCTAAATAAAATATTTTTTAAAGAAAAATATTTAAATAAATCAATAAAAAAATTAGTTTTTTTTTGACATAGATTTACAATTAATATTTTTTTCATGTACTAATTTTCAATTTTTTTAATTTTTCAAAAAATAATTTTATAAATCAGGCTTTAAAAAAATTTTTTAACGATAAAAATATACATTTGAATAATAAAACATTTCTTCGTCCAAGATAATTATTGTCTTTATAAATCAATTTCTTTTTCTCAATAATTGATTTTATTTAAGTGGGTTTATCATCAATATTTTTTTTTTTAACTGACGTACTAATTTCCATGTATTCAAAATTTGAGAAAATTCATTTCAAAATTCAAGCTTTAATACATTTTTTCTAAAACTCAAAATATTCAAAATAAACTTTTAACAATTGATTATAAAATAAATTAAAACATTAAATTATCTTATCTGATAAAAATTGAAAATTCTTATACAATTTCTAAAATATTGCTTATTTTTTATTCAATACAAAAATCAATTTTTACCTTAAAAAAAAATTTTTATAATTAAAATTTTATTACTTTTTTATTACTTTTACACAAATCTCATAATAAAATTAAAATAAATCGTAATTATTTACAGGTAAGATAAAGGTAAACTTCATTTTGGGCCATAACTAAGTGAAAAATTAATATTAAAAATTTTTTTTCAATTCTGCTTGTTTTTACGGCGCATTTATGATAAAAAATGTCGTGAAAGGAAAAAATAAAGATTTATATAGTTTTTTTGTCTTTAAAAGTTGGAAAAAATATTGGCTTTCATGTTTTTGGATAAAATTTCTATTTTATCTTTTTTTGATATTTTTTTTTTTTTTTTAAATACATAAATAAAGGAACAATTGATCAAAAAAATTTTCTATGGCTAAAAATAGAGCAAATGGAGATGACCCTACTTGTAAATAATTACCAAATAAATTTAAAGGTTTGGACGGACGATAAGCTAAAATGGAATGCTTCAAATTATGGTGGACTCGGTAGACTCCAAGCTGGCAGCCATGAAGTGTGGCAACCAGACATCATTCTCTACAACAGGTAACATTGAATTATACAATTTAAATGAATTAATTAAATTTAAATCACAAAATGACTTAATGAAGATTATTTACACTCATAATTTTATTAAACAATTGCAGCATAGCGATATCATCAGTCGAGCACTACGGGGACACGCATTGTCACATATACTCTGACGGAACGGTGATTTGGGTGCCACCGACCCACTTCCTCGCTCTGTGTGACCTCGACCTTCGACTGTGGCCCTTTGACACCCAGATCTGTCAGCTGAAACTCGGCTCGTGGTCCTACTCAGGAAACCAAATAGACTTGAGACTGAACAACAATTCCCTTGAAGGCACTATCAATTTGGTGGACAACACAGAGTGGCGTCTGGTCGACGTTACCAGGCTACGAAACGTCACCACTTATGAATGCTGCAAAGATGAACCGTATATTCATCTTGTATTTACGCTGACTATCAAGAGAAATGCTCCGCTTTACAGCTCAGTATTTCTCACCCCCGCAGCTGGTAAATTTTTGTTTTTTAATTAATATTTTATATCTATTTAATTAATTATAAATATTAATTTTATTTTGCAGCTATAGTCATCATGTGTCTAGTGAATTTTTGGTTACCAGCACAGAGTAAAGAAAAATTGTTGTTATGTGGAGTTAATGTTATTGTAATATCGTTATTTTTAATTTATTTTGGATACAGAATACCACCGCACTCAACAAATTCACCATTACTTGGTAATTTACTTTTTTTATTAATTTTATTGATGGTCCAGTTTCTAAAAGATTTTTTCTTCCTCAAGGAACAGTAGAGTTTATTTAAAAAACAAAATTATTTTTAGAATGACTTTTTATTCAATTAAAAATTACTAGCAAACTTGCGATCACTACTTAAATGACTATCGTGGCTTGTGAACTAACATTCTATAAGAAATTAAAATTTTGCTTTATTAAATAATGACTTTTGTTAAGTTGCACTGTACTTTCTTAAATATTGACGTTTTTAAAGATATAAGCTCATCCCGATGTTACACTCATGAAGAGCTTTCATTTGAATACCCACATGCATTTTTGATATATTTTTCATATATTCATATATATAATATATATAAATATATAAAATATATGAAAAATTGATGTGGGTATTTAAATGAAAGGTCTTGATGAGTGTAACATCGGGATGAGCTTATATCTTAAAAAATGTCAATAGTTCACAAGATATTTATTAAATTGCACAGTACTTTCTTAACTATTGACGTTTTTAAAGATATAAGCTCATTCCGATGTTACACTCATAAAGATCTTTCATTTGAGTACCCACATGCATTTTTGATATATTTTTCAAATGTACATATATATATATAATATATATAAATATATAAAATATATGAAAAATTGATGTGGGTACTCAAATGAAAGGTCTCGATAAGTGTAATGTCGAGGTGAGCTTATATCTTTAAAAATGTCAATAGTTCACAAGATACAAGGTCATTTCTTAATTATATATCTAGAGATAGAGTATTTTCGAATGTAGCTTAAATACTTATTATAATTAATTGACTATCGGTGAGAATGAAATGAAACCTTGAAAAGGCACAAATTAAAATCAAGACCTTTGCAATGACAATAAATTTCACTAAAAAAACCGATTTTATCATATGACTATCCTGGAAACAAAATTTTTCTCATTCTCTTAATAATATAGATAATTTAACGATTAAAAAAAAAATTTATTCGAAAAAATTCCTGTTATTTAATTACCTATTTAAATTTTATAAATTATTATTTGAAATTTCAATGATAATTTTTCTTCTTCAATTATCAAATTTAAAAAAAAATTTCATTTACTAAAATGTAAATTTACAAAAGTTATAAAAATAAGCTAACAGATTAACAGTCTAAATTTAACAATTTAAAAGAAAAAAATAAAAATATCTATAACTTGAACTTGATAAAAAATAAAAAACATAAAGTAGACCATCAATGGTACAATAATTAAAAATAAAAAAAACTTATTACAAATTTTGTTATTTTCAGTAAGCTTCTACAGTGGTTGTCTATATCAAGTGACAATATCTCTAGTTATTTCAGCAATAGTAATAAACTTATCGCGGAGGCCATACAGTCGACCACTCCCACGACATCTAAAAAAAATTCTCGTTGGTTGGCCTGGAAGATATTTAGGTCTGAGCGACCTCATCCAAGCGGTTAGTCCATTCATGTAATTTATTGTCATCGCCATCGCCATCAACAGCTTACTCACTAAATTTATTATACCATCATTATTATCATTATTACAATAATTAATTATAGATCCAGTCTGAGTACTCTGCTGGAGAACAAGAGCTCAGAGAAAGTCAAGGCGTTGATTCTTCCTCCGTCTACGCCTCAAATCTGATATCCACGTGCTCCGAAAACGGCGACCGGGAGAACATTATTTCATCTCCGGTTAACGTAACTCAGTTGGAATGGATTCTCCTCGCGACGGCCATAGATCGGTCCTCATTTTTAGTCTTCTGTAATATTTTTATCCTGATGGCGATATCGTGTTTGTCCTGAAAATCGCTAATTATTTTTTTATATTTTTTTTATCTCATAGTTTTCTTATATCTTCATCGTTAATTAATTTTTTAGCAATTTAACTTTTTAATTTAAGAAAAAAATAATTATTAAATTGATATTAATCAATTTATTGTTATTGGTATTAAAATATTAATATATTTTATTACCTTGCAAAAAAAAAAAACAAATATATATTTAATACATAATAGATAAATTGTTACAAAATTAAAGATTATATATATTTGCCTCCTCTATTTAACATCAGTTCTTTTTTTCTATGTCTATTGATTTAAAAAAAAAAAAATTCATATATATTTATAAATATTAGTGAGTGTATAATTTTAATCGAAGCAAGTAAAATCTACGAACAAGTGGAAGACGGGCAATTTTTATGCAATGGAAGATTAAAAAAATATACAATAAAAAAAAAGTACTTCACGCAACGTTGAAGATTAGAAACTTGACAAAGGCTTGACTTGATAATTAAATAAATCCATATAAAAATAGCCCGTTCATCCACTTGTCATCTTTTTACTTTCACTTATTTTTTGATTTGCAACTTTGTTATAGCTCATTTTTCTTTCTTTTATATTTAATGTTATGTTATATTATATAATATTATATTATAATAAAAATTAAGTCTCGTGATGATGGATTGTCTTAGTATTGGCTAAGACTATTCGCAGGCTTCTTCCAGATTTTTTAATGCCAGCTCGTACAGAACTATGTCGCCGGTTATTAGCAGGGTGTCGACGATCGTGGGATCTACTCGGTGCTTGAATTCTCCGATTATTTTATTGTTCAGCCAGATTATGTAACCGTCATACTCACAGCGGATTCTATATGGAAAGAAGAAATATTAAATAAATAGTATCTTTTATGTTTGAATATATTTTATAGAATTTTATTACTAAGTATTAAAAAAAATTATTTTATTTTTGGTTATAAAATACATTAAGATTAAATAATTGTTGATTTATTAACAATTTGTTAAATAAAAATATTGTAATTAATTAAAAAAAAATATATATATGAACTTTTATTGAAAATATTTTCAATTTTAAAATATTATTAGTAATTCTTCAATTTTATAAATATTAAATAATCTATATTATTGAGAGAATAAGAAAATTTTGTTTCCAGGATAGCTATGTGATAAAATTTGTTTTTTTAGTGAAATTTAGTGTTATTGCAAAAGTCTTAAAACTTGAATTTGTGCCTTTTAGAGGTTTCATTTCATTCTCACCGATAGTAAATTTATTATGATAAGTATTTTGGCTGCATTCGAAAATTCTCTATTTCTAGATACATAATTAAGAAATTACCTTGTATCTAGAGAACTATTGACATTTTTAAAGATATAAGCTCATCCCGATGTTACACTCATCGAGACCTTTCATTTGAGTACCCACATCAATTTTTCATATATTTTATATATTTATATATATGAATATATGAAAAATATATCAAAATGCATGTGAGTACTCAAATGAAAGCTCTTTATTAGCGTAACATCGGAATGAGCTTATATCTTTAAAAACGTCAATAGTTAAGAAAGTACAGTGCAATTTAACATAATTAAGAAACTACCTTGTATCTTTTGAACTATTGACATTTTTAAAGATATAAGCTCACCCTGACATTACACTCATCGAGACTTTTCATTTGAGTACCCACATCAATTTTTCATATATTTTATATATTTATATATATGAATAT